CGAATTCGATATTGGTTCGTGCTAAGGGTACATAAATAATTGATAGAAGTAGAAATGACCTACCTTGGGCTAATCATTAGATATTTTTTGAAGTTATACTTCTTTAGGCGCGTTATGAAAAAATGATGAGAGTGAAATTTTAAGATGCGCGCGCATCACTGTAACACAAAAAATTAACTTTTGTGTTTACCGCACATTAAGAAAATCTACCAATAAAATAGAAATAGAATCTCTATTTTGTGGGTGCTAACGACTGCATTGTGAAGGCCTATCAAAAGTATTTATTAATCTGGAACAACGGAACCAAAGCGCGATTCAGGAGACTACAGCGCCATCTCTTGACCATTGGTGTAGTAGAACCAAAAACCACATCTTTATTTTTTTTTTACCATTTGTCATTCAATGTGACTCAATTATCCTGCAAATATCATAAATGTGGAAATTCGTATGTTTGGTACTCTACGCAATCGCAAAAATGGCGTTTCGGATTTGCATGCAATTTGGAACACAATGACATGTAGTTTATCAACTAAACGAAAAACGAAAGGTTCCTGGTGGTTACTGCCATACCAATAAAACAGTATAGTCACAATGTCGGCAAACCAATTTTTATCCATTGCGTGTCTTCGTAACGAATAAATATCGCATTTTCGTCATTTTGCCACTTAGACCTTATGGCTTCACAAAAATTTTAACCAAGGCCATTAAGAAACAAAGTTTTACGCTCGAACTCGTTATTATAAGATAAATTCTAACTTTCGCGAGATAATTTTTTGATCATTGTTTAATGCAGAGGTGATGGTAATAAATTGTAAAACAAATTTGATAATAAACATTCCGCGTTGATAAATAAAGTACCTATTGTACTTGCATTACAGTGCGACCAAGATCTTTATGAATGTGAGTGACATTTCAAGTAGGGCGCCATTCTTTACGTAAATGACATAAACATATGGCCTTTACAAAGACGTTGTTCAAATTTTCGTCACATTCCAAAGGACCTTGGTCACACTGTAGTTGATATTCACGACCTCCGGTAAAAGGTAAGGATAATCCGGTTCCGTTACTTAGCAACGGTTATTATTATAGTCTAAATAATAAAAATATCTTGAGGAGCTCGATGGCGCAGGTGGTTAGCGCGTTCGGCTGCGATCGTTGAAGTTAAGGAACTTTCGTAGTGGTCGGTCATTGGATGGCTGACCAAAAATCTACTATCTCGAGTTCCTCCTCCGTGCTTCGGAAGGCACGTTAAGCCGTTGGTCCCGGCTGCATCTGCAGTCGTTAGCACCCGCCAATCCGCACTGGGCCCGCGTGGTGGGTCATGGCCCAATCTTCCTATTCCAGGGGCTGATGATGATGGAATAAAAATATCTTAGCAACAAAGCCCAAGTAGGACTACCTCTTAGTGAAGTTTGATCATTGAAACTGACTGTTAATCATCCTTGTACGATAGTAAAGAACTCAGCATGGTTTTCTTGCCTTTTGGAGGACAAGTTAAAACAAGCGAGTTAGTTAGTTATATTCTGGACTCACCCGTTTTGCATATATAGACGGTTGTGATACCAAAAATATCACTCGCACCATTGCCTACCCTGATCTAATCCCCTACCCCCCGTGGAGCCCTTTTTTTATCCGCAGGCAAAAAATACTATTTACAGACGACGGCGCCTTTAAGAGGCACACCACCGAACGGACCTCACACCTGGCTCCCGCAAGCCTTACGGGCCCCAGCAGTGGCTGCCCACAGAGGACCCCGTAACTCTTATGGGCGCTTTGCGGCATAATATCCGCTAAAAAACCCTGTGAATACCCTCTAAGCTGCTTAGCGCGAAGCCGCGGGATCCCCGTTTAGGGATTCTTCCGCGTCTCCGCACCTAGCAGCCTCCGGCCTAGCAGGGGTCTCCCGGGGTATCGCGGGGACCCCGCCGACGTGCGCAGGATGGCCCGCGCATGGGGGCTCATTACGCGGCCTAGTCCCCACCGTACCACCCCCCGACCCCCCGTGGAGCCCTGGAACCTTACTCACTAACAGAAACACAACACCACAAAGAGGTAGTGTTATTTTACTGTGATCTTCTGTAAGGCGGAGTTACTTCCGCAGGGCGCTCCAGTTCGAGCAGAAAAGCAGCTATGACCTCTCTTTAAATTTAGTGAAGGAACTTTTGATATCGGTAAAGTATGTAGATTCTTGAGTTCTATCGTTGCAAATCCACAAAACTCTAATCATTATAATATTATTAAGGATAAGATACTCTGTACTTAAAATAAACGAGTCACTGATACAGTTTGATAGATAGTGAATATAATATGCCGTTAACCAAGTTTTGAGTGTAGTGTGACTCACAGTATCCAACCGGTTCGTGTCGGTTGCAGGTTACTGCGCACGGTCAATATTCTATGAACGTGACTTTATGATTCAGCGTTCACTGTACTGTACCTCAACAGCTGGACCCGCCCATGAACATTTAAAAGATTATTTTTAGGAATCCGTACCTCAAAAGGAAAAAACGGAACCTTTATAGGATGACTTCGTTGCCAGTCCGTCCGTCTGTCAAGACTGTTTTTCTCAGGAAGGCGTGGAGGTATCAAATTCATATCTAATACTCATGTCTACTGTACCTTGGAGCCGGGAAAAAATCAAACTTCTAAGCCAAAGCAATCAAAAGATACAGCCGTTTATGCCGCAAATTTTCGAAACTCGCACGGGAATCAAAACCTACAGGGTACTTCCCGTGAACTTAGAATCTTGAAATTTGGTACGAGGTAACGTCTTATAGTACAGATAAAGGAAAAATTGCGAAAACCTTAAATTTTTAGTTACATTATATAATAAAAAATATTTTTGAAAATTTTAAAGTTACTACCTCTTTTCTCATGAACGAGTATAGGAATTAAATTGAGTTTGTACGGAACCCTCGGTGCGCGAGTCCGACTCGCACTTAGCCGGTTTTTTTATAGGTATGAAGAATAACGCCCCTTTCTATAGGTATAATGCTACTAAAGTCCATTTTAATGATGACTCGGGGCAGCGCGTTCTTGTATTGCATCCTTACAAAGTTTAAGGTCGCTGTATTGCTGGAAGAACTAGATACAATACTAGACATATAAATAGATATAAATAAAAATATATGTATTTGTTTTCATGAAGTCAGATTTTTACTTTTTAAAAGAGTAACATCAAATAACTGATCGAGTCTATAGTGGTACCTGACCTGTATTTCTCAGGGTCAGGTTCTTAATATTACCAAACAAGAATTATGTATACTGTATATTGGCACTCAACAGATCTTCGCCAATTTAATATTGGACCACCTTGCTAAAATACTAGTTCAAACAAATAAAGAATCATCAAAATCGTCTACTGTCTGCACGTCAATGACATGCATATCTCTGAGACGTAAACAACAATATAAATCTCCTCCTTGCTGAAATTGGGTAATAATAAAAGAAAGGCAACTTCGTCAAGCAAGACCCGTCCTATCGCGGAATGATGTAGTAATTCAGTAAATCATCCTTGAGACATCCGCGAAGATTGCGGAAAGTGCATGGGTTCGTTTCCTGCTCAGAGTAAGTAGGTATTTTTTCATTGACATTTGTACTTTTTACTTCAATGTTTAAGTATAAGAAAAACAGAAAATATCTGCTAGATTTATACTTTCTTACATGCATACCAAAAGTGGCTATTAGGTATCAAGTATTTTTTTTTTTTGCAATAAGAATAAAACTATTCAATCATTATTTACGAAATATAGTTCTCGAGGTAGACTTTTCACTTTATTTTTTTTATAAATCAACATCACACCTAAACTAGTAAGCGTAAAGAAAAATTGCAAATTTTGGTAATCAACCGAAATTACGTTCCTACTTGCATTTTCGTACTAAACCCTAGTTGTTATGTGTGGTTTGTTATATGTTAATTAGCATATTAAAAGAATTCAATTTTTTATGATTTTTGCAATCGTTTGACAACAGTCAATGTGCTTGTAATCTTCAGTAGTCTTCAGTGCTCGATAGTCTGATCAAAATAGACATGAAATTGAAAATCCCATAGCAGCTTAACTAAAATGGGCGAAAATCTTAAGTTTCTTTTTTTGCCCAACTACACCTTAGGTAGGATCGATATGAAGTCTCTACAAATGATTTTCTAATAGAGTCGTTTATATGATTTTTTAATTGATATTATATATTATTAACCGGGATACAGGTAAATGAACAATGAAAATAAAGCAATGTTATAGTGTTAACTCATCATCATCAGCCTGTAACGGTTAAGCCGACTGCCTACCTGTCGTATTTACGTAATGCTCTTTATGCCTCTGAAACAAATTTAATGTAGTATTTATTTAATCTTTACACATACGGTCTTTTCGTCTTCATTCATATCGTAATTTTAACAAGACAACTACCTACTAACTTTACGTAATACATCGTACAAAACCATGCTGCCAAAACAAATGGAAAGTCTTATGATTTATGCCATTTTAAAACGAATACATTTCTAAATTGCTGCAATCATGTTTGCGCATCAAATGTGGCCGCAATAAAATTGCGGTAGATAGGTACATACAATATATACGATTCACTGTGACGGTAAATTGTGTATTAGGCTGGAAAATCGTGCGCGGCCTTTCACGTCGCATCAACTGCAACGACAATCGCTCATTCAAATGATCACGCTGCATACAAAACTGATAAGATCACAATGATACACTGCTAACGTGACAATACAACGATTTCAATTCATTTTTTTAAAAGAGAAGAATTGTTTATTCAATCATGTATCCCTTTGTGCTAGGAGGACCCGTGACGGGGAGAGCGTGAGGGCCGCTCTAATATAATTTATTTTTTCCCGCTTTTCCGCCAAACAACTTGCGTCAACTACGCAGTAATCGAGAGCGAGAGGCACGTTTGTTATTGCTCCTGTCTCGCTCTCGCAGCACGCTTCTTTGTTTTGGCAACGATATAAAAGCAGGTTGCGAATGTGGCGCACGAATTTACACCAGAGTGCCGCAGCGAACCCAGGCGCTTCGCGTTTCGGTTCAGTGGTAGATGAGCAAAGCAGACCTGCTTGATAGGTACACTAATTAGTTGGATTGACATTATTCGTTGCTGAGCAACTCGTGAGCAAGTTTGTGTTGTGACTGTTGGTGATAAAAATAGTGCAGTGATGAGGCCCCCTACGGACTATGAAGGAGGAGCGAGGGTGCCCGCTGAGGCGGAGGAGATGGATCCGCGGGCGCCGGCGATGATGATCTGCGCCAAGCTAGCGGGCCACGCCGTCATCAGGGTGGTCGGACGATGCGAGGATGCTCAAGAAAATAGTCAACTTGGTTAGTTGTACAAAATTTTAATCATCATTATTAAATCAACATTGCTATAGCTGTATACGCAGTCATTTTTAAATAAGATGATAACAATACAAGAAAATTAAAAAAAAATTGTTATGATTGGTACAGAAACTATTTTATTGATATAAATAAATTCATAATTTTTCTGAACAATTTGAAACAATATAAATGAAAGCCTTCAAAGCCTTACATTACTTATGTGCTTCATGCATCCTTATCTGTTATGATTTTTTTAACTTATTTATTAGCTGAATCACACCATAAATAATAAAGTTTAATTAGCTATCAAACTTCAAAACGTTGCGGACATCGAACTGGTGACTCAACACTATTTAACCGATCGTTTGAGTCAAAAGCCTTCACATTTGGTCACCCACGCATCATCAAAAAGTTACTGTAATGTAGAATTTTAATCGAATATGGTTCATCATCACCATCAACAGCCCATCTTAGTCCACTACTGGACATAAGCCTAACATCGACTATGGTTATTCGGTTAAAATTCTATATTACAGTAGCTTTAAAGATAAGTCTGTATTTACGTCGGTAATCCTAACCAGAAACATTTGTTGATTTCAATCAGATAATTAAAAAGTAAAAAAGTATGTAAAGTTGTAGTTAAATACTCTTCATGTATTGTAGCGCAATATACATATACAAACATGAAAATGATGATTAATTTTAAAAGTTGTTATTAAACAAATTAATCTTATCATCAAAGAAATTGCGCCTTTCCTTTATAACCATTGTACGTTTTATATTTTGCTTAACATACTATCTCATACCATTACGTATTATCTGTGCAATCAATGAAACTTCCTGTAAATAAAATATGCGAATGCGACATAATTTTTTTTTAATTAAAACATAGGGTTGCTAATATATTATTAATTCTATACCAGAAATCAAATTACTTGTTTGTTAATTGGCAGAGCATTCACCCGAGCTGCCAAAAGTGGAGATTTTTGTTTTAAAACACGCACATCGCAGCACGCACACACATATAAAAAATTAACGCTTAATATTATCATAATGATAAAATTGCTTTGTTATATTTTCTACGTGAAGAAGCCTTGTCTTATCGTTAATATCTACGTCTGAACTGAATATTTAGAGCCCACATGTTACACCTCATTAGACGCACAACGGCACAACACACTCATCAGTCAATGACCTAATCAATCTAATATGACCATGACCTACTGATCTGTACATCTGAGACGAAATTTTAATATTAACAGCTAACAATGAATTGAAGCGCATGTTCTTCCTTGTTTTTAGTACTTTCATTAAATTATTTTCGATCCCAATCAAATCTTTAAAAAAACTTTTTGAATGAATACCACGAACAGTAATAAGTTTGGATAATCCGTAAGTAAAAGGTGATTACATCCTGGCCTATTGTTGAGTGGCCTTAGACATGGCTCGTTGGTTCTCAGCGGCGTTAATTGGGCAATGCCTGGTTCAACCGAGTGATGTCTTCACTAATCCTCATTCTAGGCTGCTTATCATGTTACCTTGTGAATGGGATCTTTTGCCTTCAACTGTTCGCTCTCTCACGAGTAACATGAATATCATTATATATCTACATATACGATCTTAATTAGATCAGATTCTTACAAATATCTCAGTGCGGAGAAACTCACTTCTTATATTCTAACTTTTTCAACTTCATTTCGCACTAACAAACATTTCGGTTGCGGTTCAAATACATATTTTATTGTTATAGTCTTATATCGCTCGAGTTGTTTCTGTAATGTATCATCTAGCACTAGCCAGCTGATTTTGAGTTCAAGGCTATTCGACTGGCGCACGTTTAGATAATATAATATGGTATGGTGCCATATTTTAACTCTATTAAAGTTCATCAAACATCAATGTAATATGTTCAGGTAGTACTTCTTAATTATGACCAAATATCATTACGATAAAGTTTTTTTATTTTATCAGTAATTATCACTTACCTAATTTTAATGTGAACTAAGAACATTGACGAATAAAAGCAGTTAAGTATTTGTAACTCAGCAAAATACAGCTTTATTCTATTATTTTAATTGAAGAGTAGGTTAAGTTAATTTTGATAAATAAATTATTGTATGGTGTTGTTCTAAAAAAGCAGTCTTATAGAATCCAAAATATAGGTCTTAAATTATCATGATATCAAGTGTAAATGTAGAGCACAAATAGGTACCTATAGATTGCTCTATGAAAGAGATATCAATATGCAAAATATATTTTTTAATCGTTAAATTATTTATATTTTTAATGTTAAAATTAAAACTCGATAAAAAAAAACCAAAAAAAAATACATATTTACTATCATACTTTAAAATGTGTAAGTTTGAACGTTTACAGTCATCAAACATGCAAAAAAACAAGAATAAATTAATAGTTATGGATGTAAATTGACACACAAATTAGGTATTGTCTGGATTTGAACATAGGATACTTTTATTCCGGAAAATGTTAAGCTTTCGTATGCGATTTTCAAATAAGTTGAACATAAAACAACCACTCTAATTAAATTAATGAATAACCTACCTGTTATTGGCTTGCCAATAGAATTATTAGGAATTTATATACCCCTAATAGGTAAGTTTCCTATGGATTCTGAGGGCCATGCAGATGAAATAGTTGACAAAGTCAAAATAATAAATATCTAATTATGTGAGACAGTGATATACATCGGTGACTCACATCCTTTGACTGATTTATAAGAACAGACAAAAACATCGGCCTCTTTTTTACAACGCTCCGTAATAATAATCCGTAACTAATATCTCGTAACCGCGCTTTCTAGTTATGTGTGCCTGTTTTTGTCATCGTTGTAAGCTTGTAAGTAATCATGACCGACCGTAATCATTAACTCTATCTTGTTATTTCTTGGTGACTTTGTAATTTGCTTTATAAATATAATCATTTCCACAGATATATTGTGACAGGCTCTACATTAGTTTCTCGGTGCAATAAAACTGTAATATTTTAATGAAGTATTTATTTAATAATCGTGTTCCATCATAGTTACCTACCTACTTACGGATTATTATTTTTCTGATTTGCGCAAGTTTTTTATGAGACCGCGAGTCACTGTTTCGTAAACGAAGGTATCACGCAAAAATTGTGAAACTAGCGGTTAGTTCAACAGCGTTCCGTGTTATTGGCCTTTGTTACAGATCATTATTTTTCACATATTTGAATTTATTAACGCATCTACTTTGCTGGACATTTTTTAAACCAATTTTATTCAAGGCAATGCAATTAACGCAAGTCCCTCGTTAACGTTAATTTATTAAAATACTAGAGGTCGCCCGCGACTTCGTCTGCGTTAACTTAGTTTCTTGAAAAACCCTCTGGAACCTAACATTTTTTCTGGATAAAAGTAGCCTATGTGTTAATCTAGGGTGTCAGCTAACTCCATACCAAATTTTATTAAAATCGCACCAGACGTTTAGACGTGAAGAAGTAACAAACATACACACTCACAAACTTTCGCCTTTATAATATTAGTGTGAATACTATGGAGCAGCATTGAAAATAAATCTTCATTTTGTTTTTTTAATTTAAATATTCCAGTTTGTTGATTCTTTGAGTAGGAAATATCAATGGTGCTGTTATTGAATTGTAATTAGTGTCGCGAGACGTGAGAAGTTAAATAAATAAATTAAACACTCATTAATACGCAGTAGACAACAAAATCATGGCGTAGCGTATAAGTATTGTCTGAGATCTATGGCCAAAACAAACTGCGCACAAGATTTGTGTTTTCTAAAATAAAATGCTAAAATTACCAGCCGTCTTCGTTGATGGTTCGAAGTTCAGACATCCTGAGTATGGTCAGGATATTTTTGGAAAATGAAGGTTAAAGCGAAATAAAGTCGTAAAGTTATGAGGATGTTTCCAAAGTAAAACTTTTATGGCATTGTCACCCATTTTTTAATTCATCTTTAGGTCGTCGTAAGTCGCATAATTCACATTACATTTAATAGATAAAGAAGTCATTTTAATGAAAGAAATTGTTTTAATCTCCTCTAAAATCTAAAACAGGAAAATAACAACAACACACACAGCAATCAATCTTCCTCGTCCTATTCCATAACATCTTATCATATCACTCAAAAAGTAAACAACAGGAAATACTTAGAAAATGAAGGATTTACGAGTTTAATTGTTGCACCCAATATGGAGTTCACTGTATTGTTATAGACAGTATCCTTTTAGACAATAAAAAACTTTTTGAATAAAAAAAGATAATTTACACAAAGATAATTTCCCTATACCTTAAAAAGACGCGGAAGAACCAGAAGAATGTAAGTATAGGTTTTGCAAGCCATACACATAATGCGGAAGGCAACCATGATACAATTGCGTGCGCGAGCGATCGAATTAGAACATCTTGAGAAAAGCGTGCTCTCAAGATGTAGGACCAACACACACGTTGGCTACGAGTACATAGTACTGTCTGTAACTTGTTGACCTTACTTTAAGACTTCTTCCGTACATAGCTTTAAGCAGGCAATGTTCAATATTTCCTTATTTGTTGATTCATCTCAATACTAATATCTTACTTACGTACCTTTAAATTCAGGTATACGAATGAAGTAATATACATCTTATTTTATTGATGTGAAACATCTTTCCTCTCGCTTTCCTGAAATTTGTGGGAGTGATTTCGTGAAATGGGACTGAAGTTTGTAACAGGAAGTCGCGCTATTTGATTTGATTTAAGAACATAAAGTTCAAATTGCTTATTCCTTTTGTAGTAGGTTTTATTTCTTTTTTTACTAATAAAAGCTGAGGTTTTAAATGTTACACATCATACGCGGCTACTGTAAGGTTCGCTCGTTTTTTTAAAATAGTTTCGCATTCGTTTTCTAAGCTGTTAGAACTGATTACTGTTCAATCTTAGAACCTATACAAAACTGTCATGGTTTTTATTGACTATTTAAATAATGTCGCGTTCTACGAAATCTTTGCATGCTTGGAAAGTATAAATAGGTGCAGCCACAGAAATTGAAGAGCAGCTACTTAAAGGCGATAATCGCTAAAAAAATACCTAGGTATTAATTGAGTTCAAAGAATTTCTTTCGATTATATCGTTAAAAGGCTAAAAGTTGTCAAAAGGCAACAAGATTCCAACTTATTACTAATATTATGAGTTTATCATTTTATTATTAGGTTCTGTACTGAAGGTACTTAAGTTTGAACTATAGGATAAGTTTGTACTGTTTGTAATCTTTAAAAAATTGGACCAAATATTATTGGTACGAGTGCGCACAAACAACACTACACCTGGGTAAAGTTCGATAAGACTCCGAGATTACATATATAATGGGAGAACATGAAATGAAGATACTGCAATTAAATAATCTGGTGTATCCTATTAAAAAATCGCCAAAAAGCAAAATAATCCTGTTTCCAGTATGAAAAGACTCCCAGGTTTCGTTTGTTCCTATATAGGGACTGGGGAAGAGTAAAACTTTATAATAATGCAGTGCTACAAGCCCTCCCTCCTGACTGGCCTTATCATTCAGTGGCAGCAGCATAGGAAGGTCCCCCAAAAATGTGGTGCCTATCGTCTAGTTTAGTCGACCTCCTGCAAAACAATGCTCATCTGAAACATCAATTTCTGTGTTAAAAAAACCCCTGCTGTATTTTCCAACGTGGAGAAAGTGGTCGCTAACAAAAGTTATTACAATTTATAGCCACGCAGACGTACAGAAATGTGATTTCATAAATGGATTCATAGAAAATTAACTATCAGTAGTGTTAATAGATGGGGCTGATTCATTTCTACATCGCGATAAGATTTAAATAAAGTGACAATTCTCCACCAGCTATAGAAACGGAACCTTCTCGTGTTCTTGGATCTCTTTGCCTCTCAGAACTTCAGAAGTACTCTTCTAGCGATACTGATTTAACAGTTTCGGCATTAGCGGATTAATATACTTAGCCTTCACGATTTAAGAAAGTTTAAAACAATAACATTATTTGACATTGACACTTGACTGTCAACATAGTTTGACAGTCAGCTCTGCACAGCTGTGTCTTGTCTAACTTTAGTGAATTTCTTTCTTGAAGCGAATTATTTTGTCTTTCAGATAATTTAGTAAATAATAATAGCTATATTTTTGTATTAAAATAATTGACACCAATATTAAACATAATGTTTTATAAAAATTCAAACTGTCCACTCATTCAAAATTATGGGAATGGGCTATATTTTATGATCGTAAATACGTAGTGCTATTTTATAAATAGCTCCAGTGGCTCACGTTTTGCAGCCCAGTTAGCTTCTTGATAGTGTCCCGTTAACTTGGTGCTAGAGTTTCTGACGAATCGAAATTGAAATGGCTCTTGCCGTTACACGCGTGGTCCTCAGGTGTGAAGAAGCTCAAGAAACACAGGTTTTAGGTCAATGACTATTTTTAACGTCTATTTTATCTTCTCTCCTAAATTGTGTAACCTAAGTACCTCATAGAGTTCATTTTCTGATGTAACTGTATGGTTAATCTGCTTCAATAACTGGTATTTTGGTTGTGCTCCAAATGTGATACTAATTGAATTATTCCAATTCCTAATAACTCGCAGGCTTGTGAATACCAATGTAATTATAAAGGCACTGGATTAATAATAGAGTTGTGAAAGAGAAATGTGTAAGTGCAGAAAATAATGGCAGATTATGAGAATTGTGATATCTTCTATCTCTAACAACCACTCTTACATCTAGATCACTCATATCCATCATTGTGTTTAATTTTTTCAATTTATAATACCCTGATACCATTTTTATTTTACTTTGTTGCAGATTTGTCAGAATGTCAGCTGATGCAAGTACCTGACGCAGTGTACCACCTCATGCGACACACAGAGCTCAAAAGCTGTGATCTCAGTGGAAATGTTATTACTAAGATACCTCCTAAGTTTGCAATTAAATTTAGCTTAATTACAGGTAAATATTTTTAATACTTTAGTATTATTTTTGAATATGACACAAAGTCTACTAAATATTATTATTTTTTTTTATTTCAATAATGGATATAATGTGGTCATAACATTTATAATCTTAACCATAGGGTGGATTAGTAATTATTTGATGAATATGTTTAGTGAAATATAACTTCTTATGCTTTAACTTTCAGATCTAAACCTGGCGAACAATCAAATGGCCAAATTACCAGATGAGCTGTGCACTTTAGCGTGCTTGCAGCGGCTCGACATCTCCCACAACACATTTGTGGCACTTCCGCACATCGCATGCCAGTGCCCAAGTCTGCACACACTCCTGGCCCATCACAATCAAATCATTGGTACTTAAATATGTTATACTTATTTATTTACAAAGGTAATTTTGTCAGTTTGGCATGTTACTCCAATAACATAGTTTAAAAACATCTATCTTCATTTGTGTGGGTGGGGGATTATAAAATATCTTTTAAATTATGTGATGATAATACAACAAAAAATCAATGTTAATTTTTGTATGTTACAGAGGTTGATGTAGACCGGTTAGCAACATCTCGAGCTCTTGAATATGTGGATCTCAGTGACAATCCAATCCCTCCACGAATGCACACAGAACTTAAACAACTTTCACGACCATCAGTCTCAGTCTCAGAAAGAGAGAAAGAAGATTGGGAAGAAGATCTCTGTTTATAAATAGTATGAGTTCTCCATTTACTTATGCATTCAGGGCTGAGCTGTGAGGGAACTGATATGTTCATTGTTTGGAAACAATGAAAAACTGGTGATACTCCATAAGGCCCTAAAAAAGCTGTGATCTGTCTCTAAATAAGAGGACAATAATAATATTAATATTTAGTGATTGTGATCTTCAAAATCGTAAGAGCCAGCAATATGTAGGTTATTTTAATACTCTTTAAGATACTTTTTGTACTTAATTAGCCTAAGTGAACTGAATAAAAGTGGTACTGGTCTATATCATTGTATTATGTGAATATAAGAAATAGGGCAATTTTAACTTGCGCAGAGAAAAACTGTAATAGCATCCACTGTAATCAAAATATTATCACCTTAGTTATGGACCAAAGTCTAGTTCTCTAAAGTTTCGCTTCCTTCCATAGGCTGACTATAAGTACCTTTAATACTTCTGTTATTTACAAACCTTAAATATTATATTGAAATGAAGGAACACAAAGTTACTATAGTTCCTTTGAAATGTCAGCCTTTCTTCACTAGTTTTTAAGCACAGAATGTAATAATTTTTTATACTTCAACTTTTTTTTCTATACCATAAATATATGGTGATTAAATTCATCTTAGAATCAGGAATGCTGGGATATAATCTCTGCACTGACATAGTAAAAGATCATATATCAGTACCTTAGGTGTAATGCAAGCATTTTGCCAAATTACTATGAATAAAGTGTACTTACTTACCTACTTAAATGAAATTTTTATATAAATATATATTTATGCAATAAGAAAAGGGTAATTGCGATTTACTGTTATTATGAAGATTTGAATATGATTTGATATTATATTTTTGATAAAAGTAAGTTTAAACAAAGATTTTTAAAATGATTTTGATGTTTTATCTCACTTAAGTACTGTATACTAGTCCATCATTTTTAAGTACAGTGCTTTTATGGATCGTAAGTCGAATTAACAAATATTATACTAAGTAGCAAATATGATGACTTTAATATCGTCGGCGACATTGAGCCAATAAGTTAGTACACAAAACGCAATTTAAAGGTTGGTGGTCCATTTTTCTTTTTTATTCTTGTACCTACATATTAGGGCTGATTCATACCGGAAGGCAGCGGCCATTAGCAACGCGGCGAGCACTTTTAAACTTTAATATTTTTAAACTTTGTCTACACGTATAAAATGCCAGTCACGCATGAAAAGTTTGAAGAAACGCGAGACCACGTTCATACTGCACGCGGTGCCATCCGCTCACGGCACCATGAGACCGTTTCACTAAGGCGCTTTGCAGACGACGGGGCGGTGCGGGCTTTTTGTCCGCGAAGCAATAAAAACCGCGTCTGCCCGTCGATGTCTACGGCTGCACTCGCCGCGTACACAAAGCACACGACGGGCAGAGGCAGTCAGTTCAGGACGTTCGTTCTAGTGAATAGTCCATCACAAAAAAGCGCGTGGCGCGGACTGAGCTAGCCGCCCCGCGCCGCCGTCTGCGTTACTGCATATAAACTGGTTTGTGTGATCCACGGCGGGCAGCCACGGACATGCCGCGCCACCAGTGCCCGCCGGGCACCTGCGGCGCGGTCTTTTTGCCCTCTGTGTGCGTTTGTAGTATAGGATTCACTTTGTGCTATCGTTCGCGTCGAAATTGACCGGCCCGCTCCGCCCCGCCGTCTACAAAGCGCCTAAAAGTGCTTCCCGCGTCACTGCCGACCGCTTCTAATCCGGTGTGAATCGGCCCTTAGGTTGTGATTTGCTTCTAATGAAATACTTTTGTTTATACTACGAAATACCTTGTCTGAAAACAAAAAATTAATATCATCAACCAGTACAAGACTTATCAATACAATATTATATGCTTCATTCAGTTAATGCTAAGAAATTTTATCCATTGGATATGATTTGTTTTAATATGATTATTTTAATGAAAATATTTTCTGAATTTATTGTAAATCTTCAATATTTTTGTTGGTTGGCTGATAATCAAAGTATATATTTTATCGACAAATCCTTGTTAATTTCTTTCATATACCTACACGTTTCCAAAACTTGATACTTCAACGACGCGCCCATAACATAGTACTTGGGTTTAGAAATTGTTTTTCTAAATTTTAACTGATATTTAATGGCAAATATTTTTTTTATTATGGGTTGGTTAAAGTCAAAATATACTTAATTCTAAATATTCTTATGGAATTATAGAATTTCCGGAAAGACCACCTATTGGTTTGGAGAACATTGTTGTGGGTTATGCATTTGATGACATCCCACCAATGTGACTGAAAATTTTTAAACACCAAACTTAAAATCGAGTACTTAGGTAACCCAATATTTTATGTAGGTATATATTTATATTTTTAAGAATAAAAATTTGCTTTGATTAAGTCTTTGTGCTGTGTTTTATAAGAATAATTTAACCTAATTCATTAAAACATTTGCAGAAATATTTTCTTTTATTTTAGTAACAATGTTATTGCATTGTAATGCAATGCAATAAAAATGCGCTTAAATCACGCACGGAATCCAGCTTCAGTTATCCACGTGACTAGCATATTTTAGTTCGTTCTAAGGGGTATTGAAATACAATTTACGTAATTGTACAACAAACATGCACTTATAGCACATATTTAGGCAATTCAGAGCGCGACACAAGGACCATGGTTTATTATGCGCTATTATTTTTGTCTCTTTCCCCTTCAAAGGGAATGAAAAGACCACAAATTGTTCCGTGCTTCGTTATGCATATTAAGCCGCTGGTCCCTCTGTCTGTAGGTAGGTATCTACAGTCGTTAGCACTCACCAATTTCCACTGGGTCATTGTGGTGGGTCATATGGTATAAGCCGTTCTCCATACTCCATCTACTGGAAAGGCCTGTGCTCTAGCAGCTGGGACATTATTGAGCTAATGATGCTTTCCCAAATATGAAATAAAATGGCGATGCTTGATAGCTAGATATTTCCCGATTCATCCCACGATCTTTCTTGGAGAAATTTATTATGGGAGAGCTTGTAGGTATTGTTTTCCAAACTTATTCACAGATAGAGCTAATTACTTTTACCATAACGAAATCCCATGCCCATGTTACATAAACATCCAGCTGAAATCGACCTCATTAATAAATAAAATCTATGAAACGAAGATAACACTGTGATTGGTCTGATGACACGTCAGTCATACATAGTGTGGCGTGACAAAAAGCAAAAAATATTAAATCTCACAGACAAAACAAAATATATAATATTTTGGCTCATTCAATTAATAAAATAAAGAAGAGGAATGGCAGGACATGGAGTGGAAGATGATCCAAATTTAAAGGGCCTGAGTCGCTACTTCAATAGTACCACGAATAGAGGTCGAGCCAACGTTAGTACATTAAACATTTGCCAATAAGTAAGGCTATTTCTTAAATATAAGGGTGTCAAACGAATATAATATATTTGTAAAGAATATTACCATCAGGAAAACAGCCGCCATTGGCTATAATTGCCATTGCCCGTTTTGTCCTTCAACCTACTTATCACACTAATATAGGCGAAAGTTTGTGAGTGTGTATGTTTGTCACTTCTTCACATCTAAACGGCTAGAGCGATTTTAATAAAATTTGGTATGGAGTAAGCTGGCATCCTGGATTAACACATAGGCTACGTTTTCCTTTGGGAAAATATCCCTAAAAACCGCGGGTAACACAGCGGGTCACAGCTAGTTTGGCTATAAATGTAATAGCATGCAAAAACTTATTTTCTATATAACTTACTCCGCTGGATCAGCGACCCAAAGTGGATCTTGGCCTCCGACTCGAGATGACGCCAGAGCCTGATTTACCCACAGGCTAATAGGGCTGGAGCCTAGGGCGCAAAGAGCAAGGGGGCGACCAGCGGGCGCGGCTCTGACACTTACGAGTACATAATAATATTTGGTAATTTTGGGAAAATACGTACCTACGTTAAAATAAAATTCCTGCGTGCGCGCTCGCACACAAACATATTAAAACCATAGATAGATACTACATCAAAAAAACCGTTATTTAAGCTCGGTTTGCTGCGTAAACTGCACACATTCCATGAAGCAATTCGGAGGTCCATATATTTGCTTTTGGTTTCTGTCCGTTTATTTTCTCGTGTTGGTTTCGTAACAACAAGTTTTTCCATGGGAAGGTTGTCAGCTCGCACTTAGTTGCTGGAGGACCACACCCTATGTTGGTCACCGGGTCCGTTTGACCTAACCGTACAGACTGGCAAATCCGTTCTGTCGACCCTCCCCCATCCACCGTAACCGAACCGAACGTGCAAAATAATAATTTGGTACCTTTAGTTCAAATTCCGTTGTTACTTCTCGTTAAGGATGTGATGTGCATCTTTGCTGAGATAACAAATAATCATTATTTTTATTATCTGAGTTTTTCTGTTTATATTTTCAGACATCTAAAGCAACGTGTGCATTATGTGCAATTTGTTACGTATATTACAAATTTTTCAAGCAAAAGCAAACTAAATAAAATGTTTTTTAATCTTGGGTAAGTTTAGTTTTACAATATAAAATATTATCAGTTTTGAGAACAGAATTAGTTTTGTTGTTTGTGCTTTATTTTACAACCTTAGAATACTAGGGTTGATCTAATCTTCGACCATCTAATTTTGAAGATCTCCGTGGTCGAGTGGTATAAGTGTAGGTACTCCATTTTTTAAGGTGTTGCCTACTCAGAATTACCGGGTTCGAATCCCGGTGGGGTAAATGTTAATGAATACGAGCATTTAAAGTTTATATGTAAGTATCTCTATATAAATAAATATAGGTACCTACCTATGTATCAGTATAATGGGTTCCCTAGTATTCCATAACACAAGCCTTACAGAGCTTACTTTGTGAGACTAAGCTAAGTGGTGTGATTAATAGAAATATATATATTACTAGCTGACCCAGCGAACTTCGTACCGCCATAAAAAAATAGGGGTTGGTGGTAGAAGGGTGAAAATTTGGGGTTGTATGTATTTTTGTATGATGTCTCATAAAAAAATTAAAAAAAATATATCTAAAATTAAAAAAAAATGTGAATCTTATATGAATCTACATAAAGCTTAGTAATCTAGAGTGACAGTTTTGGGTAAGTGGATAAAAAGTGGATGCGAAGCACAGACATATAAAACTACTAGTTATATGTCTGTGATGCTAAGGCGAAGTTAAAAGAAAAATCTACTTGTTTTGCGTTTAGTTTTTATAAGATTTTGTTCCCAAAACATAAGAAAATATCGCTTAACGTTAACAAATTCGAAGAAATAAAATCTTAATCTTGCTAAATTATTGAAATCACTTGGGTATTTACTCATACATAAAATTATAAATAAGTACCAACAAAAAATACTTCTAAAGCAACAAAACGCACTTAGATGACATTGACAAATCGTGTTGTGGTTCTACGAGTTACGAACGGAATTACATAAGGCTAATTAAAAATTTTATCAAGTAAGTCTATTTAATTGTGTCTAAAAGACGATTTATTGACTCTAGATAAAATTATTACAATTGTTGTAACTTCCCAATAGTATGTTACCATGTTAAAACTATAATAAAGTGTAATAATTTCACAGAATGGCCGGAGACTCCTCTGCCGATCCCAACCAACTCAAAGGGCTTTCAAAATACTTCAACAGTAAAACGGACTTCGGCAGAGCTAACGTAAGTACACCATAAATAAACCTTTTGTTTATCGTTGTAATAGAAAACTGCTAGAACCAAATTATAACCTCTAAAGCTATGGTAGGCAGTCTTATCAGACATTATGGTCATCAGTGCATTACTGTCTTGAGAAAATTATACTGTTAATAACATACAAACTGTAAAGCAAATAAGAAATGTATTTTTATTTGTTAATTGTCATCCATTAATCTGGACATAATTTTGTTTTATGTAGGGCTGCCATCCGTCCGGGTTTCCCCGGATTTGTCCTAGTTTACGGGGCGTCCGGGGAGCGTCCGGGCGGAGTTTCATTTGTCGTCCGGGTTTAAAAATTTCCTGTTTTGGGTTGCCAATTAATCCGTCAATTTAAATGTCTTTGAAAATTAATAAATCTATACTAACACTGTAACCATAAATGCAGACTTCCAACAAAGATCAGCTTTCCTTGGTGCTGCAAGTGTCCATGGGCAGCAGTGACCACTTATTATGAGGGTAGACCGCTAGCTCTTTTGCCTATATCAACAAAAAAAAGTTGGTTTGTGACATTTTTAACTGTTTTTTTATTGGTCTGTCCGGGTTCTGGGCTCCAAAATCCGGGGTTATCTCGCCTCTGATCCTGGTTGCCACATTTTAGAGATGGCAACCCTAGTTTTATGGTACTTTTTGCAGTTGTTTCAGATTTGTATTAACCATTTAGATTTGTTTTATTTATAAGGAAGATTGCCTTTCATGTATTGTTTAATTATATGACCTAATGATTGTTTTTTTTTGCAGACGGCCAAAGCAACATATGCATTCTTCGGTGCACTAATATTATATTACACCTTGAAACCAAAATCCAAGAATTGAAGAACAATACTGTTCCCTCTGTTATTTTAGACTTATTTAATTGCAATAAGGCCAATGTAATCAGTTAGTCCATATTAAATCATGTAAATGTTAGTTTTTGTTACTCTTTTATTTATTCAGTATTTCATACTCTGTATGAACTGTATGAATTTCAGAATTGTCAACAGTAGAATACCTTATAAATAATATGTAAATAAAATCTGATTCCAAAAACATCTATACCATTATGATTAAAATATCCCTCAATATTATTAGAGTAGGTACCCAATATATTCCAGAAAATAAATAGATTGATTAATTTAGCAGTTTATAATCTCTGATGATGTGACAAAGTACCGTTTAATAGAAAACAATTTGTTCCACTTAACTCCATCTGAACTAACATTATATAATTTTATGATTGGATTCATTGGTGATGATCTTTATCAGAAACTAAGGGATGTTTAATTGGATGTGGTGGTGCAATACACTCTGCCATTTATTTTTGCATAGCACTCGGTAGTAGTAAGTTGTAGTGAGTGTTATGTAGAATATTATCTTTTTTAATTTATGCTTCCAGCTGAGTAGGTAGTGTACTCGCACTCGGCCAGTTATTTTACATCGCACCACCACATTCAGCTTACATAGTTTCTGGTAAATTTATGCTGTTTCAAGGTAAAATTCAAGGTGACTCAGTACAGCCTACTACTGCTGAGTCAATCCTATAAATAAAGGGAAAGGTACAATGCAATAAAACCCACTCTGTTCATATAATAATACTTCTATATTTGCAAAGATAATATAAAGTAATAACCAATGGAACTGCTAATTTCTCCTTTTTCTTTTAAAGAAAATTTAAAGTCTCAACTGGGTCTTTTTATTAAACATTCTTTGGCAATAAATAATAAGTTAATACATTTTTCTCAACATTATAAATAGAAACAGTGTAGTGTAAGCAAAGTTCGAATTTTAACTAACAAGGCTTTATGATGTTATTTTTTAAACAAATTGCTATACTTAAAGAATTTTCTTGATAAATTCTTTGTAAATAATATTAAAGCATAAGAGTATTGAAGAAACTTGCACTGAACCCTTTTTTAAATATCACTTGGTAATACACATGATAAACGATGCAGTTAATATTCGTTTTCCTAATTGACAACGGATTGGAGATGATATGGAAGCATATCTCTTAAGTTTCAACCAAACTCATACCACTAAACTTCAATACTCATACACACAAAACTTTGACTTTGCCGAATTAAATCATTGTAAATGAATTCGGCCACCCATTCATTGATGCGCAATTTTATTTAGTAATATTATGTCAAAGTGAAACGGAAATCCCAACCAAACAAGTGCGTGCGACGTACTATTACGCGGAGCCATGTATTTACTATAGGTAATTGACGTGCAAATAAAATTCGAAATTGTATTTATTTAATAATTTAGTACACACACAATAAAACAGATAAGAACAGGAACTAGAAATTTGTACAAGGGCACTGCCTTGTATTTATTTTCTGTGATAAGTTATACTGGTTTACTAAAAAATTCTTTCCTTCCTGCTTTCAGTCTTTTTCATCACTTCACAAGAGTTCATTCTTGTCTTTAAAAGTGTTTTTTTCTTGTACATCACTCATAAAGGCACAAATGACGCGAGGATCTATCAATGAGAACGGCGACAGGCTGTACGGCGCAATGAGGGCTACTGTTTTCTGTCTCACCAGATGGCGCCACTGTTGAGTGAAGTCCTGAAGTGTAGCTTTTAAAGTTTGTTAATACGCGCGTGAAATCAAAGTTTACACTTAAATCATATTTGAATACCGTCATTTTTAATTTAAGAACCGTGTCGTAAACATAATCGGCCTGGACAAAATGTTACGCAGCTCCGTGTTCCGAAAAAAAGGAGGATATAATATATTTTCTTAGCTCCGCTTTTAAATCACCGACATTCATTGACACATAACTCATATTTGCTATAAATTAATCTGCGTACTTATTACCAAATATGCACAACATTATTTAAATTAGAAATAAACCCGCGTAGTCAACCCACAAGCAATAACATTTGACATTTTGGAGACCGCACGCTACACAATCGCCCCTAGAGGCGGATTCATACGCGATAGCCCTCATTGCACTCTTTCCGCTCCGCCTACTTGTTAGGGATTTGCGTGAAACCACTTTTTAGTGCAGTTCGTGTTCCATATCATTTCTAATTCGTTGGTTGACCTGCCATTTACTACTAAACTAAAATAAATAAATATCGTGACAAAAACATACCTTGCGCTAAAACTATTTATCATTCAGTACAAAATTTAATACTAATCGTGTAGCACTAGCACCCGATAACATTAATTTGAAGCGAAGCGTAACATAGAAGTGACGACGCTTTGGCGCGTGCGCTGTGTTAAGTACGCTCTCGTGCAGTTTCATGTCATTTTATAGAGCTTTGCTGCGCTGCGACGGGAGGCCCGCCTCTCGTAGCGAAATGAAATAAATAAAAAACGAGCGAGCCTTACAGTAGTCGCACATGATGTGTAACATTTGAAAACCTCACCTTATATTAGTAAAAAAAGAAATAAAACCTACTACAAAAGGAATAAGCCATTTGAACATTGTTCTAAAATCTAATCAAATAGCGCGCGTTTTCGCGACTTCCTGTTACACACATTCGTCCCATTTCCATAATCACTCCCACAAATTGCAGGAAAGCGAGAGGAAAGATGTTACACATCAATAACATGAAACAAACACGGAGTGGATATCCGCTCCGTGCTTACGGCTTAACCCAGCGCAGGCCTTTACAAAGTAAATATCGACATGATATATATACTAGTGACACCAAAAATCGTATAATATGCACAATAACTATAATCGACATAGTATACCATGTATAATGTTTAATCATTCCATATAGTGCTTATGAGACAAGCTGTGATTTTTAATTGTTATCTATAGCATTGCATTTTACATAATATATATCCACACTAAATAATTATGTTGACAATCTTTGCTTGTTAGGGTTTTGAAATTTATTTGAATCGTTGACCTTTCGGCTGTACTTAATTAACAGTGAACTGCCTAAAGAGGTATAAGTAGCATTACAGCTTAATCGTAAACTTCCTTAATTCCTACTGTTCTGTGGAACAGTTCTGTTGATGACAGAAATGATTAATTTATTGTCCGACTTCTATATGGAACTTAAAAATATAAAGTCGTTAATATTAAATGCTGCAATGATAAAAAAGAGCCTTATTACAGTTTTAAGGGTAACTACGAAAATATTTTAAAACATTTATGGTATTTTTTTAAACTGAAATACTGCGGTTTTATTGCATCAAACACAATTTATGTCAATTGGGAGTAAGTACTAAAGGACCAGGAGTATTACTTTTCAAATATTATTTCAACTGACATAGTTCATCACCTCCAACATAACGGTTTGTATACTGAACAAGTCATGCGACTAGTTTACATGCTTGTTCTACGTAATACACTTTTTTGCAAAACCTACCTACTTACATCCTCCATTTTCATTCAAATTCATCACAGTTACACATTTTCCGGCAAGCTCATTCTTAATTGTTCTCATTACAAAGGCCGCGTTGTTTCATCCATGGTTAAATTTGACTATAATTACATTACATAAACACTAGAGAAAAAATAACCATTTTGTCAAAATTTCACACGTTTACTATGTATTTGACGTGATATAATCAAAATATTCTTTAAAAAATATACTAGAAAAAATTCCACGCGGACCAGGCAACAGAACAGTGGGACTCGAACACGCACCCTTCGCTATCCGGGCGAATACACTGACCATTATGCTACCACGGCCCTGGTGGCCGTGTCGAATTTTCTCTAGCCTTAGGGTGTAAGACAGCACCATCTTTTCACATTGTTGGTTACTCACAATGTCAAATGAATACCTTTACGAGTATTAAACATTTGAAAGACGATATAGCATTTATACTTATATTATTTATTTTTTAAGCAAATAACTGCTAGATGTTTCAATCAGAACTTTAAGTTTTTCCTTTTTTTTCTAGTATAATTTTCTTTACACAAAGGGCGGCATTATAGCTAAAAAGCAATCTCTTCCAGACAACCCATGATGGAAAATGAAATGTAATATATAAAATTCTCGTGTCACGGTGTGCGTAATTAAACTACTCCGAAACGGCTGGACCGATTTTCGTGAAATTTTATATGCATCAGTAGGTCTGAGAATCGGATATCTATTTTTCCCTCTAAATGTTAAGGGTAGGGTAAGGGTCCACCCTTAAATATATTTTGGACCAAATTTTTTATGATACATCATACAAAAATACATACAACCCTAACTCCACCCTTCTACCACCAACCCCTATTTTTTTATGGCGGTACGAAGTTCGCTGGGACAGCTAGTAAATATATAAAAACGAGGAGGAAGGTTGTAAAAGTAATATTATAAAAATAATGAGATTCCATGTTTAAAGTAAGGTTATTAACTAGTCAAATTTAACTATGCACGAATGAAACAAGGCGGTCTAAATGAAACAAAGAAACGCTTGCAACTGGCATGCTCGGGTAAAAACGATAACCTCAGCCCCCTGAATCACAAACGATCGGATGACATCAAATTTGGCTGAACACGAGTTTAAGAAAAATACATCATACAAAATTTTACTAAACATATTTATTACACTGTTTGTAGTAAATATACGACCGTCTAAGTTTAAATAAAATATGCAATAACACGACTCCAATAGAATAACTAGCATAATAAAAGCTGAGAATGCTTGATACTACATACTTTATTGGAATAAATATTATATTCTTACTGTTATTTTCTAATATTATTTTTTGTTCACAAAATACTGTTTGTAAATAATGATTTACTTTATGACTCCACAAAACATCCACTTGGGAAATGTGTTAAAATGTACGAATATAATACTTTGGATAAAACAATTTTGATTGACAAGATGGATTTGTAATTACAACTGTCAATAAAAATAGGTAGCTGATATGTTTTCTGTTTTAATATTGATTTATGATGGTAAGCGGTAGTATAAAAGAGTATCTAGTCGTAAAAAAATTCATAGACATCACGAACATGAAATGCCGGCAGTGTCGCCATCTCGTTGTATAGATTCCGTATAAATACGTACACACAAAATACGCACACACTATTATCAGTAAAAGCGCTACAATAGATGAGCTGTACTGGATGGAATGCTTTCAATGCACGATTATCAAAACAAGTAATCTTAAAATGATTGATCAACCTAAGGCAAATCTTAAGTAAAAACACGGGGCTTAATACTGATGTAACCAGAACATGCTCTATAGATCGCGAAATGGATATACTGTCAAATTTAGTTTAAGGTTTAGTTTAGAGAGTAGTCTCGGGATAAAGCAAAAAACTGCTAATTATATGTGTAAGCATATTTTTCATCTCAATAATGTTATCCCCTATATCTATTTTATATCATCCTTTTATAAGGATACATAAAAGGTTAACTTACAGATGATAGGATTTGGCCAATGGGTAGGAGTGATGTTAAATTAATTCAGTTATTATAAAATAAAAGCGAAAGGATAAGGAAGTTAAATATTTAAATATTCTCAACGGTTTCTGAATGAGAGGAAGCGACTTAAATATCAAATATTTTTATACAAAGTAAAACAATATAATTTCCAAACAAATGAGTATGACACATGGAGTATTAAATACTTTAACCATGACTGCATCAAAGTTGGTAGTTCCACAATATGTACGAGGAACCTAAAGGATACGCGTGGAAAAATGTCATCAATAGTATTGTTATCAATAAAACTGTATAGGTCGCCGCAAACTTATTGAGAAAAACCACAGACAAATATATTTGCGCAGTAGACGTTTTTGTAAGTAAAGTTGCTACTGCGCAGGCGTCCTAGTCTATGGCCGTTGCTCAAGAAGTTTCCCAGGATGCATAACTTCACGAGGTTAGTAAAATAACGTAATTCTATTGATGGCCTTTTACCTCTTGCATCGTTGAGTTACAGTTTGAGTGGTGGAAAGGCAGTTAAAAGTTATAATTTGTTTGAGCTCAATCTCTATTGTTTATAGTTTCTCCCGTATGACAAAATTTAGCTCAAACAATTATCGCCTTCGAGTGGCATATTGACAGGTTATTCGTTAATACAAATGTGTTTTAACATAACACAAATATCATTATTTCTATCAAAAACATACTTGTTACAATGTATTTTTATCACAACAGAGTTGATGAAAAACTATTACAAATCACATTAACTATTTTATTTTAATTTACTAAAAAGTTAGTATGTTTAAGAAACTAAATGTATAATACTTAAATTGGAAGCATCATTTCCAGATCCGAAAAAACTATGTTTTGTGGGTTTTAAATGTGGTGTCGTATGTTCAAAATGTTAACGACGCCGAGCAAGTACTTCGCGGTCGTCGGTCATAAAGGTAAAATAGCAGAAAATTTGCTAAATCTTAATTCCACTAAAAATAGATCTATACCATAGAAGAATGACAGAACGTCAATGTCAATTTGACAAAATTGTATGGGCTATATCTAGTTTTAGTTGTAATAAAAGTAATTGTTATTAAGCAAATTTGCTGCCAGTGGACCTAAGATGTATCTAGGATTGCGTCATATTCGAGAACTGCAACTCAAATTATGAACTAGATTTAATGGCAGCTGTGAAATTAATGCAAGTCGCGGCACAGCAAACGAAATGTAGGATAGGATAGCGGATGTCACTAAACTGAAACCTGCGCGGAGTTGCGCTCGTTGCTAACTTCACAACCACCATAAATTTTAAATCGCACTATTATTATCTCCCGAGTGCGATACATTGCTTAAAAATCTAACGTCCAGTCAAATGAGAGAAATGTCACTTATTTCGGCATAATAAAAGTTCTGACTAATACTTTTTTTAAAACATGGAAAAGATGTTTCAATAAAATGCAAAAAAGTTTTGTATTCTCGTTTCAACGACTGCCAGTTCTCGCATCTTATAGTTATAAGAATACCTAAAGCCAAGTCGGTGGTCTAGTTAACGAGTAAAGCGGAGGAAGCGGCGCAGGCGCAGGTTCGCCTTCAGAATCGGATTCTTCGGAAGAAACTCGTTCGGCCGCACTTAACGCCACGCGTGCGTATTCATCCGTATCGATACTCTTGCAGAAGTGTATAGCGTATCTAAAGATCACATGAAAAAAATATTAATTCAATGTCTAGTTCCCAGATCAGCAAAGACGAAGTTATCAAAACTCACCTAAGCTTCTCCCGTAAAACGGACTTGCATGAGTATCTTGGCATCTTGAGAAGGAAGAAACATGTGTAGCTCTCCGGAAGGAAGTGATCAGGCGGTTGATATTTGTCAAGTACCTATATAATTAAAATATTAATGTTTAGAGATACATTAAGTAAAAACTACAACATTAAATTATAGAATAGCGATAATAAAATAGAAAAACTTTCCAACTTCCTGAATGCCGGACAAGACTTGGTCAGCATTCGCCAATCTACCGGATGTTGTCTGCTTGTAATGCAGTTAGACATAGTGTTGACATTTTTGGCGACTCTATTACGGTAATGAAAAAAAAAACTGAGAGCATTGTTGCAAATGTAAGTGATAGGGTAGTATTGTGTACATAAAATTTAAAAAGAATTCTAAGATATTTATAAAAGTGCATGCTGTGTTTGCATTTATAAGATTTGTGATACTGTTAAGATACACTGTATGTAATTATTTTGTCATTTTCACAATTCGGTTTTGCAAACCAAATAAAAAAAAAATAAAAAAAAAAATAAGCTCCTTATTGTGGAAGTTCAGCTTATTGCGCAACTACTTTTTATCGGGTATGTGATTAAAAATTTACAGTTCAGACGTTTGGCTGCGTTATGGCCCATGTACCATTCTGTCCATAGGAACTGGGAAGGCCTGTTACTCAGGCTTGTAAAGGCGTTCAATAATAAAAAAAACGAGCGAACCTTACATTAGTCGCGTATGATGTGTAACTTTTGAAACCTCACCTTATATTAGTAAAAAAAAAGAAATAAAACCTACTACAAAAGGAATAAGCCATTTGAACATTATGTTCTAAAATCAAATCAAATAGCGCGCGCTTTCACGACTTCCTGTTACACACTTCCGTCCCACTTCACGTAATCACTCCCACAAATTGCACGAAAGCGAGAGGAAAGATGTTACACATCAATAACGTATCATCAATATTGTATACCTGTAACACAAAATCTCTTTGGCGGGGATCTTGCGGAGCCCGCGGTAATCGAGTACGGCCCCACACGAAACGCAGGAACAAAGCGCGCTCGCTGCCAGATAACTCTTCCATCACTTCCCAGAACCATTGCACCAGCGGCGCACTCGGCTCTATTCCTGTGACAGATGAATGAACAAACAATTGAAGATTTTTGAAGTGAAACTTCTATATAAGGGCTATTAAAATTTTGCTGTCACGAAAAAGCTTTACGGCCGCATGGAGTGGCTACACGATATATCGTGCGGTGAGAGGCGGCAGCGTCTTATAAATTAAAGGTTTACTTCTACGATGTGTGCCAGTCCCAGCACAAAATTCTACTTTTATTTCTTTTCTATAACAGTTGCTGGAGCTCCGCTAACATTGGCTCTTTCACCATAAAACGTCAATTGTTATAATACGATACCAGGAATAAAAAAAATCACCATCACCATGTTGGACGCCAATATATTTACTCCTCTATAATATAGGATACATTATATGTAATTAGATACTATCAAGCATCTCGTTGCATATAATGCCATTAAGATGAACATCAGTATCGCGTTTGTCGCCACTATTACTTTCGACGCTTGTAGCATGTGTCTTATGCGCCATATATAAACGTCTGTTGTTAAACCGCGTGAAATAGCCTGCTACATATAATGCAATAAAAAAAATAGCACCACCACTCAGCGAATCACAAACGCAGAAATGACCATGGATCCACATAGCTAAGTCTCTAGTTCGGCAGGGTAGAAACTAAGACGAGACACTAGGAATGAGAAAAATACACGTTGGGCGCCACCATTCCATTTATAAAAGGCGGAGGCTCGAAGCGCGTGTACAGGAATATCTGGCGAGCCGCACACAAGCCTTTCTAGTTCGGCTCCGTGAAATGCTCACCTAACAAGCATCTTGTTGCATTTAATGAAATTTAAAATAATATTTACACCACGTTGGGCGCCACTATTACCTTCATAAATGGCGGAGGCTCGAAGCGCGTGTACAAGAATATAGGGCGAGCCGCACATACGCGTATCTAGTTCGGCTCCGTGAAATGCTCACCTAATAAGCATCTTGTTGCATATAATAACACCACATTAGGCGCCACTATTACCTTTATAAGTGGCGGACGCACGGAGCGCGTGTACAGGGATATCCGGCGAACCGCACACAAGCGTCTCCAGTTCGGCCGCGTTAAACAACGCCACCAACGGCGCGGGAACAACGCGTGACATGCCGTCGCGTACCGCGCGAACTTGCTCGTCGAACTCGTGTAATCTGCGCGTAGGATTAAACTCAAATGTAACTTCCTCAAAACAAGGACTTAAACACAGAAGTAATGCATTGACGTTAGAGTACACTTCCGCATTGAATATAAATATTATCCAACCAAACAGTTTTAGTGGTGTGTTGGCAGTTTGCATTTGGTACAAGGCGTACAAAGGTCAATGATATCAAATTTTACTTTTATATAGTGTACCACTACACACGCACGCTGTTCATAGCAACATATGTTTGTCTGTTGACTGGTGTATATGTAAAAATAAGTTGCATTTAAACTCTTTCTATGCTTTAATTCTTTTTCAACGGTGGCTTCTAACATTTCGTCTTTATAGTAAACAACAGTCTATCAAAAACGACAGACTAACATTGTTGACCATATTCGAATCCGTTTATTAATATGTTCAAACACTTAACGATCATATTACAATAAATAAAATAGGTTGAAACGATATACATGCACTGATTTATTTATTTATTGACGTTTCGCATCCTTAACAGGAGGATGCGTCGTCTGAATAAAACGTCAATAAATGGCTGTAAAGGATGCGAAACGTTAATAAATAAATAAATCAGTGCATCTATACCGTTTCAACTTGTTTTATTTAATGAGTGTTGTGCATGAAAACCTAAGAAACAGATAATAAAGTATTATTATATTATAAACAGTAGTTTTAAAGCTAATCTCATTAAATTACTATTTACCAAAAATACAATAATTACCTGTAATGTAACGCTAACTGTACGTATTCGTCTTTATTGTCCGGCGTTACTCTCTTGTGTCGCGTGGAGAGCGGTACCTCGTGACCAGCCGCAGAAGGTATGGAGAAGGGTAGTTCCAGATTTTGTAATTCCTAGTAAAATCATAGGCACATTTAAAAACTGTTAATTCTGGATTCTGGTAGATTTATATTCATTATTGGTACAAAATATAATTATTAAAACGCCATAATGCTTATTCGTGCAACAAATACCGGAACCTAACGATACTTTGTTTACGGAGATGTGTGCGCTATCCATTATAGTATAAAAAACAATTAAAATCGTGGCAAGCGGAGTGAAAGAGAAAGAAACAAGGATGAAAATGAATGGACGAAAAAATAAGGAAAAAATATTTTTAAAAAATATTAAAAAATATAAATAAGAAAATCCATCATATAATACGAAATTATTTAAATTCTACCTTGTTACTCGGCGTCATATCTCTAATGCAGAGTAGGGCAGGCAAGAAATCTTTGTCGACTTCAGCTAAATCCTGTGGCCTGAGTGGTTGTCCAGCTAGTTGTCTCCACACACCCTCGGCGAGAGACAGCGATAAAGGAGAACCAGTTCTAATAGCGATACCCATTAAAACACCTGTAGGGAATAAGGAGTAATAAGGTTTTATTTAAATTCAAATGGATAAAAACTATCATTTATTTTTGATTTTTGTCAAAAATTACAAAATGATAAATATCCACTTTTTAAGGAGTCCATCAACATCATTCGAGGACCTTATTATATGTTATGCAGTGATAGCAATCTTGCACAGACAGCCACAGAACAATTTAATCATTGTCAAATTTCTCCAACTGTGTTAAACTTTTTATAGCTTTAAATAAGATTCACAATATTTTGGGACAATTTGTAGTAACTTTACCCCTCGTTTTCACCAAGAAACAAGTCATAAACTAGTTTTGTACAAAACTTGTAAAATACTTGTTGTGGTTGTTTAAAACGACTGATGACGACCTCCGTGGCCGAGTGGTTTATACGGCGGGTTTCATGGTGTCGCCGACTTGAGATGTCCCGGGTTCAAATCCCGGTGGGGGGATGTTTGTGTGATGAATACGAGCATTTGTACTCCAGTCACAGATGTTTAATATGTATTTCTATATGAATATCTTATACGAGTATATGTACAATATACTTATTCTATCCGTTACCCTAGTATCCCATAACACAAGCCTTACAGTGCTTACTTTGGGGCTAAGCTAATTGGTGCGAGTGTAGAAATATTTATTTATTATTTATTAATCACTCGTTTACTTCACATATTTTGTTTATTCAACAAGTTTGATACAATAATTGTATACTACATGTTTTATAGACTTGCATAAAATTTGTTAAGAACATTATACCTTGGTATAAACGAGGGGGTTATATAGTAGCTTGCTATTAATGGGTTAGTGCGTTATCGTCTAGAGGTAGTTTAAGTTCAAGACAGTGGTGGACTGCCATGGAATACCACAAGAATTTAATAATTTTGTTATACGAGTTATGTATTGTCTTTTACCTAGAAACCGGAAGCAGTTGAGATGCAGCGGCGTGTTGGCAGTGGGGTTTAATAGAAACGCGTCCCTAGAAGCGCCCGCGTCGCCGCGCCCATTCGGCGTCGCCATCAGCAGCGGTAGCGACCCGTTCTGCAGTTCTTCGCACATCTCCGCTATGCTTTCACTGTAACCGCCGCCGCAGTCGTCCACGCTCTCACCTAAACCATACAAATATACCATTTACTAAGCTCAACTTGAATTTATCTTTTAAAGATATTTTTTGCACCAAAGAAATCGTAGCAAATAGATAATATAAATGCGTCCAAAACAGCGTCGTGAGAACGGGCAGAGGAGCTACCATCTGACCGAACAATAGATACAGGATGTAAAGATAGACATGTGTGCGTATCGGTGTTTCATGGTGAGTGATAGCGCCGTTTTGTCAAGATATGCTTAAAAAATACAGCATCACTACCCACTGTCCCGCTATATAATGACTCACCCACAAACTTGACCCTCCACACTCGGTGCGGTAACGCTAGGGCGTCGTGCGTTACATCGGGCAGTCGACCCACCGTTTTATCGAAAACAGATCGCATGTCATCACAAGCTAGCCTTGATCCATTGCTACCTACCCACTGTCCCACTAAACAATGTCTCACCCACAAACTTTACCTTCTACACTCGGTTCAGCGACGTTCGGAAGAGCGGGCAGTCGAGCTACCATATGACCGAACACAGATCCCATTAAATCACCAGCTAGTTCTGATTCATTACTACCTACCCAATATGCCCCTATATAATGACTTACCCACAACTTGACCTTCCATACTCGGTGCGGTTACGCGAAGGCGTTGTGCGTGAGAGCGGACAATGGAGCCACCATCTAACCGAACAATGATCGCATGCCGACAATACCAGCTAGCTCTGATCCATTGTTACCTACTGTCCCGCTTTATGCTCACCCACAAACTTGAACTTCCACAATCGGTGCGATAACAGCAGACAGTCGTGCGTGAGAGCGAGTCGAGCCACTATCATACCGAACACAGACCGCATGACATCACCAGCTAGTTCTGATCCATTATAACTTCCCACTGTCCCGCTATATTATGACTCACCCACAAACTTGACCTTCCACACTCGGTGCGGTAACGCGAGGGCGTCGTGCGTTAGAGCGGGCAGTCGAGACTGTCACCGACATCGGGCAGTAGACCCACCGTTTTACCGAAAACAGATCGCATGGCATCACCAGCTAGGCCTGATCCATTGCTGTCCCGCTATACAATGGTTCACCCATAAACTTGAACTTCCGTACTCAGTGCGATAACGCGAGGGCGTCGTGCGTGAGAGCGGGCAGTGAGGCACCATCTAACTGAACATAGATCGCATGCCGGCAGCACCAGTTAGCTCTGACCATTGCTACCTACTCACTGTCCTTGACTCTCCCACAAACTTGAACTTCCACACTCGTTGCGATGACACCAGACAGTCGTGCATGAGAGCGAGTCGAGCCACTATCATACCGAACACAGACCACATGACATCACCAGCTAGTTCTGATCCATTGCTATATAAGACTGTCTCGCAATATGACTCACCCACAAACTTGACCTTCCACACTCGGTGTGGTAACGCGAGGGCGTCGTGCGTGAGAGCAGGTAGTCGAGCTACCATCTGACCGAATACAGATCGCATGCCGGCAGCACCAGCTAGCCCTGATCCACCGCGACGAGCCCGTCTTGCTGCTACCCGTGACAGTTCTACCACTGGCCCGTGTTGGCGTTCGCGCACCATAGTCGCCATTATGGCCTAAGAAAAAGTTCAAAGCCACAAATATACACATGAAAAAGTCTAAGCAACTTCTACAGTTTCGAAGTACTGAAAGATTTTTACTTTTTAATACATATATTTATACACACAATCGAATATTTTATATTTTTAAAATCAGCCAATTATGCGTTACCTTAGAATTTTTTTATGTGTATGTATGATTTTTTAAATATTTTCCTATATACATTTAACGAATCTAAGGCTTGAGTGATCCAAAAATGAAAAGAAATTACCTTTCTAAACGCAGCTTCCTTGACGCTGTAGAATAATAGGGTTCGCAAGTGATCCAGAGGACCGTCTAAAATCAATAGCGGCAGGTTCGGACACACTAACTCCGAAAACTGATGCAGCAATACCTGTGGCAATAATATTAGCGAGTTTATTTAAAATCAAAATTTACAATATTTTTATACTCTCTTACTCCTTACTTTGTTTTATTTTATTTTGATGTAGACTCTTCATAAATATCCGAGTAGCACACGATTACAATAAATGTAAATAGTGAATCAGTGTGCACTTTAAATCCTCTTAGAAAAGACCATACAATGAAATAACGATTGATGATGTTTTTGATGGTGAATAATTTTACCATTTGTCCCACCGCCGCGCCGACGATGAACGAGAAGCGAGTAGAGCTAGAAACTAGGAACGGGTTGACGAGCAGCGGGGAGCGAGTGTGTAGTCCAGATAGACCACTGGGCATTACTCGCGCCACTCGGGGTAACAACCTGACAGGACAGAATAGGACTACCAAGTGAGCAACGCTGAGCAAATATTATATTTGATAACTCTTGTCGCTCAGCGACAAGCTAGTGGAGCGAGTTCCCGGCGACAGAGTGAACAGGTAGCGATCAACTATTAACATATGCATATCTTTTGTTTACACGGAATGTATATATGTATATTTTACGTTTCTTGCAAGAAAATAGCCGAAACTTAAATTTGATACGTGCTTCCTTCTCATTTTCTATACAAGATGAAAAGGAGAGACTGATGTTAAATTTAGAGAATCATGTCAGAATCGACACCATTATCTTATTAAGATTCTTACCAGTCTATTGCATATGAGACTGGGCGCCAGGTCTCTTAGTAGGTGGCATTCCAATGGTGGCGGGGGCGGGGGCCTAGGAGCCCTAGCGGCTTCCACGCAAAGCGCCACTGTATGAGCACTACCGCACGCCACTCTTGTGACTCGTTTACCCTTGGACAAATAGACAATTTAAATGACAACACTTTGGTGTTGTGTTAGTGTGTGGTGTTTTTTATTATCTATACTATAAAATATAATATTATTATAATAAAACTAAAGTTCTTATATTTCCCTTTTCCAGTACTCATTTTCTATAAGTTCACATGATTTATTTCCTACTTTTGTTTACAAATGTTTGGTTTTTATTCTAAGATTAGCTCAGTGCTAAAAAAGTGTTTTAAGATTTTTTGGCAAACCGTACTTTTCAAGCCACATTTGACAGATGGAGGTCATTGGTTTTCCTATTTTTATTTGAATCGCATAGTAATGACACTTAGTCGTTAAACTGGAACCGGGTAAACGAAAAACATCACTCGATTTCGGGCACCCGATGCAGTAATTATATTGGTTTACTCAAATTCGGGTACTGGAACACGGGGAAACGACCCTACACCCGCGTTCTAGTTGGAACGTAACTCAGTGATGCCAGATTGGGGGAACCAAAACGTTTCATTTAGACTTAGTCGTTTGTCCGAATTCTATAGACAATCGTATTCGAGCTATCGACCAAGTGTAGCTAAATTACTATAGTCTGTCCATTATATTATTATCTTTTAGACAGATCGATCAAAGTAAAAATAGTGACACCCTATCACATAACTCGTTCGATTTAAAACTATAATCGATTTTATGCTAGAACATTGTTTAATCGATTATAAGTATCGAAATTATTTTAGTTATCAAAAATACTGGTGTTTTATAAGTTATTACAAAATCTCATTAGATTTATTATTTTACCTAGTACAAATATTTGTGTGATGAGCACGAGTATTTGTTCTGTGCCTGGGTGTGATTTATCTATAATATGTTTTAATATATAACAAAAAAAGTAGTATACTATTTATGTATTTGTTTATCCTAATACTCTGTACAATTAGATTTATTGATTATACTTAATAATTTCATTTAAAAAAAGGTTTATAAAAAACTGTATCTTTCGACTTTTTACGTTTAAATATTTTTGAGTGTTGGCAACACCATGTTGTGGTGGTGTATTGCACCATTTTGAAGTCACTTGTTCACTGATCTTGCGACAGTTGCAACGTAATTTTTCTTTTTAAAAATTTTATCGTAATGTTAAGTAGTCTTTTGGGGACTATCAACCTCTTTTTCATACTTTTTTTATAACGCGTTTAAAGTGACGTTTTATTGTAAAATAATTTTGTTCTTGTTTTCTGTCTGTCAATAAAAATCCTTTGGAAAATTTGCCTACGTATTTTTAACTCGTGAAATATTTAATTATTTTCACAAGTCATATAGTGTTGATTTGTTACTTTGTATTGAGCAAACCGTTCTTCCGTAAGCTCTGAATGTGTACTGTACTCATTTATTTCTACCGATTATTTGTAATCTGTGGCATAATCTTAGTAATCATTATGTGTGGCACATCACTAAGTGGGCGGTACCCGTCCATGAAGTACAATATTATTTGTATGACATTTTAACGTAAACAATACGAAATTTCATGGGCGTCGATCTGTCAAAAAGATAATAATAGAATGGACAAACTATAATGCAAATCAAGATGATACCTTTCTATAGATAAATTAAAAATATTCGTAAAGCACTCGCAAGTCACCAGCCCGTTTGCGCGTTGCTTTAAATTAAATAACGAAATGACATAAACTGTGCAAAAGTTTATTATTACAATTTGACATTAGGAATGTTATTATTCTGTTGTATTTAAACTGGAAATATTTTTCCTTTATTGAATAAAAAAAAATAGTGGAGTGATAAAAAAACTTAACAACGAAATACTTAAATATACAATATAATTATAACTGGATATAACTTTGTTAAAAATAAAAATTATCAATGTGTTTGAATCAACCAAAATGACCAGGACAATGTTGAAGAAAGTTTATATTATACCTGGAGAGCCATTAACAACCTCGGTCTTTGCGCAGCGAGTGTGGTTCCGTCACCAAGTTGACCCTCATCGTTATCGCCCCAAGTGTAAACTTCGCCTGCGTCTGTACACGCAACGCAATGGAGGCTACCTGAAACATAAAAATGGATTCAAACTACTACATAAGCTTTAAAATCCAATACATGTTGTATAGGACCTGTCGTGGACACAAATTAAATTTAGGTTCTAAGAAAATAAGTTCTTATATTCTTTTCAATTAATATATTATTCTAAATTACATATGGATACATATTATTTGACTTACCAGTGGCAATTGATACGATCATTTTCCCTTGCATACCAGTGACTAGCATTGGCCGCCTAACGTGTTCATAGCTGCCATGTCCTAATCTGTGATAGTCACCTTTGCCCCTACAAATTTAACATATAAGAGTAACATTTCAGTACTATTAAATTCATCATGATCATCAGCCTATTAATATCCCCACTTCTGGGGCACATGCCTTCCTCATAGATTTTCATAGAGATTGGGCCATGACACACCACGCGGGTCTAGTGCCGATTGGTGGGTGCTAACGACTGCAGATGCACTTACGGCATAACGTGCCTTCCTAAGCACAGAGGACATCGGGATAGTAAAGGGTCATGTACTATGACAAAGAATATATGTAACATCTGTTTACTTCTGTACAATTTGCTAACAGCAAATAAATATATAAATTTTTGGTAACTCATCCAATGACCGACCACTGCGAAAATTTGTTAAATTCAAATATCAATTTTCTTTCAAAGGTCGCAGCAGAAAGCGCTAACCACTTGCGCTATCGAGCTCCTCCTTTATACATTATTTAATTATGTATTAGTAAAATGTAGATAATATTTTGAATATTCCATACCATGTGTAAACACTTCCGCCTTGGCACAGAGCGACAGAGAACTGAGAACCGCACTCCACTTTTATTACACGCAACCCTTTCAGACAGTCAATTCGCATTGGTACTTTACATCCTTCAGAGCCCCCTCGACCTGTGTGGTAATTTAAACATTATTGATTGTAGTTTCTTGAATGATACAATGAGGGGTCTTTAAGAAAATTTACGTCACCAGTAGGCGCCACTGTGACATGAAGTCCTTTGTATGATTTGAACATTTGGCGAAAGACATACACGATTTGAAGGACAAGTAGACCTTTCGTCTCAGTGATGCCACCTGGTGCGCGTCATTCCAAAAAACTTATTGAAACCATGTGTATATTATTTATTACAAATGAGGCTAACTAACTTCGTCCACGTTAACTCAACTTTATTGGGAATCGTACAGGAACCTTACACTTTTTCGAGATAAAAAGTATCCTGTGTCTCAATCCAAATAATAAACTACATGTGTCTTAAATTTCTTTCAAATCTGTTTAGCCGTTTTTGTGTGACTGAGTAACAAACTTTCACATTCATATTAGTACCAAGTAGGATAGTAATAATATTTATTGTCTATAAATTCATATATTAATAGTCTTCCTATTAAAATTTTAAACATCATAGTGCCACATTTAATATTTCTTAACGAAGAATACACTTATTATTATTATATGTATTTGATAAAGGCAAAAAGTGAACGTTCCGTCTTTGATTACTTATTTTTCAATTTTTCTCGAGTGACACAATGAACGACAATATTATTATAAAAAAAGTTTTAAAAGGGATAAATTTATATAATAATTATTTATTTATTTTCTCCTAAAACTTTAGAAAAATACAGACTAAAGCTTTAAAAATAGATGAATCCTGCGCTAAGCAATCATCTGGTTCCTATTTCCACCCCATTGGGTGATATACTCAATAAAACGCTAGGTGGCGCTTCTGTCACGTCAACAATAGGCTCCTTGTTAAAACCTTTTTAAATTTATTTAAAAGTAAATTTACACAAGTTATGCTGTAAAAATAATTTCTTATATTACAACCTATCTGTGGTGTTGTAATCTCGGATTGATTCGCAGTGGTAATAGTAAATTAATACAAAAATAAAACAAACATTTACAGAGCTCAACTATTGACTATCAAGACGAAGTTATAATCTCTTTGGTTGAATAATATCTACGTGAAAGTGTAATTGTGTGCCAAAGTACAATTTAGACTCGTTTAGTGTTTTTTTTTGCAACTGTGAAGTTAATGAAACAAAGTTTTAAAACCATTTACCCGTTTTGAAGCTTTAAAAATATATTGTTGCTAAGTACGCTTATTTTCGTCGCTTTATATGTAACAAGTATGGCTTGGTAGCTTTTGGAAGCGGGTAATCAACGAATCGACGTTCAAATCCCGAGAACTCAATCCTTTTTTTTAGTGTAATTCAATAATTGCTATATATATATATATATATACTTATAAGGATCCCAAAAAGGACAATACCAACACTCCTGTTCGTTCTGCAATACGACACGGTTCCCCACTTAATACTCAAGCAACTCAGCGTCAACTGCAATCGGGCCTTACATTAGAAAATATTAGGAACGTCATCAAAGAGGAGATGATCTCAGTTGTCAACGCTCAAGTCATCGAAGAATTAAAGGCTTCACGGTATGACATTTATATATAAAGTTGTAAACAACGGTCTCACTTGCGAAGATCTTTTATCACTCATTGCACTTAATGTGCCACACACCGTCCCGCGATTCCCTATCACCAGACAATTTTATACTACGCGCTGTCGCACTTATATTGGTCTGTCCTCTCCAATAGTAAGAACGTGTTACGAGTACAACATGTTAAATAATTTTCCGGGCGACCTCGTCATCATGCACGACTCCTTACGCTCTTTTAGATCTAGAGTGTTGAAATCACTTGCCAAATAAATGAATTTTTATTGCACCCAATATTTATTTAGCTTAATTTGATTTTACTTAACTGATTTCATATTTTTTTTATTCATGTTATTCTTCTTATTTTAATAATAAATTATTAATTTGACGATGATTAGGTCAATTATAATGTTGTACATGCCTATAATAAGTGTGCACATCAGGTACTATGTTTGTGAATTTTGTATTTGTTTTTTGTATGTGTATACTGTTGGCGTGGTTAATAAATAAATACTCACCCAATTTGCCATAGTCACCGTCACCCCAAGACCAAACATTATCATCATCTGTGATGCAGAGCGTTTGAGCATCGCCAGACCCACAAGCAACATCAACCACACGATACATCGCTAGCGCTTCCACCTGAGAGCAAATTATTATCACATGTACATTATTTCATCCAAAACAACAACAAAGGTATTTAATGCAGACTCAAAACAACTCATGCTCTCACAACAAACTTAATTTTAAAATAAAACCACCGGGAAATTATTTTTAATAAACCTTCCATAATTCCATTACAAATGTGATTTTCTTCCATAATTTTTTATAATACGTCATCACAGACTATGTATACAAGTTGCTTTTCCAGGGTTAAACTATTGAGAGTTGAATTGATTGATTTAATATTTACCGGGCACGAGTTGGTCCTCAGAATCCCCGTGACCGAGGCGACCGTGCCGTCCCTGGACCAAAGTGTAGATGCGGTCGCGCACTGTGAGACAGTTGGAGTGAGCTATGCTGACAGCGCTGTTATTAGCTTCGGACGGAATAATGGTAGTAAATTTGTATTGATTTATTCAATAGTTACCTATTGGGCACAAGTTGGTCCTCCAAGTCCCCGTGGCCGAAGCGCCCGTACCGTCTTTTGTCCCAAGTGCAGATGCGGCCGCGCACTATGAGGCAGGCGAAGTGAGCCAGCACTGACAGCGCTGTTATTAGTACGGACGGAATAATGGTGTATAGGATAATGTACCATAGCTATCAATTCGGGTGCAAGTTGACCATCAAAACTGCCAGCACTGTAATTAGCTTCGGACAAAATAATGGTGAACTGGATAATGTCATAGTTACCAATTTGGGTACGAGTTGGTCCTCAGAGTCCCCGTGGCCGAGGCGACCATACCGTCCCTTGCCCCAAGTGTAGATGCGGCCGCGCACTGTGAGGCAAGCGGAGTGAGCACCGCCGCAAGCTATTGTAACCACTTCTAGCGCTGACAGCGCTGTTATTAGCTTTGGACGATCGTAGCTCCTATTAAATAGGTGAATAAAAGATCTATAAATATCAATTTAGGTGTTAGGTTTTTTAACTTTTCTTTGCATTTACAAAGTTTTATCAACATCATGTAAATGGTCTATAAATGAATAATAAGATACAAACTGAAAAAACAAAATTAACATTTATTGTTACTTATACAACTTTAAAAATGTCATAACCAAACAGAAAGAAGGGTGTTACCCAGGGTTACACTGGATAATTATCGTGATAATTATCAAGATAATTACGTATTGATAATTATTGTTGATAATAACGAGTAACTGTTATTGTACAAAACAAAATAATAGTACATTGTTGTCGAGGCGCGGAAAACCAGCAATTGCTGGATGAGTAGAGTTTGAACAATACGAGTCAAGCAATTGCTAGTTCCGCCGAGGCTTACATAGAGCTTTTCTATAAAAAATGCAAGGAAATAAATAAAAAATCTGTAGAAAAATAAATCAGAAATCCCCCCAGTTGTTTCAGTTTTCCCACCAATCGTGGTATTCTTTATAAATCTGTTTTTCATAGGGCAAAGTTTACAGCCATACAGCCTAGAGGGTGGTTCATACGAAATAAAATTAAATATAAATAAAAATTTGATAATAAACGAGTAAACACCAGTTCAGTTTTCCCACCAATCGGCGTATTTTTTGTTTGTCCGTATTTCATAGGGCAAAGGATAAATATGGCCATACAGCCATTACACACACGGTTTTTACATACTGAAGAAAAAACAAAAATTACAATAATAATAAAGTCATTCACATGTCAAAATTAAAAGTTTTTTAACAAAAGTTGTCTCAGAATGTCAGCTAAAAAGAAAGTCTAAAAATAGAAAAAATCTTTCATTTATATATATATATATATATGTTTACTTGATTTGATCGTTGGATAATTATCAGAGAAAATAATTATCTTGATAATTTGCAACCCTGGTGTTACCTAAGATAGAAAATTCTTGACACAACTATTCACTGTAGATTTGAAGCAAATTATAATCCGGGAAAAAGTTTCTTTAAGCTGTTTTCTGGTGCGAAATTGACATCTATTGCAATTAATGTAATTATATAAAACAAATTGCTTGATGTTTACAAAAAAATAAAGCAGAAACTTACACGCGATTGCCGTGACCAAGTTTGCCATCTTCCCCTTCGCCCCAGCTGTACACGTCGCCTTCCGATGACAAAGCAAGACAATGCTTCCCACCGGAATTACAAGCAACCTGCCAGAGAAGGACATAAGTACGCAATTAACTTATTTTTTTATATCTATTTAAGAAAAACTAAGCTTAACGAAAATATTTGTGTAATCCCACCTTTGTTATGAAAATATGTTGAATTGAGGCTAAGAGAGTTGGTTGAGATACAGAATCAATGCCGCCAATACCTAAACGACCGCCCGCTCCGTAACCTGCGCAAATGACACACGCGTAAATCATATATACGTACACTTCAGACATTGGACGTTATAATAATAATTGATAAACTACGAGTAGCTGCACACTGGATTTAGATCAGCTAATGTGTGGCAGGGCGTAGGAGTTCTAACTTTAGCGTCTTCGACCTCACCCAACTGGCCGCAAAGATAATGACTTAAGAGTTCCTTACTACTCTAGTACAAAAAAGCGGCCAAGTGCGAGTCGGACTTGCCCATGAAGGGTTCCGTAGCAACAAGTAACATAATATAAAACCTGCCCCCCGCGCGCTCTGCACCCGCTACCCACGCCCCGCGCGAATTATAATTATTATTTACTTAGGCACCTATTACAGATTTATTTATTAGAAAATAATGGTTCGCGGTTTATACATAATGGTTATATATATGAAATTAATTTTTTTTTTATTTTTATATTTGAGTTGATTGAATGAAAGGTAAATAGAGGTTTACGACTTATGACGTATTAAAAAAATACTAGATCTCGTTCAAAGCAATTTTCAGTGGAAGTTTGCATGGTAATGTACATCATATATTTTTTTGGTTTTATCATTCTCTTATTTTAGAAAACGGCTCATTTTACCACTTTGGAAGTGTCTCTCGCGTAAACTATTCAGTTTAAAAAATTAATTTTTGCAGACCTACTTATAGATACCCCACACGTATGGGTTACATGAAAAAAAAGTTTTGTGTTTCAGATCTAAGTATGAGGAACCCCCAAAATTTATTGTTTTTTTTCTATTTTTTTTGTGTGAAAATCTTAGTGCGGTTCACAGAATACATCTACTTACCAAGTTTCAACAGTATAGTTTTTATAATTTCGTAAAAAAGTGGCTGAGACATACGGACAGACAGACATGACGAATCTATAACGGTTCCGTTTTTTGCCATTTGGCTACGGAACCCTAAAAAAGAATACTTACCAGTAGCTTAAACCTTTCCGTCAGGTGTGACAGAGAGTAGTGACTATTTTTCGCCCACTAACTGCCCTAGATTGAGTACAGCGAGTGCGTGGCAAGGCGTAAGAGTTCTACTTTAGCGCCTTCGACCTCATTCAACTGGCCGCGAAGATAATGACTCCGAGTTCCTTACAATGCTAAAGATAAGGTATAATATTGAATGCATACCAGTAGCATAAACTTTTCCGTCTGGCGTGACAGCGAATAGTGTCTGTTCTCCACCCACTAATTGCACTGGATTAAGTGCAGCGAGTGAGAGGCAAGGCGTAGGAGTTCTGACTTTAGCCCCTTCGACTCCGCCTAATTGCCCACGGTGATTATGTCCCCATCCGTAAACTGCGCAGCCTAAAGAGCCGCCGCTCCACCAACCAGTCCAATCTTCTGGACGTCTGTATAGAACAAACGAAAGAAATACATTTAAGCGATATTAGCTTGCGATCGGATTAACATAGTTCAGTAGAGGATTTTTGGGTTTGATAAAAAAGTAACATTGCATACATATTGTTGCAACAGATCGTCATGTTATCGCATGAACTTAGTATTGTTCTTAATTAGGACAGTCTTCTGTGCACTGTGTAAAGCGCTGCGTCGGAGCTTTTATTTGAAAAGTAACTAAAATATGTACTTATTGACCCAATGGAGTAACTGCTCCTCGTGTTGCCGCGTAAATTTCATGTTGTTCTCCATGGATAAATAGCGTCTGTGCTACTTTCTTCGGTATTGTAGACAAACAATTCCGACAATCCGTTTCGCACGTCGGTTAAGAACGGCTCAGGTTTACCAGTGCTTTAGCACTGCGTCGGAGTTTTAATGAAAAAAATAAGAAGCATACGTACTTGTTGACCCAATGGAGTAACTGCTCGTCGTGTTGTCGCGTAAATTTCGTGTTATCCTCCCATGGATAAATAGCGTCTGTGCTGCTCTCTTCGGTGTTGTAGACGCCTAATTCTGACAGTCTTTTTCTCACGTCAGCTAAAAACGGCATAGGGATTGCACTGCGTCGGATTAAGGCGTCGGCGGTTCGTATGCAGAGGCAGTAGCGTTTAAACCACGTCCAGCGTGCGGCGTCCGGACCGCTGCATACGCGCGTGTCAATTCGCAAACCGCATGCGAGCCATGCTAATTCCTGTTATGGAACAAATACAGTACTGTTACTATAAAAAAACGACGAAGGTGTAAGAATGTTATAAAAATCATTATGTAGGGTTTCATGCCATGGTACAATAATAGCCGAAATAATAATACAGCAATAAATATCAAGTGGTTCCTTATGTTTTTTAATACTTTCTGATGTAGTGGAAATAGGATAAAGCATTCTGTGACAATGTCACCAAACCTCGCTAATAGAAAAATCACGATATAAGTATCGTTCTGTGCCTCTCGCACATTATTTCTGATAAAATTTGCTTTAGGCACGAAATTACTTGTGACGCCATTTAAGATTCGTTTCTTTTATGCCAAACGGAAAGAGAAGGCTTATTGATAGGGTCCCGCTTCATCGTCTGTTAGTTCTGCTATAGACATCGTATGTAACAATATGGTCACCTTGAGATAGTACGTGTGCATGAGATGCGTGCCGATCCTTAGTGCGGGCTCCTCGTGCTCGTACAGCGCTTGCAGCAGTTGCGGCAGGTGTGAGGGGGGGAGGGGGGGAGGGGGCTTCAATATCTATGTACCGGTTCTGCAGACATCGTATGGAACAGTATGGTCACCTTGAGATAGTGCGTGTGCATGAGATGCGTGCCGATCCTGAGCGCGGGCTCCTCGTGCTCGTACTGCGCTTGTAGCAGTTGCGGCAGATCGGAGGGGGGGGGGAAAGCTTCATTATCTATGTATCAGTTTTGCAGACATCGTATGAAACAATATGGTCACCTTGAGATAGTGCGTGTGCATGAGATGCGTGCCGATCCTGAGCGCGGGCTCCTCGTGCTCGTACTGCGCTTGCAGCAGTTGCGGTAGGTGGGAGAGGGCGGGCGGTGGAGGGGGGCCCGATTCACCAGCCACGCCGCAAACTACGCCGCGTAGACGGCGTACACACCACACGCGACCGCGCCAAGCTAAACAGTTGATTGAGATAAATTTAAGATTCTTCCCATGCCATATAGTAAGATTACTATGGCCATGCTATGAACGTATCCGAGATAAAAAACAACAAAATTGGAGTTTCCAAGTCCACTGAAATCGACTTACCGCCGCGTAATACACTGCTCTCTCGTGGTAAACACTTGGGACAAAATTTGTTTTAAAGAAAACTCAACTAAAAACTCTACTCAATAGGAGGCGTTGCAGGCGGGGTTTAGTATCCTTTTATATTTTTATCGCGTAGGAAAATGTCTGTCAAGTCAAGCAAACGATTTTCTTCATTCACCAAGTTTTGTTAGGTATGTAATTTATCAACTACAACTAGTTTTGGGATATACAAGTTTGACTTTCTTTCTATAAGGTATACAAATCACTTACACAATGTTGGCATTTGCGCGCATATAGCGAGTGCTTGTGCCAATCGTGGAGCCAGTTGATGGTCGTTCGATATCGTAGCTAGGAGAGGTCCGTCGAGTAAACGCCAAGCTAATTCCACAGAGGGACTGGACAATACATATCGGTCCGATCCGCTATCCTGCGAGGTGAAGTAATTATTATATACTATATTTACTACATTATATTAATGAAAACGAAGTAAGTATAAGCTTTTCTACAATTAGTCGTTATTATGACGAATCACAGCCCCTTTTTTCGGGTGGTAAAGAAAGCGTTCTGCTACAGTCGAACCACGATAAGTCTACAGTGGACTGACAGTAGCAAAAATTAAAACTTTGCACATGACAGTACTGATTATAATTAAATTAACTATCACTGATACTTTAATATTATTTAAAAATGGAAATGTGTAAATTATATATATATTGTTGTTTGCAAATTTATGGGCCGATTTCGATGATTCAGTTTCATAGTTACGTACTCAAAGGATAAAAACAAAACCATTTTTATTTCAGTCTACTTTTTGAAGAGATGGCTGATGGATCCGAATCCAAAACCTTAATTCCTCCATATCAAATGTCCTCATTAACTTTCATTACTTTCGTTTCTTCTTGATATTCAACCTCTCCTTCTACATTTTCAATATATCTCCCTTTATACTTAACCTCATTTCTTTCTCTTATAAAGTCAACTCTGCAAAGCATTTCCTATTATTATACGATCATCTGCGGAAGAACTAAAAAAAACAATTTTTAATTTAGTAATTTCTATTTTATATGAACTATTTTTTTATATAAAATAAATGTTACGAAACAAGTGTTCGTCCACAATAAAAACAATAGTTTATTATGTAACCCTATGTGAAAATAAAATTTTAGATATATAAAATGTTACTGTTGAAATGTAAATAAAAAATAAGAATATAAAAACAAACTAGTATCAAGGAATTCATTGAAACTCAGTCCTTGAGATTAGGATTTCTTCATAACATTGCACTTTTTTTATAAGAACCGACTCCATTTATCGTTTTGCAGATTTATTATGACTTATTATTTTATAAATAATTTCTCCAACTCTAATTTTCTCTCTTTTATTTACGCCACAAACAAAAAAAAATGCATTGCATGACAGGACATTTCAGACATTTTTGAATTAACTCTTAAAAGGGCTGCCAGATGAAGATTTTCTGGTGTGACCAGATTATTGAATCTGCAAAGTTATCGTAGTCTGACTGTAAGGCACTTTGCAGACGACGGGGCGGGGCGGGCCGGTCAATTCCGCCGCGAATAATAGCACAAAGTGAATCCTATACTTCAAACGCACACAGAGGGCAAAAAGACCGCGCCGCAGGTGCCCGTCAGGCAGTGGCGGCGCGGCATGTCCGCGGCTCCCGCCGTGGATCATACAAACCAGTTTATATTCAGTAACGCAGACGGCGGCGCGGGGCGGTCAGCTCAGTACGCGCCACGCGCTTATTAGTGATGGACTATTCACTAGAACGAACGTCCTAAACTGACCGCCTCTGCCCGTCGTGTTCTTTGTGTACGCGGCGCGGGCAGCCGCAGACATCGACGGGCAGACGCGGTCTTTATTGCTTCGCGGACTAAATGCCCGCCCCGCCCCGTCGTCTGCTCAACGCCTTACTCGATTTCGTGAACAGAGAATACTAATTTAAATAAGATCGACCAAACACTAATTCCTTACTGAAATTATACAAACTAAAGACAAAAATATTAAAAACATAATCTATAATTGTTTTTAAAGCTCTATCTATTAGTATAATTATTTTATCGCATATCCCAGAAAAATACAGAGAAAATACGTAAAATTTTAAAATAAAAGTTATAGGATGAATGCAGGGCGAATGGGGCTGTCAACGATATTAAATACCCTAGATACACCACGCGCGCTCAAAATGTGTCTCTATCGAGAAGTGCTTGAACACGACTCAAGCACTGCTTGGTTCACAGTCACGGGCGGACCGTTGAAAAATCAACATGCCGCTGAGCTCCGTGAAAAAATGCGACATAAATACTTATAGTATGTAAAGTGAAGTTTTTTGACAGCAAATGTTGTTTTAATGCTTACTATAAACTGATTTAATGGTCATGGTAAATGCATGGTCGGTAATATAGCTGTCTCTTTTCCTCGCGGACCGTACCTGCTATATTGCTAACAGCGCATTCAGAATTGCGCGTAGAATCAAAGAAATAAGGTCTATATTCTTCCGCATATAGCAATAAGTCGTAAATTTTTACGAGCCTACATCTCGGACTGTCATAACTCTTTGACGCATGCGTTTTAATTAAGACCTCAAGATTTTCAATGTTGAAATAATGCCTTATATTGTTTTTGACAACGCGATCATCTTAAGAGGCTCCGTGGATCGTCCAATGTACCTTTTGGACAGGTTTCGGGCATGATTTTGTTCGTGTTGGTGTATCTAGAGCATTTAATGTCTTTGGGGGCTGTGGCCAACAGAGATCTCGACTCCAACAGCTCATGTACCACTGCAAATCGTAAGAGACCCGGTCCAGATTTAGAGGCCTTTACTCCTTCGTTGCCCCAGGGACCTCTAAATGCGGCCATGAAAGAATGAAGGAAACTTTGATTATATATTACTAAAATAATCTGATAAAATCAAGTTACGGTACTAACTGTGTTCGAATGCGATGGAAGTATGGGATGTGCTGTAAATCTCCACCCCCATCCGTTGACGGAACTGTCACTCGTGAAACGCCAACGCAGTTCATCACCTGTTGTTAATGTTTATATACAATATCATATGAGCTCTCTCTTCTTGACAACACAGACAACTCACGCAAAGGGTTTTTCTCGCATCCGCCACGCGCGGGCGGCTTCAGAATTGTTTTTTATACAAAGATTCACGAGACCCGCCGAACAAAGCTCGCCGCGTCTGCAACTGATCGCACTCTGCGGCCGCAAATCGCACCGCGAGTTTTGCTTTCGCGTATCACCTACAATTTCACATTCTACACGAGTTGCGATCCCGCGGCGGATGCGGGAGAAAATCGCGCCGTGAGGTCTTAGCCTAATCAAGAGCGAAAATTTTACAAATTCATAACATAATGGTTTAAAAATTAAAAACTACTAAGTTTTTAATTTTTTTAACTTTTTTTTTGGAGTCGTGTGAGGAGGGTCGTTGCGTTCCCTAAAAAATTGTTGAGCGAAGCGATGGCTGGTTCATGCGTCATTCTCGTGAACGGGTGCTGCCAGCGGACATGAGTCTGCTCTTGCTTCATTGGGTACTATTAATCGTTGTACTAAACTTTAATCGTTCATTATATTTTTTTTTTGCCTAAACAGTAGGACACGGCATTCCGAAACCTTGTTAAACCAGTTTTTTATATAGTCATAATTTTTATATTATTTACATTTGTAATGGAAAGTGACTTTATGAGTTACTTCATATTGGAGTCATTTTTCAATTTTACGACTCTGTATATAATACAGGGGAAAAAAAACAGCCCTGGCTGAGTTTCTTGCCGGTTCTTCTCACGCCATAGATTTGCGAACCGATGGCGTAGCTTTTCGACATTCAGAAGTGCTTGTAACAGCCTAGACTGAATAAACGATATTGAATTTTGTTTTTTTTTTTAACTAAACTCGATTAACTGAAATGATAATATAAAATGCAACAGAACAGTTTGGCTATCATCGGTTAACTCAATTAGTTTTGTAAATTACTTTTTTCAGTGCGTTAGCATATTCGCCTATGGGCGGAAAGCTTTAAGGTCGGCGTAACATAATAGGTACTATACTATTAATTGTAACTTTTTATTAATACTGACTTATTATAATTATTACTCTTGGATTCGATTCGATTATAAAGGGAGGACCCTTTGTCATACATCAATTTGCGGAATGTGATGTTAAGAGGACTATCTTGTCGATTAACTCCAGTGCGGTAGGCAGTGATTCAATCAGCCGCAAAATGATCCTGCCTATTATCAATATCCTGATTCCTGTAATCAAAACCATTCTTAATACTTCAGTTTCTACTGAAGTTTTTCCTTCTTCCTGGAAAGACGCCAATGTGATTCCTCTCCCCAAAAAATCAAATCCCACCTCTTTTTCGGAATATCGTCCCATATCCATTCTTCCGTTTTTATCAAAAGTCCTTGTTAAACTAATATCCCGGCAGCACACGGCTTTTCTCAATTCGAACCACCTCTTCAACTCTTTTCAGTCTGGCTTTCGTAGGGGCCACAGCACTACTACCGCACTGGTTAAAATTTCGGACGATATCCGCCTAGGAATGGATAAACGGCAACTGACGTTGTTGACGCTGCTTGATTTTAGCAACGCCTTCAACTCAGTCGACTTTGACATCCTTTTAGGCGTTTTGGGTTCACTTAGCATATCTCCATCCGCAATTGAATGGTTTCGAAGTTACCTGCTAGGCCGCCGACAGCGTATCCGTATTGACAACACCTTGTCCTCATGGTGTGATATCAATGCCGGTATTCCTCAGGGTGGTGTACTATCTCCTCTTCTATTTTCTCCTATCTTTATAAACTCTATCACACTGTCACTTTCATGTTCATATCACATTTATGCTGATGATCTCCAGATATACACTCAGGCCCACTCAGGTCAGAATTTAAAAATAAACAATTACAACTCGAAAAAACAAAACAATGTCATTCTTATATTAATAATTGATGTATTTTTTTGTTCATAAAGGGAGTGTATTTTCTTATCACATTCACGGCGAAATAAGAAACTGATTAGGCGGCGAAGAGGTCTATGCAATTGCGTTAGTGTTTTTTGAAACCGAGAAAAATAAAATGATAAAGGAAGAGATGCAATTTTCAACTTACCAGCTACGATGATCTCCTGTGACCAATCCGAGGGTTCTCTGCCAGATCTAGTGGTGAGAACACGGCCAGTAGCGTCCGATATGGTTAGGGGATCGTTTCGACGCTCCGTTGAGCAGCCTTGTTCGAACGTTACTCGCAAGGAAGACGCCCCTGGGATCTTCACCACGCCTAATAATAATCACGTCATGTATTTAAAATATTCTCGAAAATAATACTGTTGTCCGTATTGAGAGTTAAGATAAACGAAACGGAATTTTGCTTCGATTCCCTCGTGTAATTTTACAAGTTAAGCTGAGAAATCGAAGTGTTTGCTGCATGAAGCCAATCATAAAAGATGGTAAAGGAACTTCGATTAGTTTAATGTGGTATTTGAACATATCAGGATTGTTTCACATTAACTTCAAAGCAATTTATTTCGTATCCACAACATTTAATTACATAAGAGCCATCATCATCATAATCAGCCCATGGGCTCTGCCCCCGGCCGCTTCCTCCAGCTCACAAAGATGTAATGACGTAACCACTGACCCGCTATGTCCGTGTCGTCGGCGTACGGATGCGGGCTGTCCACAGTGACCGGCTGCGAAGACGCCCGTCCTCCACCTGCAGCTATCATTGATGTGATGACGTCAACACTGACCCGCTATGTCCGTGTCGTCGGCGTACGGATGCGGGCTGTCCACAGTGACCTGCTGCGGCGGCGCCCGTTCTCCACCTGCAGCTATCATTGATGTGATTACGTCACCACTGACCCGCTATGTCCGTGTCGTCGGCGTACGGATGCGGGCTGTCCAGTGACCGGCTGCGGCGGCGCCCGTCCTCCACCTGCAGCTATCATTGATGTGATGCCGTCACCACTGACCCGCTATGTCCGTGTCGTCGGCGTACGGATGCGGGCTGTCCAGTGACCGGCTGCGGCGGCGCCCGTCCTCCACCTGCAGCTATCATTGATGTGATTACGTCACCACTGACCCGCTATGTCCGTGTCGTCGGCGTACGGATGCGGGCTGTCTAGTGACCGGCTGCGGCGGCGCCTGTCCTCCACCTGCAGCTATCATTGATGTGATGACGTCACCACTGACCCGCTATGTCCGTGTCGTCGGCGTACGGATGCGGGCTGTCCACAGTGACCGGCTGCGGCGGCGCCCGTCCTCCGCCCGCGGCCGCTTCCTCCAACTCGCAAACGCAAACCTCTACCACCATATCCGCGACGGCTGGCTTACTGGCGCATAGAGCTATCGAAACAGTAATATTCACGTTAAACTCATAACACCAACAGTAAAAGCCTGTTCAAATGACTTAGGGTGACTACTTGGTACTAGCGCACAAAAACCAAACACACGATTTTTTTTTTATTTCTACTAAGCGTACCCCCCGCGGATGCAAGGCGTATGCTTGGCATATGCAACTACACAAGCATGACTTTAAAATTTGAGATTTATTGACGTATAAACAACGATATTAAGGTCCGTAATACAGAATGACAACTAAGTGTTGATCTTTACTTGAGTAGAGTTAGAAAGGGATATCGCTATGTGCTATATATAGCGACATCCCTTTCTAACTATGCTCAAGACTAGATCAACCACTGAGAATCTTTCTTTAATACGGGCCTAAATATACTAGATACACCACGCGCACAAAATGTGTCCAAATCAAGAAGTGCTTGAACTCCACTCGAGCACTTCTTGGTTCACAGTCACGCGCGGACTGTTGAAAAGTCAAGATGACGAAGAGCTCCGTGAAAAAATGCGAAAAAAATACTAATAGTACGCAAAGTGTAGCTTTTTCGACAGGTATCTAATCAATGTTTGTTACTTTAATGCATTTGAAGCAAATTTTGTTCTAATACTTACTATAAACTGATTTAATATAAAATATTTGTGAAATTCCGAGAATTGCGTGTTAATTCAAAAATATAAGGTCTATATTCCTCCGCATATAGCAATAATTCGTAAAATTTTATGAGTTTGTATTTTGAACTGTCATAAGTCTTTGATGCATGCGTTTCAATTAAGACCTTTTACAGTATGCATAAAAAGTGACTGCCAATGTTTCAATAATGCCTTATATTGTTTCTGACCACGCGATCATCTTACGGAGCTCCATGGATTGTCCAATGTAACTTCAGGACACGTTTCGTGCGGCCACGATTTTGTTCGTATTGTATCTAGGGTATTTAATATTGTAGCATGTAAAGCGTGTTAGGGCGCTTGTTAACGAGACGATTGCTACCCGGGTTTAAGCATGCTTTTAAACCGTATCTACGTCCGGTTGTCGCATGGAACACTATGGAGGTTTGTCAATGTGCTAACCGTGCTTGCGGACAAACTTAGCCAGCCCGGGTAGAAACCGTGCCTAGACCTGGAGGGGAAACAAGTTGTTAACAAACGCCCTTAGACTCGGGTGCTTACACGAGTGGCATACGCGTAGCATACACTTATCGTCTGAATAAAACTATCGCATTTTGTTGCCTTTTTACTCTTACAATGCATTTCGTATTCGGAAATTCCAAGTATCCGTGAAAAGTGTAGATTTCTATTACAGTTTCTCTGCGATGATATAATTATTAAAACTCACCCATAAGAACGTCTGTGACGATTTTAACCGCATTGTTTGCGTCTGGTATGCGATTGGCAGCTGCCAACTTCAGCAAGTCGACTAAAGCCCTTGCGTCAGATTCGCCTAGTTGTGACGTGAACTCGTCTAGAACCAACTAAAAAAAAAATAAGTTTTAAGTGTTCATCGCCGTGTAATGGCGTAATGCATATCAAAGTAATGTTTAAAATGGCAGCTACCGATATCGAAAAAGAGATTTTATTTTACAGAATGGCCCTACAGTGCATCTTAAAGCCAACGCCTGAGTTAAAATTTAACTCGCTACGTCCAATGACTTAGGCTGGGCGTTGATAAGTCAGTCAGTCAGAAGCCCAATCACGAACTTTGACAGATTCGTAATCGTATCGTCATCGTCAAATTTTGTACGGAAGGAGCGAGTTTGTTCTTACGTCCGGTAGCTGCTTAGTTTTCTACTTAGAAGCTTTGACGATGCGATACGATTACGGGGCTGTCAAAGTTCGTGCTTGAGCCCTGGCTTTCTTACTTCATATAATATATAAATTTCTCATGTCACAGTGTACGTAATTGAACTACTCCAAAACGGCTAGACCGACCAGTCTAAGAATCGGACATCTATTTTTCATCACCCTAAATGCAAGGTCTACATAAGGTCTAGATCCACCCTTAATTTTTTTTTGGTATTTTTTTTTTGTTTTTCCTTATTATGATACATCATACAAAAATACATACAACCCTAAATTTTCACCCTTCTACCACCAAACTCTATTTTTTATGGCGGTACGAAGTTCGCTGGGACAGCTAGTATACTATAAAAAAATGCAAACATTAGAATGGTAACGATTGTTGATAAAAACCAGAGCCGTATTAATAAACAAGTTTGACACTTACCAAACGTTTAATACCTTACTATTCAGGTATTGTAAAATACTGGCCAAAATGATATAAAATTATAAAAAAGAATAAATATTAATACAAAAATAAATAAAAGCCAAAGAAAAATTAACATCCGAACTTGGGTTCGAACTACTGACCACTTGCCTCGACGTCAAGAGACCGATTGCGTTAGGCTATCTGTCCCTTAGAATAAATGATAAAATTACGAATAGATATATGAGTTGCTTTTATAGGTTAAAAACTTTGTATAAAATTCGGAATTTCCTTACAGAACAAACACGGATCATTTTATGTGAGTCACTGGTTTTATCGGTACTGAATTATGGGGATCTAGTATATGGTCCTCGTTTGCTTACTAGTACTCAAAGGCTTATCCAGCGAGTTCAAAATGCTTGTGGTCGCTTTTGTTTTAATATCCCTCCTCGAACCCACGTGTCACCATTTCTTAATAGCGCCTCATTATTGAATATGGAGTCACGCAGGCATCTGCATTTGGCAGTATTTATGTTTGATCTGTTAAAATTTAAGAACCCGGAATACCTTTACAAAAAGTTACAGTTTCGTACCTTCCATTCTCGATATGGACCAGGTGTTTGCAGATCAATACGTCCGATATTGGCGACGCAAAAACATAAGACAGTGGCATTTACAGGTAGTTTCCGCCACCAAGCGACTAAATGTTGGAATGATTTACCTCCTCCTATAAGACACGTAATATCAAGGTACACTTTCAAAAAGCAAATTAAATTAGCCTTACTGAATTTGCAAACTTTAGGCATACGCACTAATTGTCGTTTTGGTGGAGGTTCTTCTGTAAGCATTCAATCTTCTTGACATTCAAATTAAAATTTATATTTTATATTATTACTTACACATTTATTTAATATTGTCTACACAATTTTGTTTTTAATGATTAATTACATACATTTATTTATTATTATTTAGAAAATTTTATTAACAAATATTGCTAGGTAAATTAATAATGAAGTAAATGATGTTCGTGTATTGTGTTTGTGTGGCACTAGGGAATTACAATGCCAGCTTTGCAGCGTACCTACATCCTCGCGCTTCCTAGGGGCAGTTGCTGAAAATCAGCATTTTGTCTATTAAGGCAAAAACACTGCTGAGCTTCTGCCTATTTGCATCACTGTCACTCACTAATGATTGTAGTTCATACTAGTTATTTAAGAACTGTTAAACTTTTAATCATTTATATCTGCTTATTATTAATTGTACTAATTTGTGATGCAAATAAATGAATTTATTATTATTATATATATTCGATCATATCCTGTGCCAAATACTCTACTTCCGTTTCATCGAATCTCAAGTCACAACAATACTAAAGAAGTTTTCACTTCAAATAGAACTTTAATGGAAAAGTAAATATCTACTAGTAGAATATTTCAAGATTATCTGAAATACACGTAACACGTATCCTACTAATATTATAAATGTGAAAGTTTGTATGTTGGTTACTCAATCACGCAAAGGCTACTGATAGGAATTGGATGAAATTTGGTACGATATAGTTTATGGCCAGGATTGAGACATAGAATTCTGAAAAGTAAACTAGTATTAGAATGGAAATGAATGAATGAAAGAAACTATAATTTATTTTACAATCGACAATGCTTGAAACTTTTTATAATATTACCTTTGGTGCTTCGGCTTGTTGCACGGTCATTGTAGCCGCAGCGACTGATACTGCGCTCGATGACATGACGGCCGAGTGACGAGATGATATAGAACCACTCAAGGGACTGCTCGCTCCACTCTGCAACATAAAAACCACTCATTAAAATTGTAAACATATTTATTACCAAATAATAAGTTAGACAATATTGAAAGTCAACGCATCATTACGCATTTTTACATTTAATGTATTAATAAGCTTATAAAGTCTACGGGTATATATATATAAAAATCTAAAAGAAATGGACCCCTAACCCAGAAACTAGTAAAAACTGTAATTATCAGGGTTAGTGATTCCTCGGTCTACATATTGCAAAAATATATTTTAAATTGCTCATAACTTGCGAAAACTTAGTTCTGATTGCGTCGGTGCTCCCGGGTATGAGCTCTGATTGGATCGATTGATTGCTGTCGCGTCGATTGATTGGCTTTTATCTATTAGGTGGAACTGTAGTGGGGGCGAGCCGGCGACATCGCTTCCCGTACAGTCTATGATCACCCTTGTAACCTATTTATGTGGTGTCAATCCAAGCTGTGATTGGCGTCATCGCTGATGCTTTGTGAGCTCTCAGCACATCCACTAAGAGTCGACACGCCTGTATGTATTAAATTACTCCCAGGCAAGGTAGCTCGATCCGCGGGCGCCTCCCCGCCCCCCAAGCGAGCGTCGGCTTCGTTCTCAGCGTCCTCGTCTTCGGTGTCGATGCAAGCCGACACTGGCGTTACCGCCGAAGCTTCGTGAGCTCGCAGCGCTTCCACTAAGAAAGAGGCAACACGCCTGTATGTATTAAAAAACTCACAGGCAAGGTAGCTCGATCGGCGGGCGCCTCCCCGCCCCCCATGCGAGCGTCGGCTTCGTTCTCAGCGTCCTCGTCTTCGGTGTCGATGCAAGCCGACACTGGCGTCACCGCCGACGCTTCGTGAGCTCTCAGGGCTTCCACTAAGAGGCAACGTGCCTGCGTAGAAGGGAGAATAGATGAAATAATTCTGAGCAAGTGAACATTAAGCCACTCGTAGCGGCTATTTAACGCGTCCACAAGTCGCGGTCGAATTTTCTCATAGATTTTGTATAGTATCGGCACAAACTAAGCGTCCAAATGGCCACCAATAAGCAACAGCGGCAGCGATCAGTGGCTGCTTCTTTATTGAGCTACTAGTGGCAGCGTTTAGTGGCTCTATGTACGCTTGCTCTATTTATTGATGAATTTTAAGTATGACTTTGAATTAAAATGTCAAAATAATAATTATGAATCCAAAAAAAAATATTACATTTAATTGAAATTTTAAAAAAGAAATTTTGTTGCTCTTAATTTTTTGGTTATAAATATTTTTATTTTGTTGCTTTTACCTACAAAAGACATTAAACCTACATTGTTTCCTCAACATTTTATATTAGTACGATTAATTAGAATTACTTCTCTATTCACTTATGACTTACCTAAAGCATTTTTAGCGTAACGCACTATTCACAGTGGCAGTCACAGTGATAACGACCTTGAGAAGGAGATGTGAAGAGAAAGGAATTTTCACTCTTGTAGGTAGTTTAGAGCAATCACTGGTGTCAATTCTGGCATGATTCTCTAAACTTTTAACTAAATTTAATATGAGCCTCTACATTTTCATTCTGTATAGAGTATGACAAGGATGCACTGTTGTCAAAATAAAGAATAAAGAAATAAAGAATCATATTTGTTTCTTAGGTTTTCACGCACATCACATCACATTAAATAAAACAAGTTTCAATGGGTTAGATGAACTGATTTTATTTATTTATTGACGTTTCGCACCCTTTGCAGGAATGCGTCGTCAGAATAATGATATTTTATTTACTTTGTCGAGCTTTCTTCGAAAGACTTTTATTGAGCGTTCGGATATTTCATTGGAAGATTTTTAATACTTTATTGTCTATGCTTAAATTTATTAATTAATAAAGTACTTTATTTAATTCATTTTTATAATTTTGTGTTTATTTATTTGACTCTTACTACCGTAAACTACCACCGGTTCCAAAATTGGGAGTCCTTTCTGAAAAGAACCGGCGAGACAAACTCAGAGAGGCTTTTTATCTCCTTCTTATGTTAAATTATGCAAACAAAAAGAACTAATAGTATCGTTGGTCTTGCAATAAGTGCTCGGGGTTGGGATTTTATCTATTGTATAATGAAGTCAATAAATAAATAAAATCATTGCATCTAACCCGTTGAAACTTGTTATATTTAGAGATTTATCATGCCAGAATCGACACCATTATCGTACCTGCGTTATATGAAGAGCGAGCAAAATCAAAGACAACGCATGTTGCACGGCCACAGGCGGTTCTAACGCAAGGGCTGCGGCCGCTAGAGACGGCCGCGGTCCATGCGGTTCTTCTACTACAGCCTCATCAGAATACAAGCCTGAAAAATTGTTATCCATTTACTACTATCGTTTGTTTAATTCGAAATGATGTTTATACATAACATGCCGATACCACTATTATAAGGGCGTATAATAATTATGCCGGCTTTGAAATGAGCTCAAGTCGCGGCGCAGTAAATGTAATGTAAGTGCACGCGGGATGGGAAGGGATAACTTCAAACCCGTCATGAAGTTTATAATTATCGCATTATGCTGTAACGGCTTATCAAGACTGCTCTGCCAGAGGATTCAAAAACGTGGGGAACTGCAATGGTGCTTTATGGGAAATCTTGTCTTCATCAACGTCAGTGTGTCGGTCGTCGGCCGAGTGCGCTCTTTCGATCTTAAAACTTGAGTTCTCCTATAGTGAAACGACTTACCCAAACTATGTACTGACGCTAGTGTTGATATAACCTACATTGTAACTGGCATCGAGAATAACGTTATGCGGTATCTTACCAAGACTCTGTGCTCCTAAAGGATCCTTGAGCGTGGGGAACGGCAGCGGTGCGATATGGGGAATCTTGGCCTCATCAACGGCAGTGTGTGGTGTAGGTCTTATAGACCAGGCGGCCGAGTGCGATGATCCGGCAGCTGCCCTCTGAACCCCTTCTACCCCGGCTACGATAGCCGGCCGACGATTCACGCAGGTGGTGCCGTTGCCTTGTTGGCCGTGATCATTGTCACCCCAAGCCCAAACCTAAAAGCGAATATCGATGAATATATAAGGGAAGATGGATAAAGAGCGCTGTTGTAATTTCTGAAAATTATTTAGGAAAATGTTTCTTTAAAAAACGAATGTGCTTATGATCACACGACTGAAGTGAAACTTCTTTAACTCCATATGTATGTATGTATATGTGCGTGTACAATACATATACATATTTCGTTTAATAGCTATAAGAGAAAGAGAGAAAGAAAATGTGCGCGCGCACTGCTTTCTCTTGCTCATATCCCCCACTCAACTCCCGTTCGCCTCGCCCGAACACACTCGTAACGCGTAACGCATTCGCCAGCTTACCCTCCAAGTCAAGCGTGTGTAAAGAAGTTTTACTTCAAAAATACGTCATATCGCACATCAGAAACTATCTCGCTTATTTACATAAGGGGCTCGTAAGTAAGGAAATGAGTGTGGAGAAAAATCCTCTCACATTAGCAAATAATTATTTGGTGAAATTTCAATTAACAGACACGCTTCATTTATTTATTTTTTTAATCACCTGGAATGTGCTCGGCTTATATCTCGTGTTTAAATCTTACAGGGACGTGAACGAATGAGAACATTACCTCTACTTCGTTAGTAACAATGAAGCAGTATAAACACGCTGACTATGCAATGCTTCTACAAGCGTAGGACTACGCATATGCGCGTCGCATTCATGTCCGAGGCGTAAGAAGTCGCCCTTGCCCCATGTCTACACCTTTCAAGGAGGTGACCGAATGAGAACATTACCTGGTTCTCACTAGGGACAGCGAGGCAGTGCAGCGCGGACGGAAATGTGAATCACGCGGCGACCGTTTATCTCTTCCACGAGCGTGGGACGACCGAGCCGAAAGAAGTCAGTTTGCCCCATACCTTAACCTTACAAGGACGCGAATGAATGAGAAAATTACCTGGTTCTCAATAGTGACAACGAGGCAGTGCAGCGCACCGACGGCAACGTGATCTCGCGGCGACCGCGCAACGCTTCCACGTGTGTGGGACGACGCATCCGTACCCGAGTCAAAAGAAGTCGCTCTTGCCCCATGTCTAAACCTTACAATAACGTGAACGAATGAGAACATTACCTGGTTCTCGCTAGTGACAGCGAGGCAATGCAGCGCGCCGACGGCAACGTGAATCACGCGGCGACCACGCAAAGCTTCCACGAGTGTGGGACGACGCACGTGCGCGTCGCATCCGTGGCCGAGTCGAAAGAAGTCACCTTTGCCCCATGTCCAAACCTTACACGCAACATGAACGAATGAGAAGCATTCTTTATATAAAACTAGCCGAGGACTTAAAAACAACAGACAAGCAAAGTATTAGGATTTCTGAAATTGATGCTTATGAGTGGCAAATTTTGACGTATAAAAACAAGTAGAGTCTCCATCGTCTAACAAAAGTGCACGAAAAAACGTCCAAACGGCACTGTGTTTAAATACATACGTGTCAACTTATACATTAATACATTTGAGCAATTGAACAAGTTATGTCGTGGCAATAAGGTTCAATGTCAATTGCATACGAGTGAAAATGAGGGAGTTTGATTACTGTGCGAGAGAGACATATACGAACGACCTCATGATGCGCGGAGCGCACATGCTGTGAGAAATTTTGTGGTAGCTATTAAAATGTAAGTAATATGACAGAAAACGCCAAGATACTTGCGTAATTTTGGTTCGGACAATTTTTTAACGTGATAGTGAGTCTATTAGTTTTTATACATCAATGATGAAAAATGATAAAAGGCTTTTCAAAGAGACGTATTTACCTTTTGATGAAAATATCTAAATTAATTGTCGTGAGTGCGGCCTAAAGAGTCTTGAATAAAACAACATTTTCAACTAGTTAAGTATTTTTGTATTTTACCTCTCCATCCCTTGTAAGAGCCAAACTGAATTGAGCACCGCATTCAACTTGTATCACACCAAGAGTGTTCAATCTTTCAATGTTCATTGGAATCGCACAACCATCGGAACCACCTCGTCCTGAGCATAATATCATAGAAAATGTGGTTTTTCGAAAGTAAATAAAATATTATAGCACGAACAACTTTGATAAAAAACCTACCAAGTTTGCCAAAATCTCCGTCACCCCATGAGAATACCTTTCCGCAAGCTGTGAGCGCTAAAGTTTGTGCGTCACGTGATCCACAAGCCACTTGCACGACTCTAAAGTTGGCAAGAGCTTCCACCTAAAACAAATATTGTACTATAGCAATCTGTATTCCCATTGCTCATGATGGTATAAATTTACAGCCGAATAGTAATGTCTCTTAATAATGTCAACTAAACACAGTTAACTTGGATGCCTTGATTTTAGATGGGAATAGTGAAAAATTTTTATAGTATAAAAAATAGGTTAAATAATTGAAAGAAACAGAACTTCAAACTTGACATGATCTGACTTTATGTCCAAACGAGAACTTTTTAATTATTTCCTATACTTACATACATAACATGAACAAACAGTAGTTTTAGTAGAACATAGTAAAGTCTTACCATCTTAGGCAGCAGTTGCGTATTATCGTCACCATGACCGAGTCTCCCGTACTCTCCAAGACCCCATGTATACAAGTGGCCGCGAGCTGTAACGCAAGCGCTATGCGCTGAGCCACAAGCGATACCGACTACTCGTTCCCCCGATAAGCATTCTATGAGTCGAGGCACTTCTAATGTTATCCGGTTGCCGTGACCCAATTTGCCGTCTTCTCCCTCCCCCCATGAATAGACCTATGGAAATAAAATTCTGATAATACTAAAGTGTCAGTAGCGCCAATAAAGAAACGATATAAGAATTGGTGACGCACATTATTTCTGTCAAGTACATGTGAATGGGTCAATGTCTAGTATATATTCTATTCTATTCTATTGGAAGAAATATATTTTGAAACAAAGTTATTTTTTGGACGGCACGGATTTGGCGTATAAGGGCTAGGCGAAAAAAGTTTAAGATATTTCCGCCACAACCGTCAGTTGTTTCGTAGCTTACTTTATGTTACTGTGTACTTTATTATGTTTATATTTCACTTCGTTTCAACATCACGTTAGCTTTTTTTTATCCCTGCCAATGTTATATACGAGACTAAAAAAATAAGTTAACCTCTTCCATTCACATCAACATTTGTATTTAAAAAGAGTTAGGTACTTAAAATTTATCAAACAAAACCCTACTCCTTCCTTAACAAAAAAAATATCAATAAATTATAAGAGTACGTAGTTTGAACAAAGACTTTAAAACCTCTGAACGTTACCTTTCCATCAGCAGTTAGCGCCAGCGCATGCTTCCCGCCCGAGTGTACGGCGACGCGTCGTACGAGCGCGTGCGCAAGGTACGTGTTCACACGCGGCGTGGACACGTTATTGCTGTGGCCAAGGCCCAAGCGGCCGTTTGTACCTTCACCGCAAGCGTACAGCTACAAAAAGAATGCAAGTCCATTGCTATATTATCGCAGATAATAATATCTTAAATTCAAAACTGGATTTCAGAGAAAAAATCTCTGACGGCTACAGACTAATATATTGTACAGACGGTAAATGAAATGGATAACTTGAGAACTTTAGAAGCAGAGACGTGCTAGCGTCAATAATTGTCTTCGAGAAGCTACAGCGGAGCAATTAATGCTAAGTCCCTAGAAGGCGAAGGTATTGTAGCCTATGTAGTGCTTATACTTTTTGCAATGTAGTGCGATATTTCTTGTGACTCAAAAATTTGACCCTGGTTTATAACCAAGCGTTGACAATTATATTTAATGGTTTTGTAAACTATAGAAATATATGAACTTATAAAATCACCTGCACCTGGTCAATGCTATAATTTCTTTGTATAAGAAGTGTCGAACTCGATTGTTTTGAATGAAAATGTAAATACTTTAACATCAATAAAATATGTGACCATCAAGAATTTAAGGAACTTTGAAACATACACCATAAGAGTTTAAAAAGTGTACTAAACACAAATTTTACTTACTTTTCCGTCGTGTGAAACAATAAAAAGAGTTTTGGATCCGCCAGCAATATGGAGAGGTCTGAAAGCGCTTAACGACGGAGAGAACACTGGGACCTTCACTTTTGATCCTTTGACGCCGCCCAATTGGTCTTTGTCATTTAGTCCCCATACAAAAACCTACAGAAAAATCACATTTAAATTCTCTGATTAGTATATGAACAAGCAACTAATTGCTAATACATAAAAGAGTAATCTATCTATACTTATAATAAATCTGTAGAGAGGTCAATTCTGTACATGAAATATATTTTCAAAATAACTATCAGGGGATGATTAGTGATCGATACTGATGCCAAAAATACAATCAGTAAAATTTTTGTCTGTCTGTCTGTCTGTCTGTGTGTTTGTTCCTTATAGAAACAAAAACTACTCGAAAGATTTTAACGAAACTTGGTACAATTATTCTTCATACTCCTGGGCAGGTTATAGTATACTTTTCATCACGCTACAATCAATAGGAGCAGAGTAGTGAAGGGAAATATTGGAAAAACGGGAGAAGTTACTCTATTTTTTAAGCTTCCGTCGCGTGTGCAGCCTTAATGGTTAAAGTTACATAGAAATCATGTATGACGGAAATATTCTACATAAAATTGTCTACAAAATATCCCGCAACAGCATATGTCTATCTTTTATGGTTGACTCACAATAACACGTGTAATCTATACTTATAATAAATCTGTAGAGATGTCAATTCTGTACATGAAATATATTTTTAAAATAACTATCAGGGGGTGATAAGTGATCGATACTGATGCCAAAAATGCAATCAGTAAATTTTTTGTCTGTCTGTCTGTCTGTGTGTATGTTCCTTATAGAAACCAAAACTACTCGACGGATTTTAACGAAACTTGGTACAATTATTCTTCATACTCCTGGGCAGGTTATAGTATACTTTTCATCACGCTACAATCAATAGGAGCAGAGTAGTGAAGGGAAATGTTGGGAAAACGGGAGAAGTTAATCCATTTTTTAAGCTTCCGTCGCGTGTGCAGCCTTAATAATTAAAGTTACATAGAAACCATGTATGACGGAAATATTCTACATAAAATTGTCTAAAAAATTTCCCGCAAAAGCATATGTCTATCTTTTATGGTTGACTCACAATAACATGTGTAACTCCCGATAGCTTAGCAGTTCGGAGCATTCTGATCATATTTGTTTACTCTTACGTTTATAATACTCTGACTCATCCCTAATTTAAAAAAGTTAACATTATTACCTATTCAATAAAAAAGCCAATAATGAAATAAGCCATCGCGCCGTCGCACGTGAATACTGAATCATGCTATAAGGATTATTTTTGTGTAACGGTTGCCGCGCTCGACACGGGTCGCGGCGGCGGTAGGGTATCAAAATACGGGAGGTCCGTGAGCGAGCTGTCTAAATCTGTTTTCTGCGTCTCCTGGGGGACGATCGCTTCCGATGAAGCCTTAGAGGCCTTCCCGGCCAGAGGCAGCCCCTACGGGTGTTTTTTAGTCAGTACGAGTCTGACATAACCTTGCAGCCGGCTGTAGGGTATCCATGAGGATTTCTCACCTGCTCCCCAAAACAAAAAAAATAAAAAAGGAGAGCGAGCGAGCTTCAATATTTGGCTGTTGATGCGTTCAGAGCGTTCGACCTTATTGACAGACAATAATTGAGAAATATTGAGTAACCGTGCTTATCAGCGCGACTTTTAGTCTTTAAATAGTTTATTTAAATTTCTTTTGTTGTTATTTTGTAAAATAGGTATTAGTTGTTTTGGTAGTGTTTAAATATTCGTTCAAATTAAAAATTATTAAGCGTAGGTACTTTTATTAATAAAGTAGTTATAAGTATTTATTTTTAAGTGAAGTAGGTATAGGTAGATAGTATTGCACAGGCGTTTCAGCTTTATTTTCATTTCTTTTTTGTTGTGAGTTGTATATATTTCTGGTTATAATTCTATAAGAATATTTTAGTTTAAATAGTCACTTAGATTTTAAGTGTAAGGTAGCTAAAGTTAGGACCACGTATTAGTTGTTTTGGTAGTGTTTAAATATTCGTTCAAAGTGTAATTTAATCATATGGGATGAATGTACGATGGCCCATCGAAAAGGAGTAGAAGCGGTAGACAGAACTTTAAGGGATATAAGACAAAATGATCGACCTATGGGCGGTATCACAGTTTTATTTTGTGGTGATTTCCGACAAACCTTACCGGTAATATCACGGGGAACCCGAGCTGATGAGGTTAGGGCTTGCCTGAAAAGCTCTTATTTGTGGCGTGATATACAATCGGTGCATTTGACTATAATGCGATAACATGCGAGTGAGAACTGTAGATAACCCGGATGATCGTGAATTTTCTGATATATTATTAAAGAAAATACCTTCACCAAAGATACCTATCCACTGCTACACCAAGGAAAACTTATTCTGAAGCCTGAGTTGTGTGGTATAGTGCATTCCCAACAACATATTACATCGTCAGTTTACGGTGACGTAACAAATATATTAAATAAGGATAATTCTTGGCTATGCGAAAGGTCCATTTTAACTCCTCGCAATGACCAGGCATCTGAGATTAATACTGTCGAATATCCAGGGGGAAAGCAAAGTTTATAGTTCAATAAATAGAATGGCCGATGAACAAGAAGCCACTAACTACCCGATAGAATTTTTAAATTCTTTAAATATGCCCGGACTTCCTTCTCATGAAATTTGTTTAAAAATTGGCATTCCGATTATTCTGCTCCGAAATTTAAGACCACCACAAATTTGCAATGGAACTCGGCTTAAAGTAACCCAGTTGCAACAAAATGTAATCGAGGCTCAAATTTTAACAGGTTGCGGTGCAGGAGAAACCATCTTTATTCCCAGAATTCCCATAATACCAAATAATTTTCCATTCCAATTTAAAAGAACGCAATTCCCAGTATCGGTGTGTTGTGCAATGACAATAAATAAGGCTCAAGGGCAGACTATTCGTGTTGCTGGAGTAGATCTCGGTGTCAGTTGCTTTTCACATGGTCAGTTATGTCACGTGCCGGATGGGTCAACTTTCAACGTAGTTTACCCGGAAGCTTTGCGCTGAAGTATTTTCATTCTATATGTACCTAAGCCTCATGTGAAAGCGATCTAAACAATATTACCAATACATTAACATAATAACATACAAGGAGTTACATGCTGATGGTCTCGGGGCACAGTGATAATAATAATATTCTGCGGTTCCTTATTGCGATATTTTTAACAGTATTGTGGATTGACATATTATATTTCCCTACTAATACGAAAGTTAATCTGTCTGTCACATCAAAACCACGGAACCCTGAGGAAGGACATATGCTACTTTTTTACGAAAAACGACGAAAACGCGGACGAAGTCGTGGGCAAAAGCTAGTCTATCTATATAGCTGAAAACATTAAAACTTACTTTGGAAGAATCGCTAGGCAAAGACGGTGGATTGTTATCCGATGAAACCGCTCCTGTTGTATTATCTTTTTCCATCCAGTCTTCAGCAACAAAGTTCATACTCTAGAAACACATACAAAACGTTATATAAAATGCTCATCTTGCTTCCTTAAACTTTTATGACGAAAGCATTTCACACACTCACAAGTAACACGTCGTTGTACAGTGGATTTGGACGGAATCCGGTTATGTACAGACCGTGAACGCGACAGTCAGCATTTACGTTACGGTTCTGTTTGATACTTATTTCGATGCATGGATAATACTGTAACAAAACACATACACGGGGTTATGAGAACATGCGACAGTTAGTTGAAGTATAAGGGCAATACGACTTTTACTAAATGATAACAGTGGAGAAAGTGATCATTTAAAAACACTAGTTGTCCTTTTTTTATTGCCACCGGCAATCAGATATACAGATTGCCGGGAACAATACGACAACGAAAAGATATGATAATAAAATTAATGTGACCAATTATTAATCAATACTATTTAGTAATCTGTGTCAATAGGTAATAAAATGATTTAGTTTCCTTTTTGAGAACACAAACTTAGAAATACGTTTACAATTATAAGATTTAACCTTACGAGATGATGAGATGATTGTGGGCATCTAAATATTTTATTACACTAAATTTGCAGGGTTAGGAAAGAGGAGCAGCAAGCAGTGCTTTTTTTCACAGTGAATCACACTTTGTATGAGTTAAACTTCAATTGACAAACAATTTTAATAACATTATTCAAGAGACTAAATATCATCATTATCTATCATATTATCATTCTCTATAAAATAACTTCTCCGTTTAATTATTATTTTATTATGTGTTGTACTTTAAAAGATGTAAGTTAGTTGTAGATAAATAATAAGAATACACTTACGATTTTGTGCATTTACAATACCTTTGTAGTATTATTTTACTACAAAGGTATTGTAAATTTAATTTATTTTACGTAACCCTGACCCCCCTGCGTGGGTCCCCTGGAACGCAAAATTTTAGTTTTTTCTTTCGATTTTTTAGGTAAACCTTAACAACGAATGCGCGTTACCTACGTTTAAGTAGGTACTACGCACTCGCGGGTGCTAGTTAACTCTCAAATGAACTGGACTTTTCTAGAATGCGTCGATTACGGCGTATATCAGCGCCGCGCAGAGTTAGTTGAGTTTCTTCTTATCAAAGTGCAAGTAAAGAGTTCAAGTGCGATTGTTAAAAGACTTGTATAGTGAAGTACAGTGTACAGGGAGTTCAGTACCATGTGGTGAATAAAGAACTGTCAAGCGTGAACTGGCATATAATTTCGAACCCCATCCCGACACGTGATATTGTCACGTTTCTTTTAAGTCCAGTAAATTACACTGTACTGATTTTTTAAGATGTTGTTAAGATACTTACCAGTAGTGTTAAAATAAATTTGCAGCTTCGAAGGACCTGTGCTAACTGCGTGCGTGCCCCATTAACCTCGAAATTTTCGGTCTTTTCTCGGCAACCCGTTAAGTGCAATTTATTGCAACCTACGATGTCTCATATTATTTAAAGATTAAATATAATTCGGGTGCTCTCACCTGTATACAGTCGGACGCCAGGTAGGAGGCGCGCGGTCGCGGGCCGGGGACGGCGCTAAAGCGGCGTCGTCAAAGGGTGCTCAACTGTATCTGCGCCAAGTGGTGGGGCGCACGGTCGCGGGCCGGGGGGCGACGACAAAGCGGCGGCGTCAAAGACTGATCTCATCTGTTTACAGTCGGCCAGCAACTGTATCTGCGTCAAGTGGTGGGGCGCACGGTCCCGGGCCGGGGGGCGACAACAAAGCGGCGGTGTCAAAGACTGATCTCATCTGTTTACAGTCGGCCAGCAACTGTATCTGCGTCAAGTGGTGGGGCGCACGGTCCCGGGCCGGGGGGCGACCACAAAGCGGCGGCGTCAAAGACTGATCTCATCTGTTTACAGTCGGCCAGCAACTGTATCTGCGTCAAGTGGTGGGGCGCACGGTCCCAGGCCGGGGGGCGACAACAAAGCGGCGGCGTCAAAGACTGATCTCATCTGTTTACAGTCGGCCAGCAACTGTATCTGCGCCAAGTGGTGAGGCGCGCGGTCGTCGGCCAGGTGGCGGCGCTCAAGCGGCGGCATCAAAGGATGCTCTCACCTGTTTACAGTCGACCAGCAACTGCATCTGCGCCAGGTGGTGGGGCGCAGGTCGCCGGCCGGGGGGCGGCGTCATCAAAGGATGCTCTCACCTGTTTACAGTCGGCTAGCAGCTGTATCTGCGCCAGGTGGTGGGACGCGCGGTCGCGAGCGGGCGGAGGCGCGGGCGCACACGGTGCGGCGGCGAGCGGCGCTAATGCGGCATCATCAAAGCTTGCACCCGCTCTAACCGCCAACGCCGCGGGCCCATGTGCTCCACCCGCAACGCCCAAACCGAGCCGGCGAATGCGCACGCCGCACCGCATCTCGACGCGGATCCAGTGCTGCGCGTGACACGAAACAGCTTATAGCACCAAATAGATTAAATTTAAAAAAACCGAAATCCTGCATTGCTCAAGTTACCTGTTACTTTTATTATAATCAGACATGCAATCTCACAAACATATTTAATAATCTTATAAATCTTTACGATTTACGCCACTCACAGACTAACAGATAAAACGTCAAATGGCACACGTGAACCAAAACAGGTAACAGAAAATATCAGCAAAGAGTTTGGTTAATCATCAAGATACATAATATATATCCAGAGCTTACTACGTGTCAAATAAAAGAAGTAAGTTAGTTATTAAGCTTTCTGCTCGTAGAGTTAGCCCTTTACAAGCCAAACCCTGTAATATTTTTTTCAGTTGATGCATCTCAGCCGTTAATCTCACCTGACCAGTACCGCTGGAGCTCTGCCAGTAAGTATGGGGTTGCGCATCCAATAATCGCCTTGCGCCCGCGCCGGGTCTGCAAGATGACACTCGGACGGCTCTTACTGCGCCCCGCCATCCTACTGCTGCCCCACCAGCACTCTCCCCCCATTCAGCTGTAGAAATACAAATAATTAATGAACACGATAAATACTACTAATAATAAAATTATTTTCATTGGCGTAGCTAAGGAGTTTTACTATTTTGAACTGTAAAGTCATTGCTAGTAGGTAAATAAGTTTCTAGGGTAGGCATTACCCACCTATGACCCTCTCACCCAATAGCTACACCCATGGTTATTGGTATTACATATTTTTGTACCTACATTGATCAGTAACAAGTTCCATCTCACTGACTTGCCCTGTCCATCCTGGTTGTTGTGGAAAATCAACAGTTAAATCCCGCCCGTTGCTCGAAATTGCTGAAAAAAGGAATAGTTTTATAAACACGACTGATCAAAAAGTAATAAATAAAATGTAATAAGATACCTATTCTTTATTGCGGTTGAAAACACTGTAGGTATTCATAATATAATTTTATGTCTTAAACGACATAATATAAATAATATACAAAAAGATTAAATACGACACCAACGCCACATGTTACATTGATCTATAATTTTTCTTGGATTTATTATTCTCAACACAATATCAAGATCGGGACTATATCTCTAACCATACATTTATTTTATTTTCCCTCCTAGCCATTAGCTTTTGATACCGGCTCCTTTTCGGATCGAACATAAAGTTGAATGACGTGAAATTTTCACAAATCGTTCAAAATGATTTCAGACAAAATCACAGATATCGATTACACTAAATGTTTAATTTACATACCAGTGACAGTGCCGACGCTAGTATGGTCGATGCAGCCCCACTTGTACCGCGGCTGAGTAACGGCAGCGCGCACTCGCACTCGATCTCCTACGGCGAAGGGCGGTCCACCAGACACTACTTCAGCGTTAACCGCCCTAAGCCCGTAAATGCGGCCTAAGCCCCGCCATTCCACCTGGGAGTTAGAACAAAATAAACCCCTTCGCGTCTGTACTCCCCCGTCACTTAACATCAGGTGAGGGGGAATCATCTTTCGAACCTTTTTATATAAAAAATAAGCCGAAAAATGATCTTTAGGGTGCGTGCTTTTTGTTGATAACAGATCATGCATCGTCAACGACTGCAGTTATCCAGTACTTTCTTTCATATCGAAAGTTTACTGTATGAGTGCAGTTGTCTAATATGTTATCAGGATCATCTTCGTTACCCATCCTCATCCAAGTTACATAGTTTTTCGACAAAGATGAAGTTCATGATATATATAAAAATTACTGTCAGCCCGGATGTTCTTCGTAACTAAGTCTTCAAAGTAGGTTTTAATATTTTATAAGTTACTGGTATTCCCTTGTCATTTTAGAAAAAGAAAGGTACGGTATTATTTTCGAACAATTAAAAAACCAGCGTAAAACACTCACGTGCAAAAAGACGTTTTGCTTTATATCACGCTCCACCTTCTGAACTTGACCAACGTCCCCCAAAGCTACCTGTAACAGTGATCTTAGCATTAGTTTCTCAAACTTCGCACATACGTAAATATCTCGAACTTCCAGGTTCCCTGGTGATTGATAGCATCTGAAACAATTTACATTATTCAAGTACTCATCCAATTCTCATAGTACTTACACTTTCGTAAGCTTTGCAGCAGCGTACAGTCATCCCCGGAGTAATGACATCAGACAAATACTGCGCGTACTCTTCCTCTGAAGCGAAACAACTGCGCCATCTGTACGGCGTCTGTTTCTTCTCTAACTTAGACAAGTGGGGTCTCATTTCGAATACTGAATCATCCATGCCTTGTTGAGGCAATTCCAATAAGTATGCTACTAGTGATTCAACTGAAGGCAAAGTGGCACCGCCTGTTGACAAATCATTTAATATATAAACGGAATTACAGAAAACTAGTTTGATTAGAGCTGAGACTGTACTTGATCGCTAGCTTACCTAATGCCTGAATAGCAGCGTAAACTGCATGTCTTGAAAACCCCATTTCTATAACTTGCTGCACTTGTGCAGAATTAGCCCATGTGTTGAGATCTTTCCGTGCTAAAAAAAGATGTAAAATTAATGCAAATCTAAATATGTTTTAAAAATTTTACATATAATATTCAGAAGCTTACAAAGAGATGCGGTACTTGTTGATGGTCCCATAGATAGCTGCATAACATTACTTTTGTCTATGATTGGGAGATCAGGCGGTGGCTCGTGATCCTTATCGTCACCTATAATTAATAAAAATTCAAATCACTAAAATCTAATAAGTGTAGCACTCGCACGCAAGCGAATACAAACAATGATTGCAGAAGTCCTTAAGGTCGAATTTTTATCAATATGTATGTAAACTCAATTAACTCAACTATATTCAAATTCCTTTCAGCTAAATTCAATTTCCTTTCAACCAAAAGGTAAGCAAACCACAAAAAGGTCAATAGGACGAATTTTATACACATAAAAAAAAGTTACATTAAAAAGACTTAAGACTGTACCTATTCCCTAACTTTGAACTCATTATAATTCTACTGAATTGAATAGTGTGAAGTAAAAAATTTACGTATAAATGTAGAATTTGTCTTCAGACTGGTTACACCGGCCATCTTTACTCTAGATAAAAAAGTTTTGGAAACATTAGTATATTTGTTTACCATTTGGCTCAAAAGAAGTTAAAGAGAATAAAGTATTAATTTATTCAAAAAAAACGAGGGAGTCTTACTGTAGTCGCGTATGATGTGTAACATTTGAAACCTCACCTTATATTAGTAAAAAAGGAAATAAAACCTACTACAAAAGGAATAAGCCATTTGAACATTATGTTCTAAAATCAAATCAAATAGCGAGCGCTTCCCAAAGTTCCTGTTACACAATTCCGTCCCAGTTTACGTAAACACTCTCACAAATTGCACGAAAGCAAGAGGAAAGATGTTACACATCAATAAGCTTATTACCATTAGTATGCGCAGCTAACTGCTGTACTATAGCGATAGCGGCGGCGGCTAGTTCGCGGGGCGAGTGCGACGCGGCCAACGGGCTCGGACGCGTCGCGAGCGCGAGCAATCGACGGAGCAGCGTCGCTTCACTACCCAGTACTGAACTACGCTCCGTGGTACCTGGTTATTTGAATAATAACGTTTCACTAGTATACAATCAATTATACATTACGCATGACACAAAAACCAGAATCAATAGAAGACTTCCATAAAACCTGAAATCGTTTAAATGAAAAATGTCTAGACTAGACTCAATTTACCCCAGATTCTGGAATCGTACCACCCTTCGCTATCCAGCCAAATGTACTCAATGTTTGACTTGTAATGTTTGACTACCTCCGTGGTCGAGTGGTTTTTACGCCTGGTTTCATGGTGTCGCCGACTCGAGAGGTCCCGGGCTCGAATCCCGGTGGGGGCAGATGTTTGTGTGATGAATGCGAAGGCATTTGTACTCCAGTCATGGATGTTTAATATTATAATATACTTATATATGTACTGTATATGTATTCTATCCGTTATCCTTGTATCCCATAACACAAGCTTTACAGTGCTTACTTTGGGGCTACGCTAATTGGTTTGAGTCAGAAATATTAATTTATTTAATATGACGTTTATACATAATTATAACATAATGCATATGTCGTGGCCATATCGTAGATTTGCTCATTTCATGAAATGCTCGAGTATTTCATGAAATGGTCGCATTTCATGAAATGTTTCACTATCTATTGGCCACATCATGATGTGGTTTGGGCAGATCAATGATGAGAAATCGTTTCACGATATGGCCAACTAAACGCGCGGCTTCTTCATGAAATGGCCAAAATTATTTGATCATATCGTAAAGTTGTTAAATTAGTTACCGGTAGAGGCGCTGCAAGCGCTTTGTTTATATTTGTAAATGGCGGCCGCTGCCGACAATGTTGTTTCTCCCAGTGATAAAGTGCATAATTTGTTATTAAATGAGGAAGAAAGTGATAACAAATGGGTTTTAGACGAAAAGGAAATCAAGTTATGCAAAAACTGAGTAAAATGTAAAAAAAACCGTGGGTTGGATCGCATTACACAGGTTAGTACTTTACTCTTAAATTACATCATTATTCACTTATTTTATTAAAATACTTTATGCCAGTTAACGTATTGTGTTTCTATTAAATTAATATTATTCTTCGTTTGTGAATTATGACATAATAAAGGTAATGTTTTTTCTTTTTTAGGTTATGAAACAAATTAAGGAGAGTAGGGTAACTACGCAAAAGAAATCCATGGACTATTACTGGCTGCCAAAATATGACATTTTGGAAACTGCGGATGAAGTAAAAAGTGCGGATGAGAATCAAGCCTACTATTGCAATATGTACCAAAGTAACTTTTTATTTCCAAATATTTGTTAGTTTTCTAAATGTAAATGACGTTTACATTTGTGTAACTACATGACACGTTGATGTTTAATTTAGAAAAAAATCTTTGATTTGTGTATTTTCTTAAAAAATATGATTCAATTTGTTTGTGTCATTCGGACTCAAATGACAATCAACAAGTTCTTAACATATTCTGGATTTTTATTAAATATTTTATGGACACCCTAATTATATGATCCGGCCAAATGTGGATGAGAAAATCGTTAAACGTTGACGATTTAATGATCTGCTCAAATTAAGTTGACCACATCATGAAATGCGACCATTTCATGAAATACTCGAGCATTTCATGAAATGAGCAAATCTACGATATGGCCACGACACATACATAACATATATTGTGGGACTGGGTCCACAAAATTTTGACTAACCAGAGCTATCAGGTGGTTGCATCAAAACCTTCCGAAGTCGTGTACGTGTTGTGAGCAGGCCTCTCACTGCACAAAGTGTCAGTAGTTCCATCTGTTGTCGTCTGAGTCCAAATAAATCCACTTCGGCTGAAAGTTAAAACAACTTGATACCAACTCCTTTTTAAGTACAGTGCGGCGAACGACAAAATGCGATCATGACAGGTCGTGTCAGTTCTTTATGGCTACAGAATAAAACACCCTTTCGATTAAGTAAAAAAAGAGGTATAGTGCGATTCAAATAAGAATAGGAAAGCCAATGACCTCCATCTGACAAATGACGCTTGAAAAGTACGGTTTGGAAAATCATCTTGGAACCCTTACTTTGGAAATCAGCTAATTCTAGAATAAAAAGCAAACATTTGTAAACAAACAATAACAAATATTGATAATTTATATTGTTTGATATTTTTTTTCATCTATTGTGCTTTGGCTATGACTGGTTGATAACCTAAATCGTCAACCAAATGTCATTTCAAGTTGCGTTCACTAACTCGATTTAAAACTTTCGTTTACATAAAGGATGCATATTCGTATGTGACCTAGTAATGGTGCATGATTATTCATAACTACTTTGGTCTGAATTGACAGCTATGACGTCACAATATGGCGCACAGTCGGTCCTATTCTTAGTTAAATCGCATTATACGAAAACAAACCCTAATTGTGTCGCCAAGTTGGCCGCGCTTTAGGTATCTACACTTAATATCATTGTAAATCTCTTATTCCTATTTTGCGAGTGGAAATAATTAAACATTAACCATAATTAGGTAGCAATGGAAGTCGTATTTGTTGTGCAAATTACTGAGCAATAAGGTTGATACTTAAAGCACTAATGAATTTACTTCGTATACTAGCTAGATTAACGAGGTTAAAACTCAACCTTACTGACTACGTCCATCAAATCTACACATATAATAAAATGGTAGGAAAGTCAAAACTGTACATCCGAAGCCAAAAATATAGTTTTTAGAGTTTTTGTCTGTTTGTCTGTATGTATGTCCGGGATAAACTCAAAGAGTACTGCATGGATTTACTTCAAATTTGGCACGAATATTGTTAAGAAGTCGGGTCAACATAATAGGCTATATATTATCACGCTATCACCTACGGGGAACGAGCAGTGAACCTTTATTTCTAACTAACTCCACGCGTACGAAGTCGCGGGCGGCCGCTAGTATAATATACAGTTGTTATTTACCAGGTAAATGATGAGGATGTATGGAAGAGGTATGAGGTCCAGCTCCAAGTAAAGCTGCGCAGACGCGTAAACTACTCTCACCGCCGCCGAGAGGTTGTGGCAAACGTTCAATTTCTGCACTTTCAAGTCCACTTAGCTCGGTCTAAAAGGTCACAGTTTAAATTAACAGTGCTAAATAAAAAAAAGTATCATAAACTAAGGCCCACTCGCAATAAATTAAGAAAACTCATTAAATAAAACTAGTTTTAACGGGTTAATGCACGAACTTTATTTATTTATTGACGTTTCGCAGCCTTTTCAGGTCTGCATCGTCAGAATAATGATTTTTTATTTACTTTGTCGAGCTACCTTTGAAAGACTTTTATTAGCGTTATTTCATTGGAAGATTTTTAAAACTTTATTGTCTATATATGAATTTATTAGTTAATTTAGTTAATAAACTACTTTATTTAAAATTGATTTTTGTAATTTTGAGTTTATTTATTTGACCCTAACTACCGTAAACTACCACCGGTTCCAAAACTGGGAGACCTTTCTGAGAAGAACCGGCGAAACAAACTCAGAGAGGCTTTCTATCTCCTTCTTATGTTAAATTTTGCAAACAAAAAGAACTAATAGTATCTTTTGGTCTTGCAGTGTGTGCTCGGGGTTGGGATTTTATCTCTTGTATAATGGGTTCCCAAGCTGGTGGTACACACAAACCATATTCCCTATTGAAATTTGGATATTTTTTAATCTCAATAGCCTCGCGCATCATTCTATTAAGGAATCGCTGCTCAGCTGCAAAGATCTGTGGTTTATCAAATCTAATGTAATGGTTTGGTCCCCCTAATGCATGTTCACACTTTAACTTTTACATGCGAGTGACGCTCAGTCCATTCTCCATGTCTATGAAAAATAGTAAACAAATCGAGGCTCTTTTCATAAAAAGATCAGTAACGTACCTTGGTCATAGTATTGTCATCGTATACCAGCGTTATTTTAGCTCTAGGGGACAATTGTGTTACTATCGCGTTTCGGGGCGGAGATCCTGCAGTCACTCGTTGCCCTAATCTTACTCGACATTCCACTGCGCCTACAACACCTAAAGCTCCAGCTGCAAAATAATTTTCAACTTTTAACACTGCTAACTTTATAGCACGAATGAGAATGTAAAATCGCACATACCGATCAGACAGGTATCAAGACTGGGTGGTGATGGCTTTATGGTTTGTGTTAAATCTTGACTAGTATGAGGCCACCAATGCCAGTCTGTTGTCACCTATGAATAAAACAAAATATTATAGAGAATTCAGTATAATTGCTTACTATACACACATATGTAAAAACACTCTGTATATCATTTCAGTTATTTCATTTCAAGTTTCCAAACATTAAAAGTAGTTCAAACATAACAAGGAAATCTTCAATTTACTTACTAATTGGGCAGCTAATTGTAGTTTTTCTAAAAGCAAAGCAGTGACAGGGGCATGCCATTGTGTTGCTCCGTGTAATTGTCTTACAAGCTGTGCTAGAGCAGCACAAGTTGCTCCTGTATAACTTGCAGTCGCAGGCGCACGCCATCTATTGTCTGAAAAAATAAACTCTTTAATCTGCAAACTGTGCAACCTTTTTACATACGTAATTGCTTAATTTGGGTATAATTAACTGTAATAATAAAACAGACTATCATTGTTAATTACAGTTAAAGATGTCAGTTAACTTGCGCCGACTCCAAATAAAATGGGAACAGACTAATGATGATGCTAATTAAGTTAACCTTTTGTATAAATAATAATTCAAGAACTTTTTTAAATAATGCGTTACCTTTAGCAGTAACTCGGAATATGAAGATAAAAAAATATTCCAAAAAAAGCTACTGTCGGTAATAAAAACTGTGAGAATGATTTAAACAGGTAGAAATGTACTCAAACATACCAACTTCCTCCTCGTCATTGGGAGCAGCTAGTGCATAATGGTAAGGTCTAAGGGCAGGATCCCCGGAATGCGTTTCAAGCCACAGTCGCCCTATTAGGGCTAGCATTTGAGCGACTATAGTCCTTCTCCATTCACTACTACCAGTATGTTCGACCAGTACACGCCGTAGTAACCAAAGCGATTGTATCTATGTAAAAACATAACTACGTTATGATTTTATTTATTTTTTAAGCATTTAACGAAAAGTAAAACTGCTAAAGAAAAGTAACTACGTTATATAGGTAAATATAGAATCAATGTGTATTTAGGAATAATGCATGATCATACATACTTGTAAGTAGATGAGATCTTGAGTAATAGGTTTGTCTACTGCAGATATTATACTGTAGCAAAGCTCAAACCAGGAGTCGGTGCAGAGTGATATTCTCATCTCGGTACTTTGAGCGCTGGCTGTAATAATACACACTCATTAATACCTGCATAAAAGGTTTAACAGACTGAGACGTGTTTGCGACTGCAGCTAGCCATAGGCCGCAGCTCTGGCCACTGCGACAACACACTGCCAATGTCACAAAGGCTGGCGGCCTGAAGCGCTATTCGTTATGATACCTATTTGTGCTATGGACGGACCTCAGTGAACATGGCTAATCGTAACGGGCGTCTTATTTTCTCATCTATTAGAACCTTTTCAGACGTCAAAAAATAGTAACCAAAAAGATGTGGTACCTACATTATCTAATATTGCAAACGATTTGCAGGAATAGATAAGCATCGATGTATGAAATCAGCCAACATCGGCAAAAAGATTGATATTACTTGCCACAATGTCCAAAACTAATATTTTGGTAATGAAGATGTAATTTTTTGTAATAATCCGGCAGTAGGCGTGCCTTGTACAATTTTGCAACTGGCCGCACGGTAGCTCACACATATGCGGTGCGGCCAGCGGCCAGTCGAGCACAGGCCGCGTCATGGCCGTTCCGTGTTTGAATACTTTCTTACAGAGACACTAAGTGTGAGACACTTGTAAGTGTCTCACCCGGCTTGCGGCCGTGGCCAGTTATATTGGCTTGCAATGTAAGCGAGTGGTCAACACGAGCGACCAACCAAAGCTAGCGTCTGTCTATGAGACACTTTATATGGTAATTCGGTCTAAAATCTTGCCACGCGGATACAATAATTATCTGCGAAAAGCCCCTCCCTCTGCTCACACAGGTATTTTATAATATCGGGTTCAATAACATCTGTTCATATATTCTTGTGATATTTCTTTGAAACGACTTCCGTAGCCGAGTGCTTTATACGCCTCGTTTCAAAGTGTCGCCAACTCTAGAGGTCCCGGGTTCGAATCCCGGTGGGGGCAGATGTTTGTGTGATGAATACGAGCATTTGTACTCTAGTCATGGATGCTTAATATGTATTTCTATATAAATATACTTATATACGTACCAGTACATGCATTCTATCCGTTACCTTAGTATCCCATAACACAAGCCTGCAGTGCTTACTTTGGTGTGTGTTGGCAATATTTATTTATATTTCTTTGGTGAATGAAACCTAATGAACCGAAGAGCGATGTAACTTAGGCTTCGATTGAAATTGCAAATTATTTGCCAAGGTTTGGCTACATACATCGCGATATTTTGCGGGCATAATAAAGTTAAAGGTATACGACGCGTTTATGTAATTTAGTGTATTTTATTAGTTGCTTACCCCTAAGCAACGCCAGTGCAGTATGTTGGTGCGCCGCGAAGGCAGTGGGTGGTGGGGAAGAGTGTGCATGCGCTAACGCCAGCAGTCTACGCTGCAGCGCCGCTACGTTCCTGCGCGCGGTGGCGCCGACTACGCCCGTATTCCTCCCATTTGCGCCCGCGGTAGCACACATAGCTCGTACGGCGCAAGTACACGCTGCACGTACTTCGCTTACAGGCCACCACTCGATGTTATTATCTGCGACTGCAAAATGGTGGAATGATTCTTTGATCAACGCAAAGGATGCATCATTTACGTGGTTAAAAAAAAGTTTTTCTTTTTAATACCTTGCTTCAGCGCGCGACCTAAAAGTTACCCGTTAACTTAAATTTCATTCAACTTGCTTATTATTATTATTTTTTCGTTAGAACCTTCTACAAAGTCAGGAAACAGAAAAAGAAGATGTATGAAATCGTTCTCAATTTATGGCATGACCAAAGGAAAAAGATTTAAAGATTTAATTCGCAACTGCTTAATCAACTAGGCGGTCTTAATTTTGCTATGCAGATAGAGATGTCCATTCTGGCAAGATTCTCTAAATCTGAACTTTAATTTGACAACAGTGTATCTTTGTCATTCTCTATAGAGAATGAAAATGAGAGACAAATGTAAAATTTACTTTTAAGTTTAGAGAATCATGCCAGAATCGACACCATTGTTGCCAGTTTTTCTTTGTTTACTTTTGAGATTAAGAGTTTATTCGAGACAAGATGAATCGGTGCACCGGCAAATTGGTAGTTTCGTTTCCGGGCACTGTCAATGAATAGGCTAAGCCTGCCTTGGATAAAGACTTTTGATGATATCTTACCATTCCCATGTATCGTCTCATCCACAGAAGGGGGCGGGGAGGGCGATCGAGCCAATTTGAGGTCGTATTTGCCCTCTTTGCCCATGCGGTAAGAGTTAGTACCTCCCGCGTCCCACGCCACTCGGACCCATCCGTCTTCACCTAATTCTCCAATCACCCGGCCTTCTCCACCCGGTACACCGTCCTTGTGAAATGAGAAAAATATGTGACTTTATTTAGTGTATAATTTTTAGCCAGTCCCCGTAGCATGAGCACCACATTTTACATTATATCACGTTTTGTATCGCGTCTAACTGCCAATCTAAATAATAATTTGACAATAGAAGGTATCATATCTTACGCTAGGGGAGCAACGCTAGGTTGAATTGTGAACTTTTAAGTCCTTATAATTTGGTAGAAATTAGTTATGATGAAACACTGGCAGTTTTTCGCTTTTCTGATCGCGCAAAGAGTTAAAGTTTAATAATGAGGTTTGCAAGATTACTGTTATAAAAATATGAAAATCGGTTTTGATACACAGGCAATTTCGGTGGCGCTAAAATTATTATATTCTTCTAAAAGGAAATATGAACTGCTAAGTAACACGTATTTATTTATTACCTGATCGCCCCATTTCCAGTCTTTGCCTCTAACAACACGAGTGCCTATTTTCATCAACGATGCTAACTCTGGCCCAGAAAGTGAGGCACCACGAGCGCGAGCTCCAAGTCTTTCGTCCTCGTAAATTATTAGGCAATCCGCTAAGACAAATTAATTATATTTAATGAAGAATATGTATGTCATATGAAATATATTTATTTAAAATAATATTAAGGGCAGACATTCTATTATACAAATTTCTATCTTGGTTACAATACATACATTTGGATTTAATTCCGTTGCATATAAGTGATGCGTGTTGCGATGTGTCTCCTCCTATCTGCTTTAGCAAAGTAAGACAGGAGCTGAGAGCTCCTCCGTTTATTAGTTGTTCTAATTCTGGTCCTTGACATCCCTCAATAAGAAGGGACAGTAAAGTTATAAGAAATCTGGGGAAAAAGTTAGTTAGTTAGTTAGTTGCAAACATTCAGGTAAGCATAAAGAATCTGAAGTATAATACGCAATTCTTTACGGATATTTTATATAAATCATTCGCTGCACCGATTTAGCCGAGTTTCTTTTGTGTGCTTTTGAAGATGAAGATTTTTAAACGAAAATACATGCAATATAAACACCTTGCTCTAGACGGTCGATTCAACAACGCATGTGCACCATAGTTAGCACTCATTTTCAAAGGCAAAGGTTGACTCTGTTCTCCTTCTAGGATTCTCGCCTTTAACTCTATGAGAATAAAGTCCATCAATTTCGACCTCTCCAAAAGCACCATGTACTTTGAGTATGGTATCACAGATTCGATGCCTTTCAGTGGCGGGGCTAGAGGGATGGTCGGCTTAATAGGGGCGTAAGGCACAGAATCCGCCATAGAACCACCCAACAAACCCGCCAAGGCTGCATATTTTACGCTTTCCGACATCGTTTGCGAGGAATGTAGAATACTGTTGATAATATTATAGCCTTTTTTTCTTATTTCCGCTCTTTGAACCTAGGACAATGGAACACAATTTCAGTAAATAACAGAATATAAATTACTTATCGTTATTTTATAATTTTATGACTGTTACCTGACAATACAAAGCTCTTCTTAGAATATCAATATCACAGGGGTCTTCAGTCATTACAAAATCAATCACAGCCATTGTCAAGCTTTGTTGTTCAGGCGTCACTTCTTCCAACAACCAATACAGATCTGAAGGGAAAAACATTTAAGACATAAGGGTTCACTATATTGTATCAGATCACACGGTACATAAGTGTTTCGTAGAGATACTCTTACCTTTCTTTTCACAAGATAATTTTGAAACCCAAGCATTCACAAATTTATTTCTTTCAGAATTATCATCATCCTTCTCTTCGTCAGCCATTATGAGATCATTTTTGAGATCATCGGCGAGCAGCAATACCTGTTTCTCGCTTTCTAAAGATTCTTTGAGAATCGAGTTATCAGTAATATCATTAATAGAACTTAAAGATATTTCGTTAGTAGGAGTTTTGTCATCGTTATCTTTATCTAGTACATCTTCTCTCTCAGTCACTTTGTATTCGCTACGTCCTTCGTTGCGCATGCCATCGTTATTCGAAGCATTTTTCAGATCTTTTTCCAGTGGTTTATCTTTGACTTTTAATTTTTTCTTGCCCTGGCCAGCAATTTCTTTGTCGCCACTGTAATCTATGTGTCCTCTAGGGTGTTCTACGATGATGCTCGGAGCATCGTCCGGAGTTTTGCTTGCGTTAGCTATTGAAGATTTTATAAGTAAGGCGTCGCCCTGAAGTAAGCTGCCGGTTGCTTTAAGCATGCTTTTACTTAAGCTGTTTTGTCTATTTCGCAAGTCCTTTGTGGTTTCAAAACTATAAAAAGAGTGGATCGTGTGAGATATAAGTGCAAAAAACAGCAGTTTATTTAATATCGTAACAAACATTAAATAGTGGGATATGTTTTCAAATAACGCAACTTTGACTAAAATCATCACAGGATTATTTAATAAGCTATTATATACAACATCGACACATTCGATTAACTTACCATTTATTAAAACTGGGTGTCTTAGCTGCTTTCATAACCTTCCGGAACATCTTCTTCGCAGTGCAGGCCCGCCGCGAGGGCGGCCGCGAGTGCAGGGCGCTAACTGCGGGCGATATGGCCGCGCGTACTTCGTGAAGTAAGAACCTCGCCCGCTCTAATGGTGCGGCGCATACCTTAGTTGGGAGAAATACTCAAATAAGACTGGAAGCAGATGTACGGTTACCTGATCAGGAATTCCGATTCAGAGACTTGAATGCACGTCCTTTCATACAATATGTTCAACAAGACGCACGCAAAATGAAAGAAACGTAACGTTTGGTTCGGAAACTACACTCATTAAAAAAACGAAACGTCTGTGCTAGGCTCACGGAATTCCGAATCCGAATTCTTGATCAGGAAACCGTACATATTTTATTTCTTTCCACCCAGCCTAAGAACAAAGAACAATGTATCAGATATAGGGAAACTTCGATAGCGTAATCGTATGTCAGGAGTCGACTTTATCATCTTTGATAAAAGTGAAATGCAGCACATTAACATTGGTTGATATGGACGCGCTAACTTCGTGAATTAAAAAGCGCACTCGCTCTAATGGCCGCACCAACTGCGAGCGATATGGCCGCGCGCACTTCGGGGAGTAAGAACCGCGCCAGCTCTAATGGTGCGGCGCATACCTTAGGTGGAAGAAAGACGCAAAATAGAGTAAGGAGCAATGCCTCAATTATTGGGATACTACCGCAGCAAAATCATATTGCGAGGTTTTCACTTTAACCTCTTTGATAAAAGTGAACTAAAAACCTACTGGTGGTGTTCAGTACTCCGAGCACGAACTTTGACAGATCCATATTCGTATCGCCATCGTTAAAGTTCCTTGCGGAAGAAACTAGTTTGTTCTTATGTCCGGAAGGAGCACTGCTTAGTTTTCATTGGAACTTTGACGATGGCGATACGAATAAAGAAGTGTCAAAGTTCGTGCTTGGGGTACAGGACTCCTGGGTAAGGTAGGGGATTGGTGTAGGACTCGAAACTAATTAGTCTGATATTCAAAGCATCAATTTGGTATAATCAAGCAGTACATAAAGTTGCTAGCTACCCTTTTTAAAAAAAAATTGCAAGTCATCTGTGTGTTGTTTTCAATAAACCAACCATAATCAACAAAATTTAATATGTATTAAGCTATTTGTGTGGATTTTGGCATGATTCTATAAACCTAAACTTAAAATTGACAACAGGGTATTCTTGTCATTCTCTATAGAAAATGAAAAGGAAAGACTGATGTTTAAATAAGCTTTCAGTTTACGAGAATGAATCATGCCAGAATCGACACCATTATTTCTATTAATTAAACAATCAAACACAACAAGAATGTAAAAAAATCTTTACCTCTTTGTATCCTCGCGACAACTGTTGTCTAGTTCGCATGAGAGTCCACTTGCTTTGCTGTACAGCTTTCACGATTTCTGACATGGCCGGCGACAGTTTCACTTCACCTTTTTCCATTTCTAGTAATTGACAATTAGTATAGTATAGTATAGAAAAATAAAGGTAGAAAATTTTAAAAAGCAATGATATGATTTGTTTGTACTTATTTCCACGACCTAAAGATCTTACCTGCTGTTGCCGTAGCCAAAGCGTGCTCCTTCAAGCCAGCATGGAATAGCAAAGCAGCGAGCAGTGCTCTCCGAAGCTCCTCCAATGGATGTTCGGGTGGAAAATGTGGAGCACACCCTTCACGCCTTTCGCACGCCCACCATAGATGCAGCGCAAGGGGATCCTAATAAAAACATTATGAGTAGAATGTTTATTCCACATTCTGTTAAAAAATCCTACTAGTAAATGTGAAAGTTTTTATGTTTGTTACTCAATCACGCAAAACGGGTTTAGCCGGACTTGAATAAATTTTGGCACACATAGTTTATGACCTAGATTGAGACATAGGATACTGTTTATCCCGCAAACATGGTAGGTTCTTCAGGTGTTTGCTGATATATATAAGTCTTTTAGAGGAATCACGAGCTTTTAGGGGTGACGATGCAAGGTCGTCGCAGGGAAAGAGTCTTAAAGTTCTCGGAGGCAGGGCGTCACTAGCGGGGTAATTAACGCCAGTGAATGAACCGTTGCGAGCTTTCGCTTTCTCCTTTTTCCTCAAATAAACGCGGGTGAAACCGCAGGGCACAGCTAGTATTGAATAAAAACAAGTGCTTTTTAGGGCTCACATGTAACTTGGGTTCAGCGAGTGCAAATAACAGGGTATCGGCTTTCGCTAGTGAAGATGCTACGTTGATGCGGAAAGGAGGTCTTGGTCTTGAAGTTCTCGAAGGCAAGGCGTCACTATCGGGGTTGTTAACGTCAGTGGATGAACGGCTGCGAGCTTTCGCTTTTGCGCGCTCCTTTTTCCTCAAATAAACGCGGGTAAAACCGCAGGATACGGCTTGTGTTGAAAAAATTCAAATGATTTTTGAGGACTTACATGTAACTTCGGCTCAGCGAGTGCAAATAACAAGGCTTCGGCTTTCGCTGGTGACGATGCCACGTTGACGCGGGGAGGGGGTCTTGAAGTTCTCGAAGGCGGGGCGTCACTAGCAGGGCTATTACCGCCAGTGGATGAACCGCTGCGAGCTTCCGCTTTCTCTTCTTCAAACGGATTCGTCAACTGGGAGACCTGAGTATACAATGCTTGGTTCAACGAATAGGTATGATGACAAACTTGTTTTTCTTTGTCTATCAAGAAGATTATTTTTCATTATTCACATTATCAAATATATTGATTTGAAATGTCGCATGACGTGACGATTAAAAGTGACGTCACGAGCCCTCACTCTTTGACGCGCTTTATCTTTGTCATATTTTGGTTCATTAGCAAAAGAAAACTGTGTCCATTATTTTTGATAATCTTTCTGGCGGACTAAATGAAATTTACGTTTACTTTATTCATTCATCATTCCTGTTAACGATTTAACGAAACTGAAAGTACCTATATCTAATGAATGAGCTTGCAAATATTACAAATAAAAATCAGTATATGAGAAGGTTAAGGGTTGTATGACAAATAAGTAAAGACTAAACCTTGTTTAAGCCGTATTTGTAAGATATTATCTTCTTAAGTTGGCGTTGAATGCCTACCATATTAGTTGTATGCTTATTAGTGTTCTAGCGAATTCGTTGTCACGAACGCTCTCGAAACAAACCCGGAATATACTAGAAACAGATTTAACCAGAGCACCGCGGCTCGCGAGGTGAATGACCTCTTATAACTTGGTTATTCTGTTCGCTATACGATAAAATCGGTTGGATCATAATTATTTTGTTTTGAACTGAAAGATATTACAAGATTTAACTGATAGTGTATATTCTAGTATATCTAAGTGGCTTCTAATATTTATAGTTGAATATATAACACACGGAAAGGGATAAATATATGTAATATATATAATTCTCGTATCACGGTGTGCGTAATTGAACTTCACCGAAACGGCTCGACCGATTTTCGTGAAATTTGATATGCATATTTAGTAGGTCTGAGAATAGAACATCATCCACCCTTAAATAGTTTTTTTGTATATTTTTTTTATGATACATCATAAAAAATACATACAATTCAATATAGAACATATTATATATATATATATAGAAAAAATATAGTTTTTACGAACTTGTAATCCACCCCTAAGGAAAACCGCGGCGGCGTACGGTGCAGCATCCCTTTCAGCTTGTTGCACTGGGAGCGAGATAGCTAGTCGCGATCCGCATTGTGTCAAGCCCACCGCGAGATTGAACGCACAAGACGACAAAATGTGATGGGCACGGAGACTCGACGAGCTTTCCTATGGAACGAAAGGTTCTTTTATATTTTTATTTATTAAGCATTTAACTGCTAGATGTTTAAATATAAAGAAAAATTTACAAAAAAAAATCAAGCGGCCAGGTAGCAGACAAAACTATAAACTAAAATACGAAGAGATGAAGCTGCCTTGCAGTCTAAGAAATATTTGAAGAAAATTAACACGTCCATTATGGTCGCGTAGATCTTTTTAACGTATGAATCAACGTTATTTGCCGTAATGAGAGGCTTTCCATAACATTCTTCTTTGTCAACTTGTATAAATAACTTATACAGCCGTCTGGTTTGTGCTGAATCAGTTCAAATACTATTTACATGAGATAGTAGACTGCCTTCACTTAGCATCCATAGATCACTACTACATCTGTTTACAGTAATTCTGTTGAGATGAATCATTTTTAACAGTACTCACGTGACATTTGTGGCTGTAGATCTGGTCAGCGTATAAACCGACACATTTTGCCGTGATTCGAGACAAATACGCCGCGTGCGGTTCAACGCTCAACGCCGCGGTGGCGTCGCAACCGCGCAGCTTGCGGATTAATTCCGTGGTGCTGGCGTTGTCGCATTCGAAGTTCTCTACGTCGAACACGTGACCGGCGACTATTATCCACGATCCGCCTTCTTTGGTGTGGTTGTGTAGATCGCACCTGATGAACATGTGAAACGATCTCAATATCTGCAAATTAAATTTTATTGATGACACTGGAAACTCAGACGCTGTTCCATTCGTTAATCACTTCTTCAGATATTTGTATTGCTAAAACTCACGCCAATAAAGATAAGAAGCGAAAACTATGACGCTAGACATTCAGTCCATATCCGGTCCTTTCCAGTATGACGTAGTTTCCCAGCCTAGTATTGAGCGATTGTATGATAAAGAAAGCGCTCCACTAACTCGTTTCTATGTAAAGACTAAGTCAAGATACAAACACGCCACTTACTATATTGCAGCGGCACAAAAAGACACTTACTTGACACTTAATTTAGTAAAAAGACTGTGTTCAGCTGATGTCTTCTGAATATAAGGCCGGCCATCCGAGTAAGTCAGCGTCTTGTTTGGCCATAGATGATATCCTATACTCTAGCGGCTTCATCGCAAGTTCGAGTTATCTACACTAACGCAGAACTGTTCGTAGTTCTAGTTTTGAGCGATCGTTGGATAAAGAAAGCGCTCCACTAACTCGTTTCCGTGGACAGAGTATAATTTCAAAACATTTCGCTTACAGTATTGCACATCGCTTTACCGAAACTAGGGGGACCTTTTTGACTCTTCAGTTATTGTAAAAAGCCACTTACTTGCGTATAACACTATTGTTCAGCTGATGTCTTCTTGATATAAGGCCGGGCCATCCAAGTAAGTCGGCGTCTAGTTTCGCCGCAGATGGCAATACTCTTGCGGCCTCATCGCAAGCTCGAGCTATCTTCACTAACGCAGAATTGCATTCGGCCAATGCGCACGCGCTTCTAGCAGCGCAGGAGACTATCCACGCACACAATTCGCTGATTACGCGACCTATGTATGAAAAATGCTCTTGATACTTGGATAAATATTAATCCACACCGCGGATTGGCTGAGCCATAACTAAAAACGAGGACTGTTAATATTGATACTTGAAAAAAAGTATCAATGTTAACATTCCCCATTGTTTAATAACAACATATCCGGTATTTGCTGATTGATTGATTACTTGGTCTTGTAAAATAAAAAAAATACTTATTTTTATCTAATCCCCATATTTAACAATTCTAAAACGAGTTACAGAGTAAGAAGGAAACGAGTGACAGAGTAGGGTAATCGAAATCCTAAAGGATACCAATCGAATGTATTTACGAAAGACGGACTTTTATTTATTACTTATTCTTATTACTTTTATAACATTCCTATTACTTTTATTATTGAAACAAAATAGTTTCCAAAGTATGGTCAATTTAATAGGTCACATTTGACATCGGCCAGTTTTAGCTTCAGGTGACCAGCTCAAATCATCTATTAAAGTGAATGAATCGATACGGACTTCAAACATCTGTAAAACTAGTACAAATTGAGCTTAAATTCTTACCAACAATATCAGAAGCTATCACATCACACAGCGCAACCAATTGAGCATCGTCTGCTCTATGGACTGCACGACTGAAAGTACTAAGTGTTGACTGTACATGATCCGCTAGTAACGCAGTATATTGCGTAATTAAGATACGCACTCCACCACGCGTGCTCCTACCACCACGGGTCCACATCGCTTCACAGAATAACAGCCTGAAAACATAAGGTATTAAGGATCAAAATCGTTTGAGTTAACCTAAATGGCCCCAGTTTGTCGCTTCACAGAATAATATTCTGAAAATCTAACGAGTTAAGGATCAACATTTTATTGTTTCCATTGGCGGAATGGTCCTATTATGCTGTTTTACGGCCAGTTTCAAGAATGACCAACAAAAGGTAGGCCTATTAGTGCCTTGTTGCGAATTTTTTATTATTATTATGATTATAATAACAACTGTCGCTAAGTAACGGTACCACATTATTCTGACCTTTAACTGCGGGTTGGTTATTGAAAGTAGCCGTTAGTACGAAAAAAGTTAAAATTTTAATTGTATAGTAAACATTTACTTTTTTATATAATAATCACAGTACTTTAATGCATAAATAAAATACAATAACACTAAAAAGGGCACACAACTAAATCTTAGTTGTGTGTCCTTCGTGTGACGCCGAAACAGCATCCCATTTCTTTATTCAGAAACTTCACACAACTAAAAATATATATTTTAATATATTATAGTTTAGTATGGATAGTGTTACCTTTGAAATCGAATTAACAAGTCACAACTAGGGCTGACGGTGTCATGACCTTTTGGGTCGTCTGTTTTTGTTGTATCCCCATTGATTATGCCATTGATATGCATTTGGGTCTGGCAACTCGTATTACGAATAAGATGCTTCACCTTAAAATACAAATGATTATGTCATTGTTTCCTACAATAAGCATTGAAATAAAAAATATAGTTTTAAGTTTCAGGTTATACCTACCAAATGCATTAAAGGCACAGACGCACCCTTGTCTGTGATGCTGGCATTGTTAATTTGATATTCCTCCGTGCAACCTGAAAGAAGTTCGACAAACAATGCTCATAATAGAGTAAGATCCCAAAACCAACTAATAACCAAACCAATCATACGTAGGAATCAGTCATCATCGTCACTGATACCAGATAATTGACCCACAGAATAAGTAAGTGAGTATGTATACGTTCATTGTAATCACTAATACTACTCGATTATCCATATTTTGTTCATGTGAAAATAAGTAAGGTCTGGAGGTCTTGGGATCCTGTACTATGAGCCCTAACGAATCCATAAGACGCTATGGTGTATTATATTATCACGAAAAAAATGTAGCAGTCAGGGTGTTTAGGAAAATTGACGTCACCAGTTGACGCCACTGTGACATGAGGTATTTTGTATGAAGTTTTTGGCGCGAATTAATCTAACGAGCATTTAAATTGATGCATAGACTAGGAAGAAATACGTGATTTGACAGATAAGTAGACCTTTCTTCTCAGTGATGCCACCTGGCAACCGTCATTGCAAAAACCCTAATTGTGCATTAAAAAATATACATACCTCTAACAGGTTCAGCATCATCTCCATTGTTAGTTTGAACACTCCTTTGACCAGTTACGATATCAACTTGATCATAATCCCTATAAGCAAACCATACATACCATGGTAATGTTAATGAACTTTAATTTGTATAATGCAAATCTACAGTCAACAACACCACAAATTTCAACAAAATGGGTTTTTTTCTCAAACGATTGAAAATCGTGTTTTTATAATTACAGTTTTGGTGGACTTATTACTGATTGGTCGCAATACAAAAGAACGTAGAGTTTCTTAATACTTACACGTCAAGCTGTAAGTGGTTGTAAGCATCTATGGAATGAGATTGCAAGGCATTTCGTAAGGCATCCCTAAGTCCACCTCCGCCCAGTAGTGACCATACGAGCAATTCCGTCATGAACCGGGCGCCTGTGCTAGCTGGTGCGGAACCTGCAGTAATGATTATAATATATTCATTATGATGTGTCTACCTAAATTGTTCTAATTTGACGTTATTTTCAAAACTACCTATTTAGATTCACAAATTATTATTTATTTCAATTTACTATCGCGGGCTCCTTTGTGCTTCAAAAGGCACGTTAAGGCGTTGGTCCCGGCTGTATCTGAAGTTGTTAGCACCCACCAATCCGCACTAGACCCGTATAGTGGATAGATTACCAATATCCCTACTCCATTTTTAAGAAAGGCCTGTGCTTTATCATCGGCGAGATTAATATGCTGATGATAATGATAGTGACCATAAGAGCACTGACACGAAAAAGCGTTATATTCAACGGGGCCGCCGCCGCTGCAGCGGAGCCTGCTCGCACCTCCACCGAAGCATCAGCGCTATGTGATGCTGCGCCCTGATCTGCGGCGTGGGCAGCAACAGCGGGGCCAGATCACCCCTCCACCAGCGCTACTAGAGCGGAATGGACTCACCATGGGGCACTGTCATATAGTCACTTTGAGGCAGCAGCGGTTTGACATGCTGCGCTCTGATCTGCGCCGTGGGCAACAACAGCGGGGCCAGCTCACCGCTCCACCCTCACTACTAGACCAGGATGGACTCACCATGGGGCACTGTTAGTTTAGTCACCTTGAAGCGCCCTGATCTGCGGGAAGGCAGCAGCAGCGAGGTCAGCTCATCCCTCCACCGGCGCTACTAGAGCAGGATAGACTCACCATGGGGCACCGTTAATATAGTCACCTTGAAGCAGCAGCACTATGTGATGCTGCGCCCTGATCTGCGGCGTGGGCAGCAACAGCGGGACCAGCTCACCCCTCCACCGGCGCTACTAGAACAGGATGGACTCATCATGGGGCCCTGTTAGTATAGTCTCCTCGAGGCAGCAGCGCTATGAGATGCTGCGCTTTGATCTGCGGTGTAGGCAGCAGCAGCGGGGGCAGCTCACTCCTCCACCGGCGCTACTCCAGCAGAATGGACTGACCATGGGGCACCGTTAGTATAGTCACCTTGAAGCAGCAGCGCTATGTGATGCTGCGCCCTGATCTACGGCGTGGGCAGCAACAGCGGGGCCAGCTCACCCCTCCACCGGCGCTACTAGAACAGGATGGACTCATCATGGGGCCCTGTTAGTATAATCTCCTCGAGGCAGCAGCGCTATGAGATGCTGCGCTTTGATCTGCGGTGTAGGCAGCAGCAGCGGGGGCAGCTCACTCCTCCACCGGCGCTACCACAGCAGAATGGACTCACCATGGGGCACTGTTACTATAGTCACCTTGAGGCAGCAGCAGCGGGGCCAGTTTACCCCTCCACCAGCGCTACTAGAACAGGATGGACTCACCCTGGAGCACTCTTAGTATAGTCTCCTCGAGGCAGCAGCTGTATGAGATGCTGTGCCCTAATCTGCGGCGTGGGCAACAGCAGCGGGGCCAGCTTACCCCTTCACCAGTGCTACTAGAGTGGAATGGACTCACTATAGGGCACTGTCATATAGTCACCTTGAGGCAGCAGTGCTATGAGATGCTGCGCCCTAATCTGCGGCGTGGGCAGCAGCAGCGGCCAGGCGGCGGCTAGTGCGCGTCTGGCCGCCGCCGCCGCAACGTTGCCAGCTCGCCCTTCCACCAACGCCACTAGAGCGGAATGGACTCCGTTACACCACGACTTTTCATTATCGCCCAATTCTAACTCAGCACCGTGAGAGCACTGCCACGCGTGCACCTATTGAAAATGAGGTTAAATGAAATCGAAATATTGTAAAGATTTAGTGCAGTTCAATCGTCAATCAAGAGCACTACCAATTTTAATGATTTAAACTTTGTTGTGGTTCGCACTATTAAAGAAACGAATCGAAAATGGCGACTCAAGAAATTCTATCCCTTTCACACGTCCTGACAGGACTAATAAAAAACACAGAATATCGTACGTCGTCATTTCAGATTTATTTCTTGATTGCCGCGAGTCATACAATATGCCATCTATACTACCTATTACTTACTTGTAATCGAAGAAGGTTGAGACATGATATAGCCAAAGATTCATTCTCTTTTATGGACGCAGCATTGTTTTGCTCGACTACTATTCGTAACAGCCGCTCTAACAATCTAAAAATCGTTCAAAATAATATAATTTGATTTTAAAAATAAAGGTCATTTATGCACATCAAAAATCTTCATATGAGATTGTAACTTACTTGAATGTGTTATCTGATAAATCTATAACAAATGGCAAGGAAGAAGGCAAATCTCTAGGGGTTTCCTCGCTCCAAACAATTATTTGGTTAGGTCCACTTGTAGCACCTGCAAAAAATATATTATTAGTCATACTTCACATAAATTATCCAGAAAGTTTTAAGTCACTGAATCCTTACCATTTGCTTTAAAAGATTGATTCAATACTTGCAATAGTTGTGGCACAGGACTAGATATTTGGGCTCTCTCGTGAGTTCCCCAAGCATACAATGTACCCTCAGAAGTCAATGCTATTCCATGTGAAGCACCCAAGGACAAATCAACTATCTTCAAACCTTGAATGAAATATTATCTTAGATTATGAGTCTTGAAATGATAATTTAAATATATATCAATAATACATTTTTATATATCAAAAATATACCTTGAAAAGCCTCTACTACTTTAGGAATTTTGATGGTATCAGAATTTCCATGACCAAGTCGATATCCATCTCCTTTGCCCCATGTATAAACTTGACCTCTGTAACAAAACAAATATCATCGTTGCCATTCTAGATGCAATAGAAGCACCACTTATGGACTATCAACTTAGTCCTAAATTTATAATTATAGGACTTGGACTTTTATTGTAAAAATTGATATTACAATAGTTATTTGTTAAAATTTACTTTTTTGTTGACATCTTATATAGCATGGATATTGAGGCATTTCACTTTTTTTAGTAATTAAACTAAACTTATATTACCTATTAAACAAATACTCTCTAAAAAAATTACAAATAAACCCTGACAATAATTTTGATCAGTATCCAATCCACGGTAAAACTATCAACCCCCTCAGGTTCGAGTGGTTTAGAGGCTCCAGACGTAGAGGAGACTCCCTCCGTGGGAAGATGCCATCCGCCTGAAATACCTCTTTAGGCACTCACCAATTCTCGGCTTGAGGTCCCCAAAGGATCACGCCGTCCCCAAACCCGGTGGCGCTGTAGAGGTAATCTGCGACCAACACACATTCCAAAAAAAGGTAAAAGTATCAATTCACCCACCCATCAGTGAGTGCCGCATGCCAATGTTCACCAGTGTAGAGGCGTGTGATTCTCAGTACCGCGAGTGACGTAAGGATTCTGGGCATGCCGCCTTCGTTGTCGCCAAACACTTGGACTGCGCCTTCCCAAGTGCAACAGAGGGTCTGACTTTCACCCCAACCTATAAGAAATATAGGTAAGTAGTCTATAAGCAACCATGACAAGAAATATAAATAAGTAAGTATATTGCCTATAAGCAATCATGACTGTTGTTAACAATACATGTATTGAGATCCTCGACTATTTTTTTTTTTTCTTTATTTGATGTGATGTGAATCTTTATTTGTTATGAATTCTTTAAATAAGATCATGTGAGAAAACGAAACACTGAAATCATAAATATATGTTTTTAGTTATGGAATAAAAATAGAGCATCGTAAGATTTTAATTTTCGGGGGCTTTTTTTCATATTCTGAGACAAGACAAACAACAGTAAATAATAATAGGCTATTTGACAAGTTTAAAAAGGTCCAAACGTCAAACAGTAGAAGGTAATGTCACTTTGACAGAATGTTTACAAGCAGGTAACGTCGGTTTAGGAGCCGCTAATCCTAGGCGATTTTTGGTCAGGTGACAATATATCAAAAAAGAGCCTTGTGTACACCCTTATTAATGAAGTATCTTACCTAACGCAATGTCGATAACTCGCTCGATGTTATGAGCGCTGAATGAGACAGGTTGTGGAGTCAGGCAGTTTTCGATGGTGCCATGTCCTAAACGTCCTTGCGTACCACGGCCCCAAGTGTATAAGGCGCCTCGAGATGTTATAACAGCACTGTAAAAAAAGTACTTGGTTACTTGTAGTGAAGCTCCCGGGCCTTTCAAAACATAAAAACCTCGAACTTGAGCTACAGTGAATGAAATTTAAACATTCAAGATGGAATGTAAAGCTACTAATATATACACATATATTAGATATATATATATACATATCTAATATATAAAATTCTCGTGTCACGGTGTGCGTAATTGAACTACTCCGAAACGGAAGTAGGTCTGAGAATCGGACAACGTCTATTTTTCATCCCCCTAAATGTTAAGGGTGCGCCAGGAGCCTGCCATGAGTGAATGAGAATGGCGATCAACACACATCGTGGTGCGCCAGGTGGTGTATAGAGGCGGGCGCATCCCTAGGCGTCGTGTCTCCGTGCCCCAGCCGCCCTTCGTCACCCCGCCCCACCCCGCCCTACAAAACTGAACAGTGACGTCATCTACAAGCGATCTCCGCGGCCACCTTGACCACCTCGTGATGCGCCAGGTGGTGTATAGAGGCGGGCGCGTCCTAAGGCGCCGTGTCTTCGTGCCCCAGCCGCCCGTCCTCCAACGCCCCAACCTGCCCTACATTACTGAACAGTGACGTCACCTGCACGCGATCCCCGCAGCCACCTTGACCACCTCGTGGTGCGCCAGGCAGTCAATCGGGAAGACAAACCCCCCTTATTTGCCCGGACTCTTCGCGACGGCGTCCGCTCGTTTTCGCGTCTCTTTTTTTTCACTTCCACCATGGCAGCCTCAATAACAAAGTTTGGACGTACAGCGGTGCACACCCCTACGCCTTCAACGCTGTTTGAGGTCGAGTTCTGCAACATACGCGGACTCCACTCTAACCTCAACGCTGTCCACCACCATCTCGAGACAGCACGGCCAGCATTGTTGTTCCTGACGGAGACACAAATACTTCCGCCTGCTGACACAGGCTACTTTAATTATCCCGGCTACGTGCTTGAAGAGTCCTTCAAAGCGAAAGCCGGTGTATGCCTGTATGTTCGGGCGGATGTTTGTTGTCGCCGTCTGCGCTGCTTGGAAGATCCCTCCTTCTCCATGCTGGGGGTACACGTCGACTTTGGCCCCCGGGCCAGAGTCTACGTGTGCCTCTACAGATCCCACACCGGCGATGTTGAGACAACTCGACTTTTTGAACACCTTAGTCGGGCAGCAGATGACGCGCAGGAGCGATTTCCCAATGCAGAATTGGTGTTTTTGGGGGACTTTAATGCTCACCACAATTTCTCTCACACATTCGCTCTCACGCATGACTTGAAGCAACTGGTTGATCAGCCCACCAGGATCCCAAATATTCCAAGTCAAGCGCCTTCTTTACTGGACCTTCTGCTCACGACCCATCCACAGGGCTATCAGGTTGTGGTAAGAGCCCCCCTGGGCTCGTCCGACCACTGCCTGATATCTGCCAAAGCACCACAGGCCAAGCCTCCGCGTCCAGCAGTGGTCAAGCGCCGTATCTGGCATTATGGGTCGGCAGATTGGGACGGTATGCGTGATTACTTTGCGTCCGTCCCTTGGAAGCAGCGCTGCTTCAGTGACAGGGACCTATCGGGCAGTGCCGTTGCTATTACTGAGGAGATCATAATGGGTATGGAATACTATATTCCTCATTCTGATCTCATCAGTAAGGGCACACGTAACCTCTGGTTCAATCACGACTGTGCTGAAGCTGCTTCGCGTAAGCAAGCGGCATATCGTGCTTGGATCAGAGGCCGCGCTCTCAAGGATCCCGGGGTCGATTCACTCAAAGCAGCCTACAATTCTGCTTCCAAGGCCTGTAAGAAGGCTTACATCAGAGCGGATGCCCAGCGTGTTGCACGTGTTGGCCAGGAACTTATAACGCATCCTGCGGGCTCCCGTAGCTACTGGCGTTTGGCCAAGGCCGTGCAAAAAAACTTCTGCCAGCCCTCGCTGCCACCTCTGAGATGCCCAGACGGAACACTAGCTCATAAGCCGCAGGAGAAAGCCGATTTACTGGCAAAACTCTTTGCGGCTAACTCCCGAATCGATGATTGCAATGCACTGCCACCATCATTACCTCACTGTGGCACAACGATGCCTGATATTAAAATCAGGCAGCGTGAGGTTCGTGCCGAGTTGCAATCACTCGACGTCCGGAAAGCTAGTGGACCTGATGGCATCCCAGCAGTAGTACTTAAAAAATGTGCAGCGGAGTTGTCTCCCGTGCTCACGCGCTTGTACCAATGCTCGTATTCTTTGGGGCGTGTGCCGGAGACTTGGAGAGATGCTAACGTGCAACCGGTGCCCAAAAAAGGGGATCGCTCAGACCCGGCAAACTATCGGCCAATAGCAGTCACCTCAGTTTTATGTAAAGTTCTAGAAAAGGTCCTTAATAACCACCAGCTTCACGCAAACTCGGAGTCCTGAACAAGGTGCGGCGTTTTTTCACGCCCGATCAACTGTGCTTGTTGTACAAAACGCAAGTGCGGTCCTGCGTGGAATATTGCTCGCACCTCTGGGATGGCTCCGCCAAGTACTTGCTCGATGCTTTGGATAGGTTACAGCGGTGCGCGATCCGCATCATAGGCGATGAGGAGGTGACTAAACACCTTGAGCCTCTTCAATTACGCCGTGACGTGGCGTCACTAAGCGCGTTCTATCGTTTGTACCACGGCGAGTGTTCTGAGGAGTTATTCTCTCTTATCCCACCTTCCCCTTTCCTTCAGAGGACCACGCGCGCTGGCCTACGTTGTCACCGTTTTACTGTGGCCACAATTCCAACGCGTACAAAGAAATTTGGTGACTCATTTCTTTGTCGCACTATCCGTAAATGGAATGCTCTGCCCGCTCACGTGTTCCCTCCCTCTTACAACCTGGGATCCTTTAAAAGAGGCGTGAAGAAGCAACATGCAGGCCGGCAGGGTGAGGATGGCTGGTGTGGCAGGTAGAACTGCTGTATCAGCTATCTTCGCGTCTGGACTTCACCTTCACTTAACATCAGGTGGGGTGGAGTCATTTGTCGGACCTAACTATAAAAAAAAAGGTGGTGTATAGAGGCGGGCGCATCCCTAGGCGTCGTGTCTCCGTGCCCCAGCCGCCCGTCCTCACCCCGCCCCACCCCGCCCTACAATACTGAACAGTGACGTCATCTACAAGCGATCTCCGCAGTCACCTTGACCACCTCGTGGTGCGCCAGGTGGTGTATAGAGGCGGGCGCGTCCTTAGGCGCCGTGTCTTCGTGCCCCAGCCGCCCGTCGTCAAACGCCCCAACCTGCCCCACATTACTGAACAGTGACGTCACCTGCACGCGATCCCCGCAGCCACCTTGACCACCTCGTGGTGCGCCAGGTGGTGTATAGAGGCGGGCGCGTCCTTAGGCGCCGTGTCTCCGTGCCCCAGTCGCCCGTCCTCCAACGCCCCAACCCGCCCTACATTACTGAACAGTGACGTCACCTGCATGCGATCCCCGCAGCCACCTTGACCACCTCGTGGTGCGCCAGGTGGTGTATAGAGGCGGGCGCGTCCTTAGGCGCCGTGTCTCCGTGCCCCAGCCGCCCGTCTTCCAACGCCCCAACCCGCCCTACATTACTGAACAGTGATGTCACCTGCACGCGATCCCCGCAGCCACCTTGACCACCTCGTGGTGCGCCAGGTGGTGTATAGAGGCGGGCGCGTCCTTAGGCGCCGTGTCTTCGTGCCCCAGCCGCCCGTCCTCCAAATGCCCCAACCCGCCCTACATTACTGAACAGTGACGTCACCTGCACGCGATCCCCGCAGCCACCTTGACCACCTCGTGGTGCGCCAGGTGGTGTATAGAGGCGGGCGCATCCCTAGGCGCCGTGTCTCCGTGCCCCAGCCGCCCGTCTTCACCTATGCCCCACGACCACACACCACCGCACGAAGAACAGCAGAGATAGTGGCGGCCGATGGAGTGGCATGCCACTTGCGTTATTGTTTTGTTTTCGAGACCTTAACAAGAATTGAATAAAAACTTAGTATTCAATGAGCGATCAGTCAACACTTAGTGCCTATCCAGATGACGCAATTTATGCGCGAGCTGGAGACGCGAGAACCTCGATTCGTTCTACGCGCTTTGGGGGGGCTCTTTTCATTGAAAGTACACAATCTACAAAACAGCCGCTTTGTCGGAATTCCAAGAATTCATGTCGCTGATTGCTCAGAATACGTGCCAAATTATTGAAAACACATAACTTGCGCGTAAATCGCATCATCTAGGCGGAACAGAAACTTCAATGTGCGTGGGCTTGCGCGTAAATCACATCATTCGGACAGTATGCTTCAAAGAGAAGTTAAGGATATTATTTGAGCGTGGAAAAATTTTATTGTATTATGGAGATTGATTAAGGAGACACGATCAAAATTTTAACCTCTTATTAATAAACGCAGAATAAGCTTGAATAAGTTACTCCATGTTTTGTCTCTTTTCATGGAATGACAAATGTCATTTGAGTGATATGAACAAAAGACGGCGTAACTAGTCTAAGCTTATTCTTCTTTAATGTTTAATCACAGAATTAAAGATACGAGAAAACACATGATTTATTTTCATAATTGTTGTTTGCCGCATGTTCGGTTTCAAATATATTGAATGCGTATAACGTAACATTACATCCGCTTACCCACCTTTTCCTATCCCTTGGACGATTTTTTATTGTAATACGAGGGTAGACAGGCAGTATCTGTCAGCTGCCTGTTACTACTACGACGCCACAGCGATCGGACGACTTATGAAAAGCCCCGATCCAAATTACATATAGTCATTAAAGTATAAATTGACAATATATCTCACCAGGAACAAGTTGGGGCGTCATAGTATCATAAGGCAGAGTATAAACGGCACCATCGTATGTGAGCAACAGTGCCAGCTTCTCCGCACATGAGATTTGCTGAATTCTTAAAGCACCTAGCTGCAATGGCCCTGCGCCCACCGATATAACTTCTTGAGCCGATTCGGTACACTACAAAATCCAAATAATAAATATTTAACAAGAAACTTTTCTATGATGATGATGATGAGATGATGTTGTAAGATCAGTACGAAATGGTAAGCTGTGGAGTTTCTTTCGCCGCTTCTTTTCCGACAAAGCAGCATAATAATTAGGTATTTAAGTGAGATAATTATTTCGTCTCGAATTCGTGGTAGGGAATTGACGATTTAAAAGTACTTAGCAAAGTCCATTTATATAAAGATATTTTGAGTTTTATAAAATAATATTTATAATAAAATTTAACAGATAACAATATCAGGCACTAATGAAAAAATAACTTACAGTGACAAATCCTTTTAGTGGCGGTAGTAGAGGGGCTCCAAGCCTGTCTAAGTGACATAATAAAGCTATACCGGCTTTCCGCACCTCCATTAATCCATCGCCACTAGGTATATTCAGTTCCCTAATACACAAAAGCATACATATTTCATCTTTCTCGATATAACAATTTGGCAAGTAAAATTATCACAATGAACATTTATGTTCTTATAATCATGCTTATAGCAAGTTTACTTACTTTAAATATATTTCTGTGGGATTGGGTTCAGTGCTTGGCTCATTATTGATAGACGGATTGGACGCGGTAACTTTAGCCATTCTCCTTAAAAATGGTCCTAAAGGTGCTGTACATTCTTCTAAAGTTATTCTGAAACAAAGAAGAATTAAAAATGTAGCAAAATTCATACTTATCATATCATAAAATCTTGTTTAAGTGAAAAAATATCATTACCTGTTATCTGGTTGCCTTTTCTGTCGCGGAGGTAGAGTGACTAGAACATCTGCAGCTTTCAACAAAGCGGGTAATTCTGCTCGGCGCGCACACAACTCGACCCATACACAAAGTGACGTGCGCCAATCTCCTAGGGGCACATTGCAACCCACTTCCCTATATATATAAAATTTAAATAAGAACATAATATACAAATTAGTCACAAAGCAACAAAGAAGAACATTTCAATACAGGACAATGGCGAAAATTTTTAGAGCAATGATCTTTCCTGATGCTGGCACTTCAATTGGCTATTCGTGTTTGCTATTTTTGCTTGTTTTGACAGACTGACATCAAGATTACAAATAAATCTTGACGTCAGTCTTTCGCTTTCATTCCTTATAAACCATGATAAAGATAGACTGTTGTCAAGTTTACAAATAGTAATGAAGAATAGCCAAGTGAAGTGCCGGCATTACATTTAAGACAAGGGTGCATGAATTCACTTACACTACTATATTTTATTTCTAAAATATTTAAAAAAATATCCTTACGCCTTCAATGTAGTCGATAGAATCCTTAAAGGTAGTCGCCGTATTCACAGAAACACTTACCCAGCCACAACTTGATGTAGAAATTTCGCAGCGCTATCGACAACTTCAGCCCATATCTTCTGTGAACGAGGTGCTTGCTGCGCCGCAGTGGCGCCGGCGAAAAGCGCAGCGTCGGGCAGTGCGCGTACTGCGTCCAAAGCGTCTCGTAGTAGCGCGGAACATACGTCGGCGTCCTCGCCGCAACGCCACGCCCGCCTTACTAACGACAATGCCAGACGCAGCGCTGCTCTTGCTCCGACGCGCGCTAATCCAAAGGCACTGAAATAAGTCATTTAACAGTAGCGATGATGACAGGATAAATTTCACGAATTTTTTTTGAGTCCATCAGTTAAAATATCATAAAATAATGGACTTTTTTTTTTGACAATAAAACAAAAATACACACTGAGAGTTCCGTACAAATCTTGAGGTATATTTACGATTGTCGCAATTGTTCCTTTATCTGTGCTATAAGACGTTGTACACGGGAAGAACCCTGTAAGTTTTGATTCCCTTGCGAGTTTCAAAAAATTTGCTGCATAAACGGCTGTATCTTTTGATTGTGTTGGCTTAGAAGTTTGATTTTTTCACTGTTCCAAGGGACAATCGACTCTACAGTATTTGATATAAATTTCAGCTTGATACCTCCACTCGTTCTCGAGAAAAAGGGTCTTGACAGACAGAAAACAAAGTGATCCTATAAGGGTTCCAGTTTTTCCTTTTGAAGTACAGAACCCTAAAGATGATATTATCATCAAAGTTTTCACTTTTAAGTAAAATTTGTGCCAAGATGTGACATCATGTGACATTTCAAATCAATATATATCTGTAATGTTGTAATTATGTGATTAAATAAATATATGTGTCCAACACTTTTTGATAATCTACTTGATAGTCGAAGAAAAAAAGTTAGTCATCATTACTATTATAGCAGCAGATTATTTATTATTATTAACAAAATGAAAGGAAATCATCTATTGTTAGTGTATTAAATTAAGGAAAATCCTACTTATATTATAAATATGAAAGTTTGTATATTTGTTACTCAATCACTCAAAACTACTGAACGGATTGATATTATATTTATATAGTTTATGACCTGGAATAAGACATTTATTACTTTTATCCCAGAAAAATTTTAGGTTCCTGAGGTACTCTTAAAAGAACTATGGCCGCTGGTTAACACATAATAATTAGTAGTTATATCTCTAAACATTTTTAGAAAGTGACCATGAAAATCAGTGTGCAATCCACTAAAGCATGTAGGTACTATTTTTATTCATTAATGTAATAATACAGTGCAAATGTTTACTTCTCAGAATCGTCAGCTTGGTCTTCTACATCATCCTGGCTTTCAGTGGATAGTTCGACAGGTTTCTTTAGACTATTAACAACATTGCTTAAAGCTCTGTTGCTAACTGCCTGGATAGACTTTTTATCAACCTTTACTTTTTTTTCTTCTCTATTATGTATGTTGTCTCTGTAAATTAAGTTACAAAAATTATAACACATTACTAAATTAAATTCAGTTTAGCAAATTAACTTATAATGCTATAACACCAGTTACAATATTTTTTGGTGCTACATGAGGCAGAATAATGATAACTGCACTATGAATATAAGACTAATTGGCTGACAATATAGATTTACTGTTATTTTTAATTAGTTACATGGCTCTTAACTCTACTTAAATAAATGTTTATCTCTTTTTCAGTGCCTGTTTTTACTAAAATAGTATATGCATTTTAGATATAAAGATTATGCCTTAGTCTATTCACATTGTGGCAAAAAAAGGATAAGCTATTATTATTCATTTTATAATAAATTATCATTCAGATTTTATTAATACAAAATAATTTAATTTTAATTTAAGCTACTAATAAAAAAATGGTTGCCTGTAAAGTCGGTTTTACGGGCGAAGATTTTACGTGACAACGTCTTTTTCTCGGTAGAATATTTATTGATATGAATATAATTAAATTGCACAATAGGAACAAGGAATTGAATGAAAATAAGAATTGCACAAATTTTAACTATAGAAATATATTTTGTTTACTAAAACATTGTACATGTAAACTTAAACTTAACACGAGAGACTCATCGTAACGTTACCGAGCGTTACACTTTTTCATAAGTGACTCCCAGCCGCAACCTAATTTAAGACGTTGTCACGTCAAAAAGATAGAATGATCACTGATATTGCTTAGAAACTATAACTAAAGACATTCTATGGTCATGAGGACTAAATTAGTTTACAAAAGCTACAGAGAATAAAGTAGATACCTAATAACTGCTACGAGATGTCTATTGCATAAAACTATCAAGCGGCGGATTTGTGAGATGTATGGACAACTAAGAGCTGTATTAATAGCTCTTACACGTTGCTCCCACAGCAGAGATTCCATCAAATTTTGAAGGCATTCAGGTCCTGAAAATATCAATATATGGCATACTATTTTCCACAGTTCCTTATCTAATATACAAAAAATTACATGTGTTTAGATATTTCTTAGCTTAAAACCGGTTTTAAATAGTAATTAATATGAAAAGTTTATATAACATAGCAGAGAATTGCTTAGAATTTTCAATCTTTTAATGAACTGCAGCTTGATATTATAATGAAATGTATGTATGTACAAATAACAAATTTAACCTGGATCTAATTTCCATTTCAAATCATCTATTACTTGCACTGAGGATGGTGGTACAATAATTTTAGCTTGAATGGCATTACGCATGTCTTCTTCGGTAGATAGTGCAGTACATGGTGCACAGGCACAACCTGAATGTGGTCCACAAAGTCCATCACAACAAGTGCATGTTAATATCTGGAAAACATAAAAGTAACAATGTGTGTGCCTATCCTATTTGAGAATTCAGGTGAATCAAAGATGAATTGATGCATGTTTTCTGTCAATAAAGCAATAACGTAAAGTCTGAACGAATTATATAGTGAGATAAGTAATCAAGTTCCTGGGGTAATTTATTTAACAAATTTCATTAGTGTTGTTCTGTTTAGCACAACAGGTTTCAATAAACAAATGTGTAATTTCAATTTAGATCATAAATCGGATGTTTACCCTGAGGCCACAGTAATATTTGCCACTTTCTCCAAGTTTTGCTGTAACTCCTGCCGAATTCACAAGACCATTTGTTGCATCAAAATATATTTCTCTATCTTGAAGCAAACTATTAAACAAGGTGCAATGAGACTCTGGATTATGTAAAGCATCTTGTAAGTCAGGATTAAGCCATTTCGTGTCTAAATGTTGTTGTGGACGAAATATGAAATCTTCACTATCATCAGGGACAGACATTTTCGCAACCGGTAATTTCGTCACTACGTTTTAATCATTTTCATAGTTTGGAAATGACAGTCTGAGAACAGTAAACCATTATGAACATAATATTACTATTAATTTCATCCCAACTCTATAAGAAATACAACTGCGATATAAAACTAATTACAATCCGAATTAAAATCAATCGCGAAACCCAAAATAAACGTCAGGTTGATACAGTGGATGTCACTGTCATTCTGACAATGTCAATTACCCACATTGAAGGATTCACAATAGCCCATGATGGGCGATTCAAAAAGAAGCCATCATCGCCGCGATGATGAGATGCTGTCTACACCTTTGTATTCTTTTTAAAATTTGAAATCTCCGCGGCGTGCTAAGAGTCTGATTCACTGCAGAAATTGCGGGTTCGCGTCCCGTTTACGGACGAGACGGTCCTTAGGGTCAAACACCCCTCTACGGCTTTACCTTTACACATCGCCCTCAGCATGGTCAAGCCCATCAGGTAAGACCCATGTGGGAGGTCCAGTGAGCGACCAGCTAGCGGGCGACGGACTCGGGCGTGAGTAAGGGGACACATATAAGATAGTTGTGTAAAATGGTTTCCCAGATTCTTTAGATTTTTTTTCAGCAACTTGTTCTCTTATTAGCCTGTGCCAGTGTTGCCAACTCAGATTTTGAAAAAGGCGTAGGCCCGATGAGAAAATTACGTAGAATTAGTAAATTTTGGATATGAAAAGTACGTAGATCTACGTACTTTTTTCCGAGTGAAATGAAGAAGTTAGGTCAAACCGAATAAAATGAGTATTTTGTTATACAATTTGTTTAAGAACGGGAGATAGAACAAAGAGTTCTTGGAGAAGTCGCTAAATTGAAAGCATTTACCATGCTGTGGTAGACATTTACCATCAGACACAGACACTGCTGGGTGTCGATTCTGGATGGTTCTCTTAATTTAAAACTAAATTTAACATCAGTCTCTCCTTTTCATTCTGTATAGAGAATGACAAGGATGAACTGTTGTTAAATGGGCTAGTTGACACTTTTTGGAATTATGTTTTAAATTGTTAATAATCGTTCTATCAGATCGAAGAAAAATGTATTATACAAAAACGCTATTTAGTCTATAGACTTATCTATGCTATGACTTCAAAACATTTGTAAACAAACACTCGCAAGCATGTAGGAAATAAACTTTTTAAGTTAATATTATAAAACCATGACTTCTAATAGATCACATGAAAAATACAGTGGTTATCATGATATACTTGGTAAAAGCCTAGAAAAGCTGTGGTTTAAATTGCCAAGAGAAATAAACATACTTACACATGAACATATGTTTAAAACTTGCTAAATCCTGTAACTTTATCGACTGAAAGTCATTTCTTTTTGCAAAGATCAATTCGATGTGAGTAGGTACTCATTGATAGTATTAAACGTTATGTATGTACCTACTAAGTCAAAGAGTTTTATCGTTTTTGCTTTCACAAATCCTACGTCCAGCATTAATTTAGTCAACAAATCCAATAACGGGAACCTTTTCTACAAGATACGAGAGTGTAAGATACATCTTTATAAGAAATAAACATTTGTATAGTTTTTAAGTAAAGTAACGGAAAATATTCTTCTTTATTCTAGTGAATTAAGTTATTTTACAAATTTGAAAAAAATAAGAAAATACGTAGATTCTGGGACTGAAGTTAGTAGGTTTCCGGAAAAGGCCTAAAATACGTAGATCTACGTAAAAAGACGTAGAGTTGGCAACACTGGCCTGTGCTTTCATCTGTTCGGCGATGTTGAGCAGCTGTCGAATATCTTCCATTGAGGCTGGTGTTGGGGTGAGTTCCTTGGTGTTGGCTGCGACGGGTGGTGGTGTGGCGTGGGTCGTCGTGTTAAAATGGACTATTCAGGTGCACCTTATTAGTACTAAATCGAGGGTAGCTCCGCAGAAAGTAGTTTCTCTTGCGCGTCTTGAGCTATGCGCTATATTAGTGTTAGCCCAGCTCATTAGTTCAATCGTATCGTCAATTGTTGTCGTAACCGCATAAATATAGATAGAATTTTCACATTCTCAGACTCAACTGTTGCTTTATAATTTGTTTAAAAATTAAATATTATTAATATCCCCAGATTTGACAGCTTTATTTGACATTGGTGTCGATTCTGGCATGATTCTCATAACTTTAAACTTTTAACATCAGTCTCTCTTTTTCATTTTATATAGAGCTTGACTAAGATACATTGGTGTCGATTCATTCTCTAAACTTACAATTATTAAGAAACAACTATGTAGTTTGTGGTAGTCTGTGTCAAGGAAGAAGAAAGAATGACTTGTTCTCTTATTAGTCTGATAGTCTGTGGAAGAATGATGGATGTTGTGTTGTCATAAAGCGAGTTGTGAAATTAAAAGCGGATGATAATGTTCTTTGCGTTATACACAAACACTAATAAACTTTTAAAATTTTATATTTTCACGTCATGGAAACAGATATTTTAACAGAAAACAAAGATTACTTATACGGTATGTACTTGTAAATTTCATCGATATCCGGCAGATTTTGTAAACAATGTGCTCGCTAGACTACGTGAATAAATAAACGCATTTTGTCGGTCTCCTAATGCTTGAAGCAATCCTTGAAAGCCCTTTCTTGTATAATTGCACAGTGCCTGTTGCCAAAATTGTACTTTTGTTGCTGTTTTGCACACTGATCTATCAACTGTATAGATATTAGAAAAAAGGTTTTGTAATCTTATTTCTTAAACCTTTGCTGTTGTTATAGAATATGATTACTAGGTTTAAACCTGACAAATTTATACAGTCATGTTTGCGAAAAAAATTTTTGAAGGGGTTTTGGTTTTAAATATTAATTTATTTTCTTATTAATATTTCTTTCTAATTCGTATTCCGTGATGTTAACTTATATATTATTGTGTTCTTTACTTGCTACAAATATCTGCTGTGTTGCTTAGTTCCAGGAGTATGAGACCACTCCTTCAACAATAATTATATAGCTACTATTACAATTCAGTATCTTGTTTAATGGGCTAATGTACATTTATTTTCTATTTTCAGAAGATGACTTTTTAAATGAATTCGCAGGTGACTCAGTGTGGTCATCTTTATTAGTTACAAATGATGCTACACCAAGTGAAATCTTAGCAGACGCTGCTCCAGTACTAGTGCCACCTATATCACCAATCTTGAGTGTGAAATCATCTCCAAATGAGAGCAGTAATTCAGACTCTGGGAGTGAAGATGACTCAAAAAAGTATAAAATTGATAATATTTAAAGCTTTACTTTTATCACTCTTGTTTTCATGTGCTACTTTTCATAATCACCATAATGGTCATCAGCCTACTAATGTCCTTACGGAAAAAGGCCTTCCCTATGGATAGAATATGCCGTGAACCACCTCACACACCCACTTTGGATTGATGAGCACTAACAACTGCAGAAACAGCCAGGACCAACTGCTTGACCTGTGTTTACTGAGAAGCTTGTGACAGTAAATTATTGTAACTAATATTATTACACCTTTATTTACCTCACATCATTTTATCAACTACATCTGAAGTTCTGACATAACTATTTTTGTTATTAACAGTTCTAGCAGCACATACATGTGTCATTCATCACAGTCTCCTATTGATTGGACAACTATTATGGATGATGAGCCATCAAGTGACCTGAAGTTAGAAGATGTGGAGTTATTCTTACAAAAATCACATGACATAGGTATATATTTATTATAAATCTCATGCTTTCACTATATTTTTTGGTATTAGACTTCTATAAAACTTTTATTAAACAGACTAGTAAGACAGATTTGTTAAAAAAATTACTTGACCCACTCTCCATAGCATGAGCACCACAATTTACATCATATCACATGTTTTATCATGTCTACCTGTCAAACTGCATAGTAATTTGACAATTAGGCCTGTTAAAAATGCGTTATATATCATATCACGGTGCTAGGGGGCAGAAATAAAAATTCTAACTAACTAAACTATGTTACATATCCAATGTAACAAAGAAAAAAAAAGTAAGTTTTAACACTTTTATTTTTTATTATATCTTACATGTAAACATATGCATGATCTATAGTTCATCTTTATATATTTTACAGCTAATGTTACTCCAAGTGGCATCCCAACACCGGCTGCATCTCCAGATAGGACAGGTCCTGTTATGGCTATAGAAAATGGAGTAATAAAGGTATAATTTGAGGTTCTGAAAGGGTTAAAGTTACAATTATATCATTTATGTATATAAAAATTTAATTCATGTTTACAGGGTGTTATGAATGAAATAGGACTACATCTTGTTGATTTACCTTCACAAAAGCAAGTAAATGGTAATAAACAATTAATTTTTATTACTTAACACAAAAAGAAACATTAACAACATATTAAATACTAATATTGGTTTAAATTTTAGGAAACATAGGTCCTCAAAATTCATATTTCAAAGTAGTTAATGAAAATTTCTTAATTAATAACATCAGAAAGAAAGAAGATGATCACAAAATTGTTAATAACAATGTAAAAGTGGTTATGGAGCAAAAGAAAATTCCAAGTATATTAAAAAGATCTTCAAACTTATCAACAAAAGCAAAGACCCCCACAATTATGATACCTGCACAGAGTACAAAAGGAGGAAAAATTGCCATATCACCATTACCACAATTAAATCAAAATGGTGTTTCCCAATGCAATGGTTATCAATTAGCAGTGAGTATACAATACATGTATCAGGATTTCTATTTTATATTTACATTACATTTTTGTGTAGACTGTTAAACATGTTTAGTGATCATCAACAAACAAACAACAAAAACGCAGGTGAGGACTCAGTTAAGCGGTCTGTCTATACATATTTAAATTGGGTCTTTCGCTTTCCATCTGTTCTACCAGTAAGAACAAGTAGAAAAATTAAATAGAACAGCTGAGTTGGGTTTTTAGAATATTATTGTGTTCTGCTTGTTTAGGCATTCTTTTCAGTCTAAAAAAATATAAGTAAAATTTATTAAATCTGATGTACCAGGCCAACATAACTCCAAAGAAGGTACTGTAAAGGACAAAACATTTCTTTCATTTTGTTCTATTAGTAGAAAAAAATATGATGTTAATTAATTCCTTCTTTTTCTACTGATAGAACAACTAGGAATTCAATTTCATATATATTTGATTGGTAGAACATGCAGGAATTTCTGTCCCATATTTTCTATAGAACATTTAGGAAAGACCCATTTAAATTGAATCTTGATGTTTTCTTTGACATCACATTACATTTGATTATGATGTTTGTAATTATATTGCTTTTACTTACCTGAATTGGTATAAATGAATATTTATATTTTATTATAAATTCAAGCAGACCTCTATTATACTGTAAAGTTCAAATATAATAATTATTAATGTAATAATTATTTATCATGTGGCAGTACTAAATATATAAATGCATAATTATATTTTAATAGCAATGTTCTTGCAGATATCCCCACCAAAAACCACAGTACTAAGTCCTGAGCATATTGCTACACATAATGTTACACATTCCTCTGCCATTGTTCAAAATATTCTATCACCGAAAGTGGAAGCTGAAACGTCTGATGGCCTAACTATGATAGACGTGTCACATCTTAGTGAAGCTGAAATTAGGGCTATAAAGAAACAACAAAGGATGATTAAAAATCGGTAAGTAATTGCCTACCAAGAATGTAAACATTGAATTTTATTTATATTTCTCTTTTTTTCAGTACAGTATTTCTATAAAACACTTAAGTGTAACATAAACTTTACCTGATAATTGATGGTTTGGAGTATGGACCCTTTTACTTTACACGGACGCAAAATTGACGTACTGAAAAAAATACCAACTAAATTGAGAAACTGCTCCTCCTTGAAGTCGGTTAAAAGTTTACTAATTTCTGTGTTTGATGAACTTGCTACTTCCTAGATGCAACATAAGTTTTGTTGCAATAATATCTTTAAAATTATTACAGTGAATCAGCATGTCAGTCAAGGCAAAAAAAAAAAGAGTATGTAACTGCTTTAGAGCAACAATTGCTAGAAGCACACCAAGAAATTGCCAAACTACGGCTTGAGAACAGACTTTTACGTGATCAACTTGAGAACAACGGGCGCACACGAAAGGTTAGAATTGATAAAGAAACTGTAATATTTTGGGTTTTAATAATATAATAATGGGCCTCGTTCTGGTATGATTCTCTAAACCTAAACCTAATTTTGGTAATAGTATGTCTTTATCATGTTCTGCAGATAATGAAAAGGAAAGACTTGTCAAGTTTAGTTTTAAGTTTAAAGAATCATGCCAAAATTAGGCCCAATAATATAATATGATAAGGTCAAATGTCACTTTGAAATTTAAAAAAAAATCTTTCGAATCGTGAATCGTGTGTGCATGCTGTGTATGCATGTAAGTATGTGCGTGTGTTGTAAGTCTAAGTACCTATGTATAATGGTCACCTGTGCATTATTAATGATTCGATTTTAATGTAATTTAAAGTTTCTATCCATTCTATTATTGCAGATTTACACTCCTAGTAAATTTTAGGGTATATTTCAATTTATTTATTTGATTGTATTTATATGCTGACTCTGTTTTATATTGTTACTTGCGAAAACTATTTTTGTTGTAGGGATCTTTAAAATGTTGTATTTTCTAATTTTATTGAGGATCATAAGAGCGTTTTGTTAACTTTTGTGGATTTAGAGTAAGTTGGTAATTTGGTATAGACTACTAGTAGAGAAACTTGGCGACTTTCATGAAGGAGGACTCTTGAAGTACATGACTTTAAGAATTGCTCTTTGGGCTCTTTTAACTTCAAGGAAGCGTATTTCATATGCACCTCCCCATATTGTTATGCAATATGTTATTATGGATTGAACTAAGGCAATGTATATTTCTATTACATCAGATAGGTTGTCACAGGTATGTATTTTTATAATAGACGCATCTGCAGGTTGTATATGAATATATATTCTAAAGCATAAATAATTACTTTTGGAGGAGGAGGTTGTGTTTTAGCAGCATCCCAGGATGGTCCATAAAATATAACCGCTGAGTCATTTGCATAGGAAAACAAAATCGTCTTAAACATTAAAGTGCAAATCATACTACAAGAGTATGACCATGTCTTATTACGAAGTTATATACCTCAGATAAAAAAATTTTTATTTGAGTTACTTCATTGTCTCTTGACAAGAGACAGTTGAGTCAATAAAAGAGAAACTGAATTTACCTACTTTTCAGATACCACGAATAGACGCATCCATCCTTATACCTAAGAAAAACATAGCAGTAATTTTTGCTATGGTTTTCATGGTGTCCATGAATTGGAATGTTTTGGGGTAAGTTAACAATATACATATTTTAATCATATTTTTTTCTAGTAATTTTGTTTTAGAATTTAGTATATTTTAACGTAATTAAACGTTATTTTTTTTTTTAGAAACAAGTTTATTTTTTTGGCAATTATGTTTATAATTATTTGATAACATAACTATGTTGGCATAATATGTACATCATATTATAACTAATTCAGTTGCGAAAAATAATAATAATTAAATTTATACTATCAACAGATGGAATTCCAAACCATTCGTTGGACCTTCAGGGCCACATCAGAACACAAGGCATTTGTTATGGTCTGAAGACAACAGCGAAAGTATATTATCACGTGGTATGTACGACTTTTTTATTTACAGTAATTGTGCTAGTAATTTTATTTAAAAAAACTATATATTTTAATTTGTAGATTCAAATGAAAACAGTACCTATGGCACAGATTGTCATAATGTAACCACAAAGCCCGAATTTGCTAATATTAATCACACTGAAAGCATAAGGATAGCAAGGGAGCTCAACCATTGGATTGGCGGCGGAAAAACTCTGAACTGGACTTATGATACACCAAGAAAAAAACGTCGAGTTTATTTAAATGAAGACAAAATAGCTGGTACTATAAAATTTTGTAACCTCTACATTAATTTCAGTACAATGTGGATCGACTCTTGAATACGAATACTTATTTAATTAAATAATTAATTGTTTGCCTTGGTCCTAAGTATATAATATTTATGTGATATCATGAAAAATATATTAACTACTAGTAACTGTTTCAGGTGACTTCCTTGAGACGTACAAGTTATTCAACAAATTGAATTTAGATAACAATGTCCTAGATTTCATAAGTGCAAAAGCTCAAGGGCGAAATGTGAGGGAGAAAGCACGTCATCGAAGGTTAAGACGGAGTAGAGAGATAGATTTTGAAGATAATGCTGTGATAGATTATGAGACCCTTTACAGTAAACCGAGAAGGAAAAGTGTTAAGGATTTCGGTATAAATGATTTGAGTGAATGGAATGATTTACTGCAAGCTCTGCACAGAAGGAATGACACGTTCTACGTAGTGGGTGTTGGCAAAGGTGAACACTTGCTGTTACCTGCTGTATCGCATAATGTCACCAGACCACCACGAATGGCTTTAATTTTGCCCGCAAGGACAAGCAATGGTGAGTACCTATATGGAAAATATTTAAAAGTAATATTTTAATTAAATATTATCCCCTTATTCCAAAACGCGGACGAAAGTTAGTCTTGGTTTAAACCTAATGCTGCTGTCTTTGTCTTCTTTTTAGCAAACAAAAGTGACAGCATCAGTTAACTTTGGTCTAGGTTTTGTAATAAGGCAGAATGGGTTGTTCAATATATATCTTTATTTGCAGATTCTCTCATGGCAGATCATGTTACTCTGATGCAAATTGATTGCTCTGTTGTGAACACAACACTAGTCAAACTGAAATCTGAAACATTGCCGGAAAGTTTGAGAAAACAGGTCGACAATGACTCTAAATCTTCAGAATATGAACCAACTATGGATCTCAGAGGTGGAAATAATATCAAAAAGACCAGCAAACGCCCAACTGATGAAAATCTAGCTAATGGACTTCATAACACAAGCAGTATTGCCAATTCTGCTCCTCTTTTTAAGAAAAACATGTCTCCAATGGACAAAGATATACCAAAAGATGATTCCTTCACACAGTACTTATTTTCTAAAGTAGAGGATAAAAGAAAAATAACAGATCCAAAATAATAAAATTGTAGCAAGAGCTGCTAGGGTGTACATCAGTTTCAAGAATGTGCAGGCAACAAAAATATGTGATCAACAGTTTTTAATAAAACATTCAGTGTCATGACATATGAATATGTATTGTATATTCAAATCAGAACCGTTCTTGTTTTGTAGAATCACAAATAAATAGGTAAGATAACACTGAATTGCAGGGCCTACTGTAAGTAATGGATATCGAAAGCAGCATATATATCGCAGTGACAAACCATAATTTCCTTTGATTAAAATACAAAAGGAAAGTTTTTTTTTCTAAAAGTTGGCTGGCCTAAATTACTTTATAGTGATAATACGGTGTGCTGTGCAGCTCCAACCCAGGTAATATAAATAAAAGCTCGGCTAATTTTGTTACTTACTCAATCATTTTTTTTGTGTAGGTAAGTGTAAAGAAAACCAATTTCCTTAAGATTTATGATTGAGTCGTATAGTATCAAAGGCGGCAAAGTAGGGCGAACCAAATATTTGGCAAATCAAAAAAAAGAACTGTTTAGTCTCGTCTTTAAGGGAGGATTTTTAGAATTGACATTTCACTACGATTTGTAGATGAATGTCAATTATAAAAATCCTCCCTTAAAGACGAGACTAAACAGTTTTTTTTGATTTGCCAAATATTTGGTTCGCGCTACTTTGCCGCCTTTGATACTATACGACTCAATTAGCAGTTTAATGCGAGAAGTAAGAAGTAATTTTATTTAAAAGTGCTGGATCTTTTGATTAACTCAAGAAGGAAGACAAAGCACTAGTGTTTGATTAGAATAGGTATATATTCACAATTTCTCTTTAATCACAATTTGACAAACAAATAATTTGCGTTTTTTACTATCATAAAGACTACTAAGACCCAACTGCCGCACTACAACATAATTGGGACTCAAGACGTTAGATGGCGTCGTCACATCTTGTGGTAGTGTTCCTAGATAGCGCAGCAATATATTTTAATTGATAAGTCTAATAATTTATGAAGTCATGTCACCGTTTGTTTTAGTTTTCGGATTCTTCGCACCTAAATGATAGCATATATAATATGTCCATGCTGTATCCCGGGGCTCAGCACGCAAGTCGTTAGGGCTTGGCAATTTATTTAGGCAATTCTAATCTCACATTCAAAATACGCAGCCCCCTACGCACTACGCACCCCGCAGCGCAGTGCGTAACAGTGTTATAATCACCTTAGATAATTAAATATCAGCGCCATCTAAGGATAGTTTTTAACACTTCTACAAGGTATAACAACACCACATAACGACACTCAAATCATTCTTGAAGGAAAACGGGTCGATGGACCCAACCAAGATGGGTAGTTTATAGAGGCTATGAACACAGCAAAGGGGCCGTTATGTTTATTTTAACAAACTTTTTAACTTTCTGTCATATTGTAACAAACTTATGCCTTTCCAATATAATAGGGTTTTTATATTTGGCAGCTTGATTTCAAATAAGATTAACTCTTTACTATGTCACCAAACCCATTATAACAGGTATTCGCTATGTGCACGACAGTAGCGCCACCTACAATGCGCAACTTTCCGGGATTATGCCAAATAATAACATCAGTTTGTATTTTATTGATTTCTAGTAAATATAGTAAGGTAAAGATAAATAAAAATTATTATATATTGTATAATAATTTAAATAATGTCGGATTTCAATTCGGAATTCAGTACAGTCAATAATAACTCTTGTATTGATGTAATCTGGACTGAAACACTTGGGCATTGGTGCTTGTACGGTGGCTCTATTCGGCCAAAAGATTAAATTAGCAGTTGAACAAGCTAGATTTTGTAAGATCGAATGAAATATACGTGAGATTGTGGTTTTTTTGTACACCAAATAACACACTCAATGCTGAAAATGTCAAGCCAGTTTTCATTTTTATCAAAAAAATCAGAAGTCGGTCTTTAGTGGAAACTGTACATTTTCTCATAGTTAATCTTGTTAATAAAAACTCAAAATTGCTAAATGACACACCAGAAGGATCTAGGAGTTCTTGATCATTTGTTATTGATGAAATACCAACAAATTCTTGACTTTTTGTTTCGGTAGATTGATCCTCATATGATTTTTTGTCAGTGCCACAGCTTTTATCTTTCTTTCTTGAATTATTTGTCATTAAAATTCTTGATGTTGGATCAAAGTGATCACTGTAAATTAATCTAATACAAATAAAAGTTGTATCTCTTAATTTCGATTCAGAAAACATATTGACTTGACATCCTTGATCGATCATAAAAGGTTGAGTTTGATTTAATTCACTCCCTTCTTCAATTATTATTTGACTTGATGTGGTATCTGAGACTTTTGTGGTTCTTCGTTTTGTCAAGCGTGTATATCTAGCTAGGACCTGTGAATCATTAACCTTCCTCTTTCGATATATTTCAGGGAATATCGTAGGAGCATAACTCGGATTTTCTTCCTCGTCTGATTTTTTGTTTCCCATAAAATGTTCACTACAAATTGTGTCGTCAGGTTTGGGATACCATGGCGACCCATCAACACTAAAATAATAAAGACAATAATGAATATCACATAAAATATATAGCGCAAATAAAATTGATCATAATTTAAGGTTATTTCGCTTACTTATTTCTTTTTATGGCATCTATCCATTTATTTCTTTGATTTAATTTCCAGTCCAATGTAGGAAATATATACACAGACTATTTGTGCCCTTATTTTTGCAATTCACAACACAACAACATCTATTAATAGGCATTTTAAAAAATTTTTGTTTATTACGAACTCCGTGCAAATTGACTTTACTTTCCCGGATTGTTGCGTATTTCTGCCACTATAAGCGCTGCGATCGCTTCACTATACCCCCACCATGTACTTCGCACATAGCGAATAGTAAGCACGCACGATATAGTCTTTATGATAGTAAAAAACGCAAATTATTTGTTTGTCAAATTGTGATTAAAGAGAAATTGTGAATATATACCTATTCTAATCAAACACTAGTGCTTTGTCTTCCTTCTTGAGTTAATCAAAAGATCCAGCACTTTTAAATAAAATTACTTCTTACTTCTCGCATTAAACTGCTAATTGAGTCGTATAGTATCAAAGGCGGCAAAGTAGGGCGAACCAAATATTTGGCAAATCAAAAAAAAGAACTGTTTAGTCTCGTCTTTAAGGGAGGATTTTTAGAATTGACATTTCACTACGATTTGTAGATGAATGTCAATTATAAAAATCCTCCCTTAAAGACGAGACTAAACAGTTTTTTTTGATTTGCCAAATATTTGGTTCGCGCTACTTTGCCGCCTTTGATACTATACGACTCAATTAGCAGTTTAATGCGAGAAGTAAGAAGTAATTTTATTTAAAAGTGCTGGATCTTTTGATTAACTCAAGAAGGAAGACAAAGCACTAGTGTTTGATTAGAATAGGTATATATTCACAATTTCTCTTTAATCACAATTTGACAAACAAATAATTTGCGTTTTTTACTATCATAAAGACTATATCGTGCGTGCTTACTATTCGCTATGTGCGAAGTACATGGTGGGGGTATAGTGAAGCGATCGCAGCGCTTATAGTGGCAGAAATACGCAACAATCCGGGAAAGTAAAGTCAATTTGCACGGAGTTCGTAATAAACAAAAATTTTTTAAAATGCCTATTAATAGATGTTGTTGTGTTGTGAATTGCAAAAATAAGGGCACAAATAGTCTGTGTATATATTTCCTACATTGGACTGGAAATTAAATCAAAGAAATAAATGGATAGATGCCATAAAAAGAAATAAGTAAGCGAAATAACCTTAAATTATGATCAATTTTATTTGCGCTATATATTTTATGTGATATTCATTATTGTCTTTATTATTTTAGTGTTGATGGGTCGCCATGGTATCCCAAATGTGACGACACAATTTGTAGTGAACATTTTATGGGAAACAAAAAATCAGACGAGGAAGAAAATCCGAGTTATGCTCCTACGATATTCCCTGAAATATATCGAAAGAGGAAGGTTAATGATTCACAGGTCCTAGCTAGATATACACGCTTGACAAAACGAAGAACCACAAAAGTCTCAGATACCACATCAAGTCAAATAATAATTGAAGAAGGGAGTGAATTAAATCAAACTCAACCTTTTATGATCGATCAAGGATGTCAAGTCAATATGTTTTCTGAATCGAAATTAAGAGATACAACTTTTATTTGTATTAGATTAATTTACAGTGATCACTTTGATCCAACATCAAGAATTTTAATGACAAATAATTCAAGAAAGAAAGATAAAAGCTGTGGCACTGACAAAAAATCATATGAGGATCAATCTACCGAAACAAAAAGTCAAGAATTTGTTGGTATTTCATCAATAACAAATGATCAAGAACTCCTAGATCCTTCTGGTGTGTCATTTAGCAATTTTGAGTTTTTATTAACAAGATTAACTATGAGAAAATGTACAGTTTCCACTAAAGACCGACTTCTGATTTTTTTGATAAAAATGAAAACTGGCTTGACATTTTCAGCATTGAGTGTGTTATTTGGTGTACAAAAAAACCACAATCTCACGTATATTTCATTCGATCTTACAAAATCTAGCTTGTTCAACTGCTAATTTAATCTTTTGGCCGAATAGAGCCACCGTACAAGCACCAATGCCCAAGTGTTTCAGTCCAGATTACATCAATACAAGAGTTATTATTGACTGTACTGAATTCCGAATTGAAATCCGACATTATTTAAATTATTATACAATATATAATAATTTTTATTTATCTTTACCTTACTATATTTACTAGAAATCAATAAAATACAAACTGATGTTATTATTTGGCATAATCCCGGAAAGTTGCGCATTGTAGGTGGCGCTACTGTCGTGCACATAGCGAATACCTGTTATAATGGGTTTGGTGACATAGTAAAGAGTTAATCTTATTTGAAATCAAGCTGCCAAATATAAAAACCCTATTATATTGGAAAGGCATAAGTTTGTTACAATATGACAGAAAGT